ATTGGAAAGTAAACCGTATGGTAGCTGTGTTCATTTGTATTGGTGTTACCATTCATTCCTACCTGGTACTCTCTGTGGTGCCATCAGTGCACAAGGCAATTATGGACATGACCAGAATTCCAGACAGTACTTTGTGTGGTTTGGATTTTGGTTCCATTAGTTCAAGGGGGCTCAGAGACTTGAAAGGATACTGATCACAGCACAACCTGTATGGCATTGGTGGCAGAGCTCTTGGACATGAAACCACATTACTGTACATATACATGCCATTTTTGCAGAATTTGATTCTGTGCTATCACAGAAAGAGGGTGGGCTAAAGGCCTTAAGTCTAGCCCAAAATTGGATACGCTGTTTTAACTGTTACTAAAGTTGACTCTGTAATGTATCTGTTGAAATGTCCTGCATAGTGCTAATAATTGCTGTTCTAAGCCTATATCTGAGCTTCTATCTCGTTCCATGACTGGGACCAATATTCTATAGGAACTGTTTACTTGGCTTTTCTACGGCAGTCCTGGTGTGACCCTTTGAGCTTCTATTAATTTTCATCATAAATTTGTCATTGAAAGTACTGAGGCACACAGATTAGCCTGTTCTCCTTGACTGTTCTATCTCTGTGTCCATTCACTGCTACTCATTGTTCCAATGCTTAGGGAGTTGTCATGAATCAATGTACACTCAGTCTCCACATCCACTAAAGCACAAGTATTTCACACATTCATAGAGGACCTCAAGGTGCCTTGTGTAGCCCTCAGTTGTGAGTTAACTTGGCTACTCCATTAGAGTAATGGCTAGGAAGGCTCTCATCCTCATCCTCATCCTCGGCAGAGGGCATAGTAGGAAGCACTCACATCTTTTCTACCCCTTTATCAGACTGTTGTTCAGACTTTAAAGCCTTCTGAAAGTTCGCCTAGAGGATCTATCTTGGCATATTCTTGTTACTTTTGTTTTGCAGGGGCCAAGATAGACCTCATCATCTGCCTTGCCTTTCTTTATCCCCTCCTGGGTGCTTTAGCATCTTATAAACCCAATGTATATGCTACTTGTTGTGTTGACTTTTCCTAGGAAGACATGAACAAATACTATTCATCCTGTGTAGGGTACCAGTGCAATATCCATGGAAGATTCCAAGTAAGTCTAGCTTGGTGAACCAGTGAGTTTAAATGGTGTGCTTTACAGGAGCACAGGCAACTTACAGTGGCTACACAATTGAACAACAACAACAACAAAACTCCTCATCCTTAGCAAATGCTTACCACTTACATATCCTCATGGAGGAGTCGAGCTTTGAATGCTTATGAGACTCCAGTGCATAATTGCAGCTGTTCCGATGTTTTAAAAGCAATGCCCATATCATAACTAAAGGACAGAGTTCTGCAACAGAATCATATATATGTTTTCCATTTGGCCTAGAAATTTCATTTGTAGAATTTTTAACGGAAGGTATACATTCAACAACAGAAACATAAAAAACAAAAAGATGGATCCTGTTTTCTAATCTAATCTAATCTAATCTGTGCCTCTTAATTGGGGAATTGAGACTGTTAATACTAAGAGTATTTATTGAACTGCCTAACATATTCATGTAAGAAAATGGTTGAATCAGTCATAGTTCACCCATTCAGTGAGGTACCATGCAGCAACAAAGAAAGTAAGAAATATCTCTTACTGTATATGGAGTGAAGTCCAACACATTGGTTAAGTGAAAAAAAAAGGTTAGAGTTATAACCCTAAGGTTAGAGTTATAACCCTAAGCTATAGCATGCTTTCTTTTATGTGTGAAAAAGAAATAAGAACACAATATGTATTTGCTCACTGGTGCAAAAATAAAGTAGATAAACAATACTGAAATATATTACCTATAGACAGTAGGTAAAAATAGAATGAAAAGAAGAGACATTTCCATACATTTTTACATAGTTTTGACATTATAAAACTAGGTTTTTTCTATGTAAAAATGATGAAATAGAAACTAAAATGTATACAAAGGGAAATAAGCCAATCTAAATAATCACACTGGAGAATACTTAACCTAAGCAGTTTAGGGTTCCTATACTTTCAGGAATGAAAGAGAATACTGTACATTGTAGAACAGTGGTTTCTATGCTTTCAGGGCATGAACAAATAAAACCTTAATGTTTTCCAGGTTTCGTTTTTGCCATAATAAATTTAGCAACCCTAAAACCTATTTCTCTACAGAACAAATAAATAAGTATATTGTGGAACTAAGTAATTTGACTTTGGAGAGCAGAGTTACAAATATAGATAGAGGAAAGATGGGGAAAATCTATAGTCACAGACTGGAATTAGAAGACATAATATGGATCAATAGCAGATATAAAAAGGAAAAATTTTACGTAGACATAGGACTAGACTCCATGCTTCATGAGTACTTTTCCTTGTTCTGTCTGCAGAGAAGGCAAAGAAGCAGTGTTACTCCACTAGCAATGAATGTAGTGTTCAGAGTTTAGACTATAACCATGGTAAGAAAAGCAAAATGAAAACGTGTATATTGACTTAAAAAAATTAAGAATAAGGCTAGGCGGTGGTGCCGCATGCCTTTAATCCCAACACTTGGGAGGCAGAAGCAGGTGAATCTCTGTGAATTTGAGACCAGCCTGGTCTACAAGAGCTAGTTCCAGGACAGCCTCCAAAGTCACAGAGAAACCCTGTCTCGAAAAACCAAAGGAAAAAATAAATAAAATAAAATAAAGAACCAATACTCCTTAGAGAAAGAGAGCAAATTCCAATGGTGGATCTAGAAAATCACACGCTGAAGTATTCAAAAATTTATAAGAATTAGACAAAAAGGAAACGGGAACTATTTTGAGATATTCTACAGGGCAACTCATGAATAATTTAGGAATTAAATAACTTCAGTAAAAGATCATGGCTCATTAAATAAGTAATTTCATACTGATATAGACACTGGTTTCATGGTGATTTCATATAGAAAAATTAATCAATAAATGAATAGATGAGAAACATTTTCTTTACAGTGGAATACCAATTAATGAATATAAATGTAATGGCTAGCTATCATTTGGGAGTTATAAAAGTAATAATTGAATATGACAAAAATCATTTATAAGCAAAAATTAGCAGGTGAAATTTTGATTTTTAAATGAAATATTCCTCCCACCAAATACTTGTCAGCTTTACACTACAAACACCTGCTTATATGATACAAGTGACCACTACCAATAAAAGAATCATCAGGCAACATGTACATCCAGACGAGCACACAGCATCCATCCTCTGATATATCTGCCCCAAAATGAAATATTTCAATCTAATTGTGAAGAAACATTATATCAAACCAAACTGAGTGATGCTGGCAACCAGCCTCCAGGATGGCCCCCCTTCATCTTTGACTCCTAGTATTCCCATCCATGCATAGTATCTCTGAAAAGAGCTGATCTTTGTTCTGAAAATCCCATGACTGCTGAGTATCACTAAAGGCATTCTGGCTTTTGTCCTTCTTGATCTGAAACCAGTTAGCTGTCTTAAGGTGAGAAGTTTCAATCCCTGCAACCCAACAGCACAACGACCACACACACATGATGAAGAAATGAGGAATCCAGCCAACAGCTGCTTAGTTTACACCTTCTGTGTGCTTTTCTGTCCCAGTCAAGCAGATAACTATAGTTCCAGCTATCATTTTGACCACAATATCAGGGAAGACAGATGTCCAGTCCAGTTAAATTGCTTCCAAATTATGACTTCAGAAACTGAAAGGTACTATTTAGTCTTACCTTAAGCCACTACTAATCTTAGGGTAATTTGTTACCATACTGTATAATAAATACTTTTAAGTGTCATTCTAGAAAAAATGATTATTATGTGTGCTTCAAAGATATCAAAGACAAACAATGAAAGAAACAACAAAATTCCAGATCTCAGGTTGGGGAGGACTCGGTAAGTAAACTGCTTGTCATACCAGCACAAGAGCTTGAGTTTAGATTTCCAGAGTCCAGGGAAGAGCTGCACCCAGTATACCTGCAATCCTAGCACAAAGGAGGCTGAAACAGGCAAATGGAACTTGCTGACCAGTCATCTTAGCATAGTCTGCAAGTTTGGGGTAGAAAGTGGGCAAGAAAGACATTAGCTTCTAGTCTCCACATACATCTTCATGAACATGAGCAAATACATGAACATGTACAACCACATAAAACACACACACACACACACACACACACACACACACACACAAACTCCCACTCCCAGAGATATCTTTCAAATTAGAGAAAAAAGACCCAAAAATCAAATATATGATCCTGAAGGGTAGATGGTTTTGATGTTCTTATTTTGCCACAACAGACTATTGAGATAATCATCAAAATTTGAATACAATAATTAAATAGCACTGTATCAGTGTTAGTGTTCTGTAATCGATCATTGTACCATAGTTGTGGAAACATGTCCTTATTTTTAAGAAATACACAGTAAGATATTTAAAGGAGAGACAAATGCCTATAATTTATTTTAAAATATCAAATGTAACGATTATATTACCCAAATATATAGTTAAAGATATATCCTTTTATATATTTTTATACTGACAGAGAGACAAAATTTCTAAAATATTAACCTTTAGAAAAATCCTTCACAGATATACAGAAAATAAAATTTTCACTATTTACACTAGAGTAAAAAAGACTGCAATACCAGGCAGTGTTATTCCTGAATTTCCACTTTAAGTTGTTTTTTCAAACTGAGAGCTGACTACATTAATTGGGTTTGGAAATGAATTCACTGTAATAAAATGCAAAGCAGGTTAAAGAATGCAATACTGTAAATTAGAACAGCATACGAATATTGTAGATTAGTAGGAATGAGTATTATTTTGTAAAAACGTTTCAGATGTAGGCAGGGAAAAGGTTAATGTATTTGGTTGCATAATCAGCAAAAAGTAGGTATGCCAGGAGCTGAACAGGACCCAGCTTGAGTCAAAAGCAGACCTCCCTGGGGCCACCCCTCTCTGCCTCTTCCGCCCCTGGCCACCTGCAGATGTGCTCCACAAATCTTCAGTACCCAGCGCTGAGCAGACACTATTTAAGAGTCCTTCCTCACAGCTTACTGCCAGCTGCCGGCCGTTAGCCAAATTCTCTTATCCTTGCTAGAGGCTCACAACACTCAGAAAGCAACCTGCAGATGGGCCGCTGCGGTGGCATGGGAGCCTTGGGTTCGCTCTGGGTTTTCTTCACTCTCATCACGCCAGGAGTTCTAGGTGAGCTGGGCACGGGAGTGCGGATAGGGGAACTCCTCCAGGGCTGGGAAAACTTCTGTGCTTACACAAAGGCTAGAGACAAAATCAGGGATGCGGGGACCCTGCTGGATACTTGACTGTCCCTGGGAGGACGGGTAGGGGAACTCCTCCAGGGCTGGGAAAACTTCTGTGCTACACAAAGGCTAGAGACAAAACCAGGGATGCAGGGATCCTGCTGGATACTTGACTGTCCCGGACAGCTTTGGAGACTCCCACAGTCTCTGTCTGATGCACAATGTCCCCACCTCTTCTGGAGCTGGACCACCACCATTGAAGCCTGCACCACACATGGGTGCTTTGGAAGGACTGCTGCCTTGGTTCGGTGGTTCCATCTTTCCTTTCAGGCTCCCAGCCTCCTGAGAATTCAGCAAGAGCCCAAATAGTTCCACCACGGGTCCCAGGCTGTGTTCAAGGATCACGGAGCATATGTGCCTCTTGGCATGCAGAAATCCTCTCCAGCCATGCATGGAAGGGTCGTTGAGCCCCTGCTTCTTTTCTTAAAGAATAATACCTGATTCTCCAATATGGGTCTCAGATTTTGTTTGAGAGGATATTTAAAAGCTAACTGGAGTTGGTTTTTAAAGTTGAACATGGATTAAAACTGTGACTTCTGTAATGGTGTGTGCTTCCATAGGTACTCCTTGCTGTTGTTTTTGTTTCATAGATTGACTTGCTTTTAAAATAGTATAACTTGTTATGGTAGTGAACGCATAGGGTATAAGACATTTATTGTAAGCAAACCTCAATAGCTGGGTGAATTTTGGCAAGTCGCAATACAATTTGTTCTCGTAGTGAATATATTCATAGGTTTATAAGATGTTTACTATAAGCAAATATCAATATCTCGGTGAATTTTAGAAAGTCTGTTAGAACCCCAATCCTCAGTTTCTCATATATGAAAATGAAGTTAGAAATGAGCTGTGGTACCGTCTCACAGAGCTTTGAGATATCAGAATCTGCCAGAGAAATTAGGTCATGGGCACTTGATTGCTGACACTAAGAGTATCAATTAGCAGTTAATGGTGGATCTAGTTAGTAAAGGGTCTGAATATTATACATTAGTTCTGGTACAACTTGTACTGGAAAATAAATTCTAGGGATGGCTGGACATCGTTTCATGTTTAGTGATGGATGTTTTGTGCTTAGTACCATACTTTCACTAACATACATGACTCTCATTTTAAAAACTCATCCATTAGATAGCCAGGAATCCCAGTATTAAAACATTTGATGATAATTCTCAATAATGATATCCATCCCCTCTTGATTTCTGGCCAACTTTTCAGATTTATTTTTATCCTGTACATAAATATTCCATCGACTTCCAAAGAACATCTAAGTAATCCATGTAAAGCCCCTTAGATCTAAATGGTTAACTGCACCCTGTCCTCCAGAAACACCTTCTGTGTTAAATAGTCACTACTCTGATCTTTACTCCTGATGCTAGAAAGAGGTAAAGAGGGAACAACATGGGTGTCAGTTGGGAAGCTTGGGCAGTCTATGGGGTCGATGGCAGTAGAACCAGTATTTATCCCTAGTGTATGAACTGGTGTTTTTGAGCCTATTCCCTATGGAGGGATACTCTCTCAACCTAGATACAGTGGGGAGGGCCTCACTCCTGCCCCAAATGATGTGACAAACTTTGATTTCCACACGTGAGGCCTCACTCTCTCTAAGTAGTGGGTGGGGGCGGGTGGCATGGGTAAATTGTGGGGGAAATGGGGGCACAGGAGGGAAAGGGAACTGGGACTGGTATGTAAAATAAGATTTGTTTTATTTAAATAAAAATATTGTATTAAAAAAAGAGGGAACAGGGACTCTCAAGATAACCCATATCATGCAATAGCTTATAGACTACCCTTTCTTTTTCTTTGAAAAATTATTACATGTATTTATTTGTTTGCTTATTTGCATGTGGGGGAGGCTGTATATTTGATGGCATGGGCTTGGAGGTCAGAGAACAATTACAGGAGTTATCCCTCTCTTTTCCTCACGTGGGCTCCAGGGATTAAACTCAGTTGGCCAGTCAGAGTGGACAGCAGTGCTTTTAGCCCCTGAGACATCACACCTTCTCTCCTATCTGATTGGAGGAGAAAACAACCTCTGGAGATTCTGTACTGTGGCCTGGGAGGTGGGTAGTTTCAATAAAAGTCCAAGGTCTCCTTACCAGAGAAGAGACCTCCATTAACCCTCACCCAGAAAACATAATTCTTGCCTCATTTTGACATGGAAAGTCACATTATAAAATTCCCTCTTCCTTTGTGTTTTCCAGATCTTGTACTCCTCTTAGTCTGTATTGCTACCACTGATCAAATCTTAGGAGTTTAAATGGTTTCCCATATTGTGGAAGATAATTTAGTTTGTCCTTTCTTACATTTGATAATCATACATTATTATCTGATTTGAGTAACTGGTAGAAGTGGGATCACATTGTGAAGTCTATCTTCACTGTTTTTAAACCTCCATATTTTTTAAAGACTTTCTTGCTGTTGGTGGGTATTAATGGAAGAAACCAAGGAATAACAAAAGAGGGACCTAAGGCAATACCTGGCTCCTGACCGCAGTGACTATTTTTCAGTTCCCCAATAGAAGCACAGGGTTAGAGAAAGATTACATTTGGCTGCAGTCATGGGTGCTCAGTGAATGCCTCAGTCAGCAGACATTCTCTGTTTAACTTTCACCTTTACATGCCTCACACTTCTAGGGGGAAAAAATGAAAATTTGTAAATTCTCAGCTATACTTCTACTCTTGGATGCCTTCACAACTTGGCTTTTTGCCTAGATTATCTCTGATCCGAATAAGAGTGAATTTCTGGACCACTGAAAATAAATTTTAGGAGGCAAAATGTGAGTCTTCACTCATATATAGGGACATACTCAAGTGTATGGATGTTACAGTTTCTTAGATGTCTTATAGGGCAGAAATTTATTTCATTGTTAATGACTAGCTCTTTTCCCTGGTACGTAAGAAAGTTTTTACTAGTTAAAATAAATATAGTGAAAAGTAGACTACTAGGAGGTTAAGACAGAAGGATTCCAAGTTCAAGGTCAGTCTGGGTTATTATATAGTTAGACTCTATCTTATAAAAACCACAAATAATAAATAAATTCAATGGAGAATAAATATATTTTTCTCTATACCCTAAAAGTTTCGTGATTAAGATAATCATATAAATCAATTAAAGTTATTTTGACTTTACAAGACCTCTGTGATACTTTAGTTCCATATGCTCAAAGTTTTTATTTATAAGATTTTTACTTGTAAGACTGGAGAGATGGCTCAGTAGTTAGAGCACTTGCTGCTCTTGCAGAGGACAAGAGTTTGGTTCTGGACACCCACTTGGTGCCTCATAATCACCTGTAACTCCAGTTGTAGATGACCTATCACTGTTCAGGACTTTGCAGGCACTGATCACATACAGTGCACATACACACATGTAGGCAAACACTCTTAGATGTGAAATAAAAAAATAAAATCTCCAAAAAATTTTTAGAGTTTTTTACTTGTATATTTCTGTTTTTTATTATAAAATCTGAGGTTGTTTGTTGTTTTTATTGTACCCATTATTGATTGGATGTAATATGTCTCCCACAAGCTCATATATCTGAATAGTCGGTCTACAGTTGACTTGTAGTACCATTAGGAAGCCGTAGATCTATCTGGAAAGTGAACCTTGGAGGTTATATCACCTCCCCACTTCCAGCTAAGCTTTCTGCTTCCGGGTTGTTGTCATGCAATCAGCAGTTTTTGCAGTTCCCTTCACCCAGAGACCAAGCTGCTCCAGTCATATACCTCCATCACAATGATGAATATTATGCCCTGGACTATGAGCCAACTAATATCCACTCCCTTAAGTTGTTTCTGTCAAGTATTTGGTCACAATGATAAGAAAAATAACTGGTACAAATAGCTGGCATAACTTCCCTTTCACCTCACCAAAAAAGTGCATAAATCATTATTTCTTATTATTATCATATAAGGTTATATAAGGAAATTCTCATGCAACTATATAATGTACTTTGAGCATATCCTATGACCCTCTTTTTCTTAACCTTCTCCCCTCTCATTTTGTTCTCCCAGACAATTTGCCTCAACATTCAAATATATATGAGAGAGAAAAAAGAGATACCTGTTTTTCTGAGACTGACTTAATTCACTTGATATTATTTTCTTCAGTTGCATCCATCTTCTTACAAACAATATAACTTAATTTTTCTAAAAGTCCATATATATACATAATATATATTATATATACATATTATGTTTTCTTAATCTATTCTGTTGCTGGGCATCTAGGTTGGTTCCACAATTTAGCCATTGTAAATAGTACTGCAATCAGCATTGACATGTTGACTTGGAATCTTCTGGGTAAATATTGACAAAAACTCTGGATCATGTGGTAAATCTATCATTATTATTATTAAATAATATTTACTATTATTCTGTTGAAAAATCTCCAGACTAATTTTCACAATGACTGAATGAGTTTACATTCTCATCAGCAATTTACAAGTGTTTCCTTTTGTATACATCCTTACCAGCATCTGTTATTACTTATTTTTTCATGACTACTATCCTGACTAGTGCAAGATGGAACCTTAATGTAGCTTTTGTTTTCATTTCACTGATGACTTGTGAGGTTCAACATTTTTTCATATTTATCAAACATTTGTACTTCAATTGAGAACCATATGTTCACTCCATTAGTTCACTTACTAATGAGGGCTTTTTTGATGTTTATGCTTTTTATGTCTTTATATATTCCAAATATTGATTAGATATCTAGTTAGCAAAGACTTTCTCCCATTTTGCAAACCATCTCTTCACCTTTTTCTTTCGCTATGCAGATGATTTGTACTTTCACGAAGTCTCATTTGTCACTTGGCACTATTTACTGAGCAACTAGGGCCTTATTTCAAAGTCTTTCCAATGCTGATATCTTGCAGCATTCTTTCTTCATCTTCTTCTATCACCTACCGAGTTTTGTGTCTTATATTATATATACATATATATTCATTCCTGAAGTTCGACATGCTTTTCTTGTTTTTCATAACTTCACTGTGTAAAAAAAGAAACAAAAAATCAACCCACAGTTTTAAACCATAAGATTGTAAGAGGGTGGGATTTCATGAAAAAGTTCTCCAGCTATTTCTCTGGTCTGTTTCAAAAACTGTTTCAGTCTCTGAATTTCTCTGTGTCCATCCATACCAGAATGATTTTCTTAGATAATATTGCTCCAGGCAGTATTACTTCTAAAGATCAAAATTGTTAGGATAATTGGTGGCAGGAAAGAAGGAGAGAAACTTTAGCTTTTCTCAACTTTGATACTTCTGTGGTCCTTATTTCTAGGTCAGTGTAAGTCGCTGCCAAAGTATACTTTTGCTAAGCCTATTATTGAGAGTGATAAGTCTGAGTTTGCGGTTGAAACAACTTGGGAATACAAATGCCTCCCTGGGTATAGTGGGAAGCCATTCTCAATCACCTGCTTAGAAACCTCCAAGTGGTCAGATGCTCAGGAGCCCTGTAAACGTGAGTATTCCTTTGGCTCTATCATTTTATCTATATAGGATAGTATGTCATTTTCCAGAAAAAAGAGACAAGTAAATTAGCATGTCATGGCAAGCAAACAGTGATCCCAGCTTCTTTGTTTCCTTTAACTTCTCAATTTTCTGGGTACTAGGGTTTAAGTCATCACCATGGTTTAACCTATCATCTTCATGACATCATTCTATGATGTCTATATTGTGTTAGAGATTAGATGCTAGTATACAAAAGAATATTAGTTTCATTTCCTTCTTACCAAATTCAGTTCAAGAAATATATTTCTCTTTTTTCCTCTTTTATTAATTTATTTTTTACATTCCAATCCCAGTTCCCCTCCCTCCTCCCATCTGCTCTTCGGACAGGGTAAGGCCTCCCCTGGGAAGTCTACTAAGTCTGTCTCATCATCTCATTGAGGCAGGACCAAGACACCTTTCCACTCCCCACACTCCTGTGTCTAGACTGAACAATGAATCTCTCCATATAGAATGGGCTCCACTAAGTCAGTTTGTGCGTTAGTGTTAGATCTTGGACCCACTTCCAGTGGCCTCATATATTGTCCCAGTCACACCATTGTCAGGGAATGTTTTTATTAATTAGCATGTGTGAAGCAGTAGACAATAGATCTTGTAAGGGACAACAAAAATTACACATATATAATGTATAACTGAGGACTGAATGCAAGGCATTGCACAGGTTAGGCAATTACTCTATCACTGAGATATATACACAGATTTCATGATATTGTTTAATAATAGAGATAAACTGCTATTCAACCATAAAAATTAAATGCTATCTAAGAGAATTAGGGAGATTGAGACCTTCTGAGCAAAAGTTTGGAAGAAATGGTATCTTTGGAAAATTGGAAAAAGATCAGTATGGTTTGAGTACATATAAACTCCAAGATTGTGTACTTTTTCCTGTGAATAATGGAAAGTCATAATTTTTAGGGAGGAAATATAATATGCCCATATTTATAATTTAAAAATTAAACTCATGACATGCTATAGAAGAAATACTAGACAAGAAATGCCAGCATTAGAAAGGCAAATTTTGCCACTCAACAATCCAGCAAAACTATAGAAATGCCAAAATAAGTGGTTTGGGGAGATGTTCTGGAATCTAGACACTAAAATTTTGTAACTTATTGAATTAAATGGAGGATTATAGGATGAGTAATAGAAAGGAAATAATGACTGTAGGTTTTAAATACAGGAGACTTGGTAGATGATACCATTAACTGATATATTTAAATAAAGAAAAAATATAGGTTTTTAATATACAATTGACCACAAATAAAGTTTTCTTTCAAACACAGAAATGTAGACAATAGGGTTTTAACAGTGTTCCAAAACTGATTGCTCCTTGAGAAAGTACACATTTTACAAATTTCAAATATTGCTTTGAGAAAACTTATGCAGGGCCATCAGTAAGTCCAGTCAGGAGATTTAATAGAAAACATACAACATCTTCTCCATCCCAGCCCCAAATCCTGTTTTGTTTCCCTTGTAGGTAAACCATGTACAACTCCCAAAGAACTCCTCCATGGCTCTGTGCATGTAAATACGGGTATCACATTTGGGTCAACAATTACATATTCTTGTAATGAAGGGTGAGTAGGCAGGAAATCTCTGCAGGGTGTGTTGATACTGAAATAATATTTCTAACCAGAAACCCTTTAATATGAACGAATACAAAAGCATGGTCTCTTTGTCCTGCTTCAGAAGTGACATGTCAGTGTTGCTCAGTTAAGAGGATCCTTAGAAGGAAAGAAGATGGAGCTACCCTTCTTCAATTTTAAGTCTCCAGTGCTATTGACAAGCAAGTCAGACCATTTGGCTATAGACTGTTGACCTACTACAGAAGTCCTTCTTTATCACTACTTCACTGTGTCATTCATGATATTCTACCTTTTCTCATCCTTTAAGAGGAAAAAGTTAGGCTTTTCTAAAGTATAAGTGTAACTTGCATGTGATCTCTGCCTCCAGATATCGACTCATTGGTGATTCATCTGCTACATGTATTGTCTCAGACAATGGGGTAATTTGGGATAATGACATGCCTTCTTGTGAATGTGAGTAAAAAGATCTCTTTATGGCATCCTACTAAATTTCTCTTATCCCTTTCTAAAGGGAAACTGGTCATATGCACATAAAAATGAGTGCCTGGGAAGTCTCACTAAGTTTGAGTTGTTACGGACACAGCTCTGACGGGTATTCTTCCATGATCTCTAATTCTATCACAGTTTTCAATTAATGTTCTTTTATTGTTATTTAATAGTGAATAGATTTTTACACTCAAAATAGGCATGAGATGACACAATGACAAATGCAATCACTTATGCAAAAGTGTATCACCGCAAGAAGTCTCTAATAACAGTCTCTGTACTCTCTCTCGGCTTATAGTGTTCTGACTTTTTTTTTAATCAGCCAGTTTGGCGTACTTTTATTTTCCTCTCTGGCTTACTTTTATTTAGATCAGAATATAGAATTTTGATATTATAGATAAATTGTAGATAAAGTTTAAGTTTGGTTTATGAAAATGAAGACTAAATTTTCAGAAAATATGACATTTCAATGCTTTCTCTCTTCTTAACTACTTTCCTTCAAAAGCTATTCCTTGTGAGTCACCTCCAGTCATCGCCAATGGGGACTTCTACAGCAGCAGTAGAGACAGTTTTTTCTATGGAATGGTAGTAACTTACTCTTGCCATGTTGGAAAGAATAGGGAAAAACTGTTTGACCTGGTGGGTGAGAAGTCAATATATTGCACCAGCAAAGACAATCAAGTTGGCATCTGGAACGGTCCACCCCCTCAATGTATTGCTATGGTCAAGTGCCCAGTGCCTAAAATTGAAAATGGAGATGTGGAGTATGGATTTAAACGCTCCTTCTTCTTAAATGATACAGTAATCTTTAAGTGCAAGCCTGGCTTTACTATGAAAGGCAGCAATATAGTATGGTGCCAGCCAAACAGCAAATGGAGCCCTCCACTGCCAACATGCTTCAGGGGTAAGTTGGGCTGAATTTGGGTATCTGTAAATAAAATCAGAGGTTTTGCAAAATAGATAAAAGTTACTTATAGAAAGCATAAGAGGGATATGTGACTGGATTTCCAGGATAAAGAATTTGAAAGTAAATTTTTGAATTAATATTTATTAACTTTACCAATCCATGATCATAGAAGATCTCTGTTAAAGAGATGGGGATTTTATTATATTCTGGGGGAATACTATAATTGCAGGGGGAAAGTATAACACACTTTTAAAAAGTCATTGGAATATTTTAAAGTAGAATTATGAGACATGAAACTCTTTGAAGAACATAGATATAACACTTAAGAACACTGGAATAGTTAACATGCTTTGGATAAGACCATGAAAAGCATAGAAAACAATGGCAAAAATAGACTAATTATGTAGAATAAAAAGTTTCTCTATGACATGTGAAACAATAAGGAGAGATCATGCAAAATGAGAGAAAATATTTCCAAAGTATACATCTGACAAGGAATTAGTACTAAGAATGTATAAGGAACTGAAACAATTCAGTAGAACAAAAGAAATCTAACTTCAAAGTAGACACTAGACATTTCTCAAAACTAAAATAAAATGGACAACAAATGTATGGCGAAATGTTTAACATTACTAATCATCAAGAAAATGCAAATCAGACCACAATGATATATGACTTCTCTTCAGTTAAAAATGACCCATCAAGGCTGGGCAGTGGTGGCACACGCCTTTAATCCCAGCACTCGGGAGGCAGAGGCAGGCGGATTTCTGTGCGTTCGAGGCCAGGCTAGACCGATAGCCTCCAAAACAATACAGAGAAACCCTGTCTCGTAAAAAAAAAAAAAAAAAAAAAAAAGACCCATTAAAAACAACAAAATATAGCACTGGGGAGATGGTTCAGTGTACAAAGTGCTTGTTGTACAAGTATAAAGAGTTGAGATTGCCGGGCGGTGGTGGCGCACGCCTTTAATCTCAGCACTCGGGAGGCAGAGGCAGGCGGATCTCTGTGAGTTCGAGGCTGGGCTGGACCGATAGCCTCCGAAACAATACAGAGAAACCCTGTCTTGTAAAACCCCCCCCAAAAAAAGAGAGTTGAGGTTAATACACAGAACCTATATAAAAATGCTTATAGTCACAGAATTTGGGAGGCAGAGACACACAGATCACTAGGGCTTGCTGACCAGCCACAGTTCCTATTGAGAAACCTTGTTTTATAAAACAAGATAATGTCCTCTATACACATAAGTATCAGTGTATACTCCAACATACATACACATACACACATGCAAGCAGAGGACCTGAATCCACTACACAATTATCAAATGCTGTTAAGATTAGATAGGAAAGGCTGGGCATTGGTGGCGCACGCCTTTAATCCCAGCACTTGGGAGGCAGAGGCAGGCGGATCTCTGTGAGTTTGAAGCCAACCTGGTCTACAAAGCAAGTTCCAGGACAGCCTCCAAAACAATACAGAGAAACCCTGTCTCGAAAAACAACAACAACAACAACAACAAAAGATTAGATAGGAGAAATAAGTTCTGGTGTCCCTGCAAACAGTAGAATTCCCACTGTATATTACGATAGTTTGTTGTACATACTTTTAAATTCTAGAATAAAGGATTTTGAAAGTTTTCACTGCAACGGAATGATAAGTTATAGAAGACAGCTATGCTTACCATTATTTTCATATTACACAATATGCTTACTCATCTTAGTATCACATGGTATCTCATAAGTATGTACAGTTATGTCTTTTAAAGAATAAAAGTAATTTTAAAACCCAGTACAAAAGTTGATCATTAGAGTTTCTAATTATTATATTTTATTTCAATGAGAATAAAATAAATTCTCTGTTGTATTGGCCATAGTGAAAGAAAGAATTTGATTCAAAATTTTGTAGACATCCATCTTGATACTGAAAATGAATGCTGTGGAAGAAAGCTAGTAGTTAGAGCTTGAGCCTGTGGCCACCATTCTCTCCTTTTATTCTTATTGTGAATTTTCCACCTTTCTAAAAGCCTGACAACAAAATTCAGAAACCCCATGAACCTCATTTTATAAAAATTTGGTTCTTTGTTTACCCTATTGGTGGAAGCATATCTCAGATCTTTTAGTAGAATGAAGTGAAAAATTAGTAAGAGTAGTATTTCCTGGCATGGATCAAGAAAGAGAAAGCAGATAGACACATGGCTTCCCACATCTAGGTAGAGAAAGGCACATTAATCCCACTCTGTGACTCTACTCTCTGCCTTAGTGTGGAAGAGTTGCCATGGGCATCTTTATCCTACCCAGCTAAACCCAAGATAGTTGAAGTTATAAAGAATAAGGTTCTTATTGCAGAAATAAAAGGACTTCCTGGCCCTGTTCTTTCCTCAGGATGTCCACCACCTCAAAATATCCTCCATGGTGATTATAACAAAAGAGATGAGGAATTCTTTTCTGTTGACCAGGAAGTGTCATATAGCTGTGAACCTGGCTATACTCTCATTGGAACTAACCTTGTGCAGTGTACATCCTTGGGAACCTGGAGTCATGCAGCCCCAACATGTAAAGGTGCCTAGAATTCTGCTCTATTCAATGGAAACACAAGTGTTTCCTGACTCTTCATGTGCAAGCCTTCTCTCTTCTTTCCTAGTGAAGTCATGTGATGCCATTCCAAACCAACTTCTCAATGGCCAAGTATCTCTTCCTCCTAATCTCCAGCTTGGGGCAGAGGTTTCCTTTGTTTGTGATCCAGGGTGAGTGTAAAGTGATAGGTCCTGAACTGATTGTTTCCCATAATGATTTCAAAGTATGCGTTCTGAAGGTAGTTAAGTTTTTACTCTCTCATTATTTTTTTCTTTTACTTGACCTTATCTGACTAGAAATTCTGTCATTAAACAATTCCTTTTTCTTTTCTTCAAGTGTGTATATTTTGTGCTTGATCAGAAAAAGTAGGTACTGTCATGTCATCATCTGGAACTGCAAAGTTTTAGTTCACAGATTAAGACTTCTGTTATGGAGAATGAATATAAAACTTGGATTTATTGAGACTCATTGGGATAAACTTGGAAAACAAGGTCTTTGCTATTTTCTCTATAGGAATTGAGACTGTTTTACTCAAGATGATCAACATAATCTTGACATTTGAATACTGGAGAGGGAGAATTCCAAAGAAAAGATACATTTTAGTATGTCTTAACCCATTATTGATTCATTGTTTAGTGGAGCAGATTCAAAAGTAACTGTGGGCTTTTTCTCAAGCAAGAAATATTTTAAAATGCATACCATCCTATGAATACTTGAAAGAAGTGATTCAATCTGTACAATTAAAAAGTAGTTTGTTCTAGTGATGATTTGCTGCTCCTTATTGTTTAAGGTTCCAGTTAAATGGCAAATCTTCTAGTCAGTGTGTCCCAGAAGGAGAGACAGTAATCTGGAATAATAAGTTTCCTGTTTGTGAACGTGAGTAAAACATAAAAATAACCAAATATGGATCTTGTCTCTTGATTCTATATTCCCATGCAGTTACTAAATAAAACATCACCCAACTATGTACTTTTAACAAATATTTGCCACTTTTCTCTGTTTAAAATACAGGAAAAATATTAAATTTGTTCACTTGTTAACATATTAAGTTGTGATTCTGCAAATAAAGTAATAAAGACTCTGGAAAATTTCCTGTAACAAAACCAAGCAGAACCTATTCTAGTGTACTAAAACTCTGGTTGTGCCTCCATATGTCATTTCTTGTACTGAAGAACTCTACCTGAGGCCGAATGAACAGTACTGGAAATTCAGACATTGACAATTTTCTCTTTATTCTGCAACTTGCCCAGAAGAGATGTACACACACACACACACACACACACACACACACACACACTCATATATATATATATATTAGTAGCTGTTAACAACTAATATCCTTCATGCGACCAGGATGTACAAAGAATATGAGATCAATACTTAAATGGTTTTCTCAAAGGAACCTGACATTAAGGGGCCTTAAATGACTTGTAATGAGGGTTGCAGTGTCTTCGGTAACAGTATGTAATGTGACTATTCTACCTGTAAGCTAGCTGTGTTTCAAACAGGCACTGCATAACTAGTGTGTTTGGGTACTGTCCCTGCCCATCTCACATGCTTTTGTCTCTCTATATTCTTATCATACCTTAAGTAGCCTGAACTATAGACTGGGAAACTGAGGCTAGGGGAGAGTACGACTTGCCTAAAGTCATGCAGCTATTGAATGACAGTGAGGATTTGGAACCAGGGCTATTGAGCCCAGATCAGTTCATGTTGATTCCCTACATGCAATTAGCATCTAATTAAGTATTTTAAGTTTGCCTCTTTGTTTATTAAAAGTGTCTAGAGTAAAAAAATTATAGAAATAATCCCTGAAAGTACAGATTAGATAGCTTTTCTTCTACTTCTTTATTTGGTTAAGGTGATTTATGTTGATTTCTTTGACAAGGATCAAGAAAGAGGTAAGAACTTAAGCATTTAGAAATAAACAAATTATAAGTAAAATCATAAAGCATTTGATTTCTAGTATATTTCTGGAAAAATGATTTGATCTATACTTGAAACTTTTATTTATTTAGTTTTAAATGATCAATATGCTCACTTGGCCTCTTTTCTACTTTTCAGAGATTTCTTGTGACCCTCCTCCTGAAGTCGAAAATGCTCGGAAACCCCATTTTTCTCTTCCCATACCCCTTCAAACTGTTGTTCTGTACTCCTGTTTATATGGCTTCCGCCTGATTGGAGAAAAGACTCTTTTCTGTATAAGTAAAGATCAAGTGAAGGGCACCTGGGATAAAGCTCCTCCTGTATGTGAAAATTGGAATAAGCATTCTGTTTGTTCAGAGCCTATAGTACCAGGGGGATTCAAAAGTAGAAGATCTAAACCACCATTCAAACATGGTGACTCTGTGACATTCACCTGTAGAGCCAACTTCACCATGAAAGGAAGCAAAACAGTCTGGTGCCAAGCAAATAATATGTGGGGACCAACACCACTACCAATTTGTGAGAGCGGTAAGTACAGAAATAAAACCTAGCCAAGGGCCTGGCGCCTATCAGCTGTGAGAGCACTGCGTGTGGGAACAAAGCTTCATCAAGGGCTGGGGCTGTGCATGTTGAGTATGGAAGTTGAGCCTCATTGAGGACTGTGATCTTCCATTTATGGACAGATCATCTTATTGCATGCTCCCAAAGGAAGAATTGTGTAGGTCTTGTCCCTGGCACTTGAACTGGCTTTTGGGAGCCCATTCCCAATGCTGAGTTGCCTCTATAAACACATTCACAAGTGATCTCTTTACTCAAACCACTTCCTGGGCTGTAGCATTTCAAATAAACTAACTTTAAAAAATAGAAACTACTGTGAATGTTTTATTCTCTTTTCATCTTGTTTGTGCTGTTAATGAATCTAAGTCCAAAGTTTAATTCTGTGAGTTACAGAAATTGTCAGTAGTTGACAAAATTATACTATAAAAAGTTTTTAATAAAGAACAATATTGATCAATTGTAAATAGATTATAGAACTTAGGAAGTGCTAGATATTGTTTATAAACATGATTCACTCTGGCCTGGGAGCACAGAGCTGCAATCTCAGCTTCACAGGAGGCTGAAGTAAGAGATTACAAGTTCAAGGCCTGCCTGGGGCACACTGTAATTTTAAAGCCAGCCTGGGCAACTTAGTCAGAACTTGCCTTGAAATAAAAAGGAACCAAAGGGATTGTGGATGTAACTCAATGACAGAGTGCTTGCCTAGTTCAATCCCAAGTACCACAAACTATATTTATTTTACTTATGTATCAGTAGGTTGCTTAACCAGTAATCTCAAAATGGATTGTCTATGGAAAATAAAGATTTGGGTGGTCCTATATATATTCAAATGAAAAAAATTTTACCATGGAATAAAAAAGAAATTAGAACAGTATGTATTATACATAATGTACATATTTATATACATGTTATATGTATAAAGTACCAATAAACTGTATTAACAATGTGTAATATGATAATCTTTTGAATGATAGGCTTAAAGATGAATAAAACCGAACCTTTCAAGTAACTGAAACATTTCTAAAGGCTAAAATAAAATGAAAATAACACAATAGAGCTGGGTGTGGTGGTACATACCTTTAATTTCCATACTTGGGAGGCAGAAGCAGGTGGATCTTTGTGAGTTCAAAGGTAGCCTGATTTACATAATGAGTTCCAGGTCTACCAGGGTTACATAGTGAGACCATGTCCTCCCCAAATTGCAATTGTTTTTTCAAAAAGGATACAATTAAGCCATATCTGGTTGGGAATGAGTTGAAAGTTAATGGTGACTGGTTACCACAGATTGCATGCTATTTATTTAGATATGTGTCCTAAGCAGACATATAAATTCATAAGTACTTATTATCTGATGACTTTTCCCCCTACATTTATGTATAAAGATTTCCCTCTAGCGTGCCCATCACTTCCCATGATCCATAATGGACACCACACAGGACAGCAAGTTGGCCAGTTTGCTGCAGGGTTATCTGTGACATATAGTTGTGATCCTGGTTATTTACTTATTGGACAAAAGACAATTAAGTGCTTATCTTCAGGAGTCTGGGATAGTGTCATCCCCACATGCAAAGGTATCTTTAATTTACTATCTACTGGGGGCTGGCCTGATGTTTGCTACGATTTAGTTCTTATTCTTGCCATTTTTTCCCCTAGAGGCCAAGTGTGAACCTCCAGGACAGATTCCCAATGGGCAGATAAAAGGGCCCCTGAGTCTTCAGGTTGGCAAAACTGTGTACTTCTCCTGTAATAAAGGGTGAGTGTCAGGAGGGTTTGTAAAACTTAATGCACTTGTATTATATATGCCTTCTGTGAACTATAAAGCCAACAGAAGGAACATGGATGAGCCTGGTTGTTATTCAAGGATAATCTGGAATGAGGTAGTGAAAGAGAATACTAATAAAAGGGTAGCTGAACAGATTAAGTGGACCTGTTGTAGATTTAAAGCCAAGCTAACCAGTTTCTCAGCACAAACTGCCTAATAGTACTAAATTCTAACCCCTGTCTCTAGGTATCAATTACAAGGACAACCTTCTAGTCAGTGTGTAATTGTTGAACAGAAAGCCATTTGGACCAAAAAGCCAGTATGTAAAGGTAGGTAAGACAATGGTGTTTTGGTAAGGAAATACAGGGGTCCACACATAATGCATCCTTGGCTTTTCTATAAGCATATACTTTTTCCTGTAAGCTTACGTGTGTGTGTGTGTGTGTGTGTGTGTGTGTGTGTGTGTGTGTGTAAAATAAAACTAGAAATCTTAAAGGTCTGGTCTGTACTGCAATGCCCTTCAATTGCCTTTTTACTCTGTTTCTTTAAGTCAAAAGAAGCAAGCAGCTTTTCTTTTTCTCAAAGGCACATGATCTTGGTGAGGGAATTTGAACCAGATTTATTAAGAAGATTGTGTATTTGGTAACCAGAACTGAGAAATCAGCAAAGGAGACATACTCAAAACTAAAGTTTTAAAATCGCATTTGTAATTGCATTGCATTAGCTGACTGGATGACTTATTGCAGATTCAGAAATCACTCTCCTCTACCTTCTCTAGAAATTCTCTGCCCTCCACCTCCACCTGCTCTTAATGGAAGACATACAGGCAGCTTTTCAGCACATGTACCATATGGAAGCACAGTTAACTACACCTGTGACCCAAGCCCTGAGAAAGGCGTGAGCTTCATTCTTATTGGAGAGAAGACTATCTATTGTGCCAGCGACAGTAAGGGCATTGGGATCTGGAGTGGCCCTGCTCCACATTGTGTACTTTCAATTTCTGCGGTTCAGTGTCTAAAGCCCCAGATAGATAGAGGCCAAGTGTTATCAATTTTGAAAGACAGATATTCCTATAATGACACTGTGACACTGTCTTGTGAATCTGGCTTCAACTTGAAGGGCAGCAAGAGAATCCGATGCAATGCCCAGGGCTCATGGGAGCCATCGGTTCCAGTGTGTGAAAAAGGTAGGTGCTTAATAATCAGAAGATGAAATATTTCCAAAGTTTATAGGAAGGGCCTATGAACTTTACACAGGGCCCTTTGTAGTCCCTATACCTTCAGTCATACGATAGTGGATATAAACTAAAAAGAAGGCTTCCTTAGCACTCCATTACCACTATGGAAAATATACTAGAGTTTACTAAGTTGTCCACTTCTTTAGGAAATACAAGAGCAAAAATACTTTTTGTCTGAAAAGTGATTTTTTAAAGAAAAGTTACCAAAGTTTTCACCTGGGGGTATATTAAAATCTTCTATAAAGTCTTCTAAGATAATTCCTTCAGAAGGGAAAAGATGGTGTAATGGCACATGCCAAAAATCGCTGTAACTGAGAAGACCGATACAAAAAGTTGTGAATTTGAGTTGGGGTACATAGTAAAATCCTATCTTTAAGAAAAAAATGATGGAAGAAAAAGAAATAGTTGGGGGTGGGGGACAGGATATGAGCTATAGCAAGCAGAAGTCAATTAGATCAGCGGCAGCCTGAGTACAGAAAGAAAATATGATTGAGAAATGATAACTTGAAATTACCTAAGGACTGCAAAATATCATCTGTTACAGATAGCTGACATAAGCATGGGGTTATCATATTAATTTTGACTTCTTTGGCTCAGTTTCTATTTTTTACTCTAAAAATGTTCCATTGTATCTGTTTTTTTTTTTCTTTAGAATGTCCAGCTCCTCCTAAAATTATCAATGGGCAAAAAGAAGACAGGCACTTCCTCAACTTTGACCCTGGAACATCCATAAGATATAGCTGTGACCCTGGCTATTTACTGGTGGGAGGGGACACTATAAACTGTACTCCTGAGGGCAAATGGATACCCGCTGCCCCCCAGTGCAAAGGTACTACACTACAACTACTGATACTTTGCCTAAGATTTTCTTGTGTTGTTACTCATCCTTATCTTTTTTTTTTCTTAGTTGCGGAGTGTGAACCAGTAGGCCCACATCTTTTTAAGAAGCCTCAGAATCACTTTATTAGGACAGCTGTTAATTCTTCTTGTGGTGAAGGGTGAGTGAAGCATGTCTCATCCTGAATGAGGCCTGTCTTATCAGTACCCACTGAAAACTGTGTAAGAGTTCATTTTATAGGTCTTTCTTTGTCATATACTCATGGATTGCTTACCACGATGTTTTTCATTGCTTGGGAACTACACAATGGATAGAGGGTGCTGAAGTTGGCTGCGTTTTTTTTTTTTTCTTGTTGCATTTTGTCCTAAAATTTGTCAGTCTGCCTTTGGAGTCCATAGTTCTTGGTTAGCTTATTGGTAACCACATCGCCAAATGAAATGACTCTTTGTCTCCAGGTCCCGGTTAAGTGAAAGTGCTTATCAGCTGTGTCAAGGTACAATTCCTTGGTTTATAGAGATTCGTCTTTGTAAAGGTGAGTAACAAAACTAACAGAGAATTTAAGGTGATATAAGATGGATGAGTATCCTATCTTAGACTCTGTTATGGGAATTAATACATTATTTCCTCAAGTTTTAGGGCTATTTTGTTGTCTTTCTTCTGTTACCTCTTTCTACTTTAATCAGTCAAATTCCATGTACTTAGTTTCCAAGTCTATGTTGTGGTCTAGGGTTACTAGAGTAAAGAGAATGGTAACTATCTGAGTGACTATCCCTACTTTAGGTTACATCAAGGTTGAATGAAGAGATTAGGAGATTGGAGTTAAATTTGAACTCAGAACTCAGATTCTGTTCCTACTGTCTAATACCTGTATGACCTTTGGCAACATATATGACTTGTAGAAACACTAGTCTCATTTGTAAAAGTGTCACCAAACTGCAGGTTTCAGTTATTAGAATAAAATGCTACTGTACCTGTTTTCTGGATGATGAAACTTCCTATTGTAAAGTAGGTGTTCAACTACCAAATTTCCAGCCATATAGCTTTTGTAACAAGATAAACTCCAAAAGCATGATTCTATCTCTTGTACCTTTTACTCTCATATTGACTGTGATAAAATAATTATTAATTTAATTAGAAAGTGATTATTGGGTCTTACTATATCATGTGTTTAGTTTCAATAACAATCTCATTTTCACTGAAATCAGTTTAAATCAAAATTTACATCCACAATATTTGACATAACTCACAGCATGAGCATTCATCCACACCCTCCAGAGAAACACGGTCAGAACTGCTGCACTTCTAACCATGGATCAGATGTCTTCAGTATCTTTTTGTGTCTCCAGAAATCACCTGTCCACCACCTCCTATTATCCACAATGGGACACATACAGGAAGTTCCTCAGAAGATGTCCCATATGGAACTGTGATCACCTACATGTGTTATCCCGGGCCAGAAGAAGGAGTGCAATTCAACCTCATCGGGGAACGCACCATCCGCTGTACAAGTGACAGCAGAGGGAGAGGCTCCTGGAGTGGCCCTGCCCCTCTCTGTAAACTTTCCCTCCCTGCTGTTCAGTGCTCAGATGTCCGTGTGCCAAATGGATATAAGCTTACTAACAAAGAAGCCCCATATTTCTACAATGATAGTGTGACGTTGAAGTGTAATGATGGATACATTTTGAATGGAAGTAGTCAGATTCGTTGCAAAGCCAATAACACCTGGGATCCTCAAATTCCACGTTGTGAAAAAGGTAAAAAGCTAAACCCAATGGGAATACTAAATGGTTCTTACTTATTTATGTTTTTCTTTTTTGTTTTTTAATTGAAGGACTGGAACTCTAACTCAGGGCCTTGCACAAACTTGGCACGTATAAGCTACATCTCCAACCCCTATAGTTTAGTCTTCTTTATTATTTCCTACCCAAAACAAGAGTCTTTTTTAAAAAGGCAAAGGGGACACAGATTTTCTTCATGTATTTCCTCCATTACACAGAAAGCTATACATGTGTTGTATTGTGATCTTTGCATGAGTGTACCCTTGGGCTTGGAACATATTCAGAGAAGAACTTTTAAAGAAGACTCATACCAAAAAGAAAGACAACCCAGCAACTAAAGGAACATTCACATTACCATCAGGACTCCACAGTCATGAAGACAGACAATAGATAGGCTTGTTTCCTACAGCATGAATCCAGGATCACAGGTATAGCCACAGAACAAAAAGCATTCTATGATGGATGAGAACTTCCTGAACCATGCCTTCAAAGTTTCAGATTGGCACCATCTGTTGTGTTCTTTCAGTTCTGGAATAGAATGCTGTTGTTGGTGTTTCTGTGGGAAGTTTGCTCTCCAAGCCACCACCCTCTTAGGCCACCATAGTTGGTATATATGTAGAAATATGTTTCTCTGTCTCTGGGATAACATGAACACACTTGTGACCCTTAATGTAAGTTATAGGAAACAAATTCACCCATTACCTTCTGGACAACAGAGTCTTGTTCATGTGAAGGTTCTTTTTGATTTTGAGTCGTCTTTCATTTTGGTATGAGGAACCTGAAAGCAATCTCAACTTTGTTCCTCCAGAAGGATGTGAGCCTGTGAGAGAACTCCATGAGCTTCCAGATGATTCACATGTAAAACTAGTGAATAGAGCCTGTCAACATGGGTGAGTGTGAAGTTGCCCATTCTAAGAAAGAATTCCTACCTTGTTCTGGGTATTAACTAGACCCACAGCTTGTCTTGGTAAAACCCTTTGGGAATTCCTTATTCTCTGGCCCACAATGATTTAACTAGCAAGCCCTGTCTGCTTTTCTAACATGGGGAGGGATTTCCTGAAAGTTCCTTTTTTTCTCAATATATGTTTTTTATTAATTAGAAACATGCATGCTTCCCATGTCAATCCCAGCTTCCTTTCCCACCCCTCCTCCCTTGTCCCTACACCAGCCCTCCCCTAGCCCCCCACCCAATCCCCACATCATTTCCCAGGGAGGGTGAGGCCCTCCTTGGGGGGATCTCTAGAGTCTGTCATTTCATCCAGGGCAGGACCTAGGCCCTTCCCAATGTGTCCAGGCTGAGAGAGCATCCCTCCATGTGGAATGGGCTCCCAAAGTTCATTCGTATGCCATGGTAAACACTGGTCTACTACCTAAGGCCCCAGAGATTTCTGAGGCCTCCTCACTGACACTACATCCATGGGGGCTGGATCAGTCCCTATTGGCCTCTCAGCCATCAGTCTGGGGTTCAAGAGCTCCCCCTTGTCCGGTCAGCTGTCTTTGTGGGTTTCACCAGCACGGTCTTGACCCCTTTGTTCATCTCTGTCACTGGGTTCCAGGAATTCACTTCAGTGTTTAGCTGTGGGTATCTGTCTCTGCTTCCATCAGCCACTAGATGAAGGTTCTAGAGTGGCATATAAGGTAGTCATCAACCTTACATCAGGTAGGGGCTATTAATTTAGTCTCTCCACTATTGCTTAGTTTGCCAGTTGGTGTTATCCTTGTAGATCTCTGGAAATCTCACTAGTGTCAACTCTCTCCTCAAACCTATAATGACTCCATCTATTGTGATATCTCTCATCTTGCTGTCCTCTATTCTTACCCCGACTCAACCTTCCTGCTCCCCCATGTCTTCTTCTCCCCTCCTCTTATCCCCCTCTCTTTTTCCTGGTTTCCTCTCCCCTCCCCCCATTTTCCCAATCTGCTCAGGAGATCTTGCCTCATTCCACTTCTCTGGGGTATCATGCATATCTCTTGTGAACCTCCTGTTTCCCAGACTCACGGGCACTGGGATTGTTCGCTATGTTGCCAAGTATGTGGTCGATTTTTGAGAAGGTTCCATGTGGCGCTGAGAAGAAGGTATATTCTTTTGTGTTTGGATGGAGTGTTCTATAGATGTCTGTTAAACCCAATTGGGTCATAACTTCTATTATTTCCTTTGTATCCTTGTTAAGTTTCTGTCTGGTAGTCCCGTCTAGTGGTGAGAGTGGGGTGTTGAAGTCTCCCACTATAAGTGTGTGAGGTTTTATATGTGCTTTGAGTTTTAGTAATGTTTCTTTTATGAACGTGGATGCCTTTGTATTTTGGGCATAGATGTTCAGAATTGAGACTTCATCTTGGTGGATTTCTCCTGTGATGAGTATGAAGTTACTTCCTTCATCTCTTTTGATTGATTTTAGTTTAAAGTCTAATTTGTTAGATATTAAGATTGCTACCCTCGCTTGTTTGTTGGGTCCATGAGAGTTTCTTATACAGAAATAGTTTTCTGATTTGGAGGACGGTAGAAAGATAAATAAAAGAGTCAGAGACAGATATTAGGGTTCAAGCTAAAGATCAGAAAAGCAAAGCAGGCAGCCGCTAACTCTTACCTCTACCTCAGCTCAAACCAAAGGGGTGATCTTCAAGCTGCTCCCAACTTCACTGCTCCTCAGATTCACTCAGACTGCTATGCTCTCCTCAATGTGACTAGAGACTAACTCTCAGACTGAATGTCTCTACCTTTTATACCACTCAAATCCTGGTAATTAAGGTGTGAGCTTTGATTCACTCTCTGGTAGCCCAGGGTGGTCTTGGAGTCAGAGATTCATCTTCCTTTCTCCTGAGACCTGGGATAAAAGGTGCGTATCACCACTGCCAGATCTCTATAGCCTGAAGCTAGTTTTGCTTTGTGAATCCTTATGTAAGCTTTAATAAATCATAAACAATATATATCATCACAGAGGACCAAGAGTTTAAGTTTATTTGTGCTAAAGCTGACATTTAGAAGTACCCTATAGTTGGACCGTCTACATTACAGAGGTGAAATGTTGAAAATAAATGTAGCATAACATGTTTTTCTAGGTACCAGTTAACTGGACATACTTATGAGAAGTGTCAAAATGTTGAGAATGGGACTTGGTTCCAAAAGATTGCGGTTTGTAAAGGTAAATTATGGACATGGGGGAAGCCAACCACAGATTAGGGAGTTAGAAATGAATAATCAATTAGTGGACAGTAAGTTTACAAGTTCTTTAATAGTTTATACTTCTCTTTGCTATATATAAGATGTGGAAAATCTTTTAGTTTTGATCACCAGTGGCATTGAGAAACAATTTGCCAAGCAGGAATGAGTATTTACCATATGAATATGGATGTGAATATACATATATATATATATATTCTAATTTTACTAAATAGAAAAATATGTGGAATATTTATGGGGTTTAGGAACACAGCTATATTTCTTTCTTTATACTTCATTTTATTTTCTGAACTTTTTGGAATGAATCTGTACATAAATTGATAAATCATGTTCTAATTTCCAAATTTTAAATAATTTTCTATTCATATAAATTATAAGGCACTTGTACAGTGTTGCTTACATTGGGATGAACATTCGAATTCTCTAAATCTCTTCTGCAGTCATTCTCTGTCCACCTCCACCAATAGTTGATAATGGGAGGCTCACAGGCACGATGGAAGAGCCCTTCCTGTATGGAAGTGAAGTCTTTTATGAATGCAATCAAGGGTTTGATCTTCAGGGGAAGAAAAGTTTGCAATGCATAAATGATCCTAAAGGACATGGATATTGGAGTGGACCTCCACCAGCGTGCTTACAATCTTCTCCTCCAACTCATTGCCCTGATCCGGAAGTCAAACATGGATACAAACTCAACAAAACTTATTCTGCATATTCCCATAATGAAATAGTACATGTTGCCTGCAATCCTGGTTTCATCATGAATGGTAGTCACTTGATAAGGTGTCATACCAATAACACATGGGTACCAGGTATACCAACTTGTATCAGAAAAGGTATGCAATTTTCATGGATAAAAAGGTGAAACATTTTACAAAATAAAGAAGGCTTTTGAGTATGCATTCTACCTAAAGTAAAGCATCTAAAAGCTAAAGCAGTTAAGTTTTTAAAGATGATCAGCCTTTTCCTATCTTCTCACTTGATTCTCTTTTCTCTTTCATTTGAACAGAGTAAGAGTACCTGAAATTATGATTAATTTATATATCAATCAATCTCTAACTTACTCATTCTTATGAACTTAGTGAAAAGGTGGGCACACTTTTTGGTAAATACTGTTTGAAATTTTGATATTTAAGGCTATCATGCCACCCAGAATGAGGATATTGGATGCTCTGAAGAATGAACCTGACCTTCAAACCCACTAAATTGTCTCATAATTTCAGCTATCATTTGACAGCTTGGTCCTGCTAGGGACTGTCCTCATCAGAGACTGCCAGGTGCAGCCTCATTAAATTAAGCTCTACAGAAGTGTATTTTCACTTCCTTGTTCCTGGGCATCTGTATGCGTGGTACATGGTGGGAAGATAGTAGATCAATTAGTTTTAAACACTGTTACTCTTGGACCAACCGAGGGAATATAATAGAATAGGCTAATAAATCATATTTGTGAACCACAGCTACAGTTATTATAGCATCATATGTTCAACTGTTTTCTTCTAATCATGTATAGTATATAGAGGAAAAGCACACATTTGTCCAAACTTGAGAATTAACTAATTGTCTTGTTTCTTATTGCTTTTCTGTGTTGCTATCACCCAGGGATTGTGTTGTCTGTGTGTTATTCTGTGCCCAATTAAAAGTCTTTCTTTATTGATCTCCAAGCTTTCTTAGGGTGCCGTTCTCCATCCATGATCCCCAATGGGAATCATACTGGTGGGAATATAGCTCTGTTTTCCCCTGGAATGTCAGTCATGTACAGCTGTTACCAAGGTTACCTTCTGGCTGGAGAGGCACTTCTTCTCTGTACTCATGAAGGTACCTGGAGCCAACCTGCTCCTTATTGTAAAGGTATTTTGTCCACTTTGTTGTTGTTATTGTTGTTCTTTCTAGCAAAGTAATTCGTCCCAAATATATATGTTCAGTTAAGAATTTCAACTTAAAATGTTAGAGATCAATTCTATGATTTAATTGAGTGCATTTAATCCATTAATACAATTATCTCAAATCTTAAAATAAAAATGCTATAACTATATGGCTAATTGATGGGGAAGTCCTGTGTATATGTCAATAAAACACTGCTGGCCAATAGGGAAGCAAGATAGGTGGGACTAGGAGTACAGGAGGACTCTGGGTAGGACAAACACAGGGAGTCACGATGTAGCCCGCCAGAGAAGTAAGATGTCCGGAACTTTTCTCTGGTAAGAGAAATATTTAGATTAACAATTATGGGATAAATACTTAAGTCAGAGCTAGCCAGTAAGAAACAGGCAAGGTCAACAGCTTCATAATTAATACAGTATCTTGTGTGTTATTTGGGGACTACAACGCGGCAGAGCCTAGGCTACTGGTGGGGAAAAACCAAAGCGGCTGACAAGGAAAAGGCTCTCTCTCTACAGCTAATAATTATTTAGTTATTTATTTGTAGATAGTTAAAGAGATATTTGTAATTTAAGCAACTAAGCAAAGGTTATAGTCACACTAGTGTTAAAGTTTAAGTAAGAGTGCATTTGACAAAACATCAATAAAAATCATAATGTTCTTTTGATTCTGTTTCCCTATTTGGTGGTGAGATTATGGGCAGTTTTTTTTCTATTGATTATTTGGGAATCCTACATAACACACTCTAATGCACTAACATCCTAATCTCCTCTTATCCACACCGCTCCACTATGACCTCTCCCTCCACAAAAGATAAGAAAAAGAAAAGAGTCCATTTTGTGTTGTTCATATCCTCACGGGTGCATGGTCAAGTGCCTAGTGCCCAGTTCCCCAAGTGAGGATAACTCTTTCTCCACCTGCATCTGCACCAGAAGCCATCAACTGAGGAGAGCTGTGCATTGCTCTGTGAAGGGAGGGGCCAGCTCTCCAATGCCCACTCTAGTGATAGCTCTCCTGTACCTGCCACTACTGTGCATTGGCAGGTGAGGGTTGGGCCAGCTCTTCCACAATATAGACAAATTTTACAAATATTTCTACGTATTTTGTGAAATAATTGTTACCAACAATGTGTATGAAATAAGAATAGTAAGTCAGTACATAATATTGCTGAGAAGTATACTATATGGCAGATGCTGCGCATTGCTTCCATTACTATCTCATTTAATGTTCAGGAAACCCATAAAAGAAATGGCACCATTGTTATTTCTGCTTTGTAGATAAGGTTCCAATGTCTCAGAGAGATTTGTGACCTATTCAAAGTCACAAAAATAGCAGTGAGGATTCAACTCCAAAGTCTTACCAGGCATGTTTCTATTTTTCATATTGTGAAATGATGCTATCATATACAAAATTCATGTTCAAGAACTGTGCAATTGGGGCAAAAGATAGTTCAGTGGTTAAGAGTGCAAGTTGTTCTTCCACAAGACCAAAGTTCAGTTCCTACCACCTACGTAGGGTGATAAACAGCCACCTACAACTCCAGATCCCAGGATTCCAAAGTAGAAAAAAAGAGGATTTTCTTGCATCTAAAGGCACCTGCACATATATGCTGTACTTACGCATGTACACGTGCATGTGTACACACACATACACACACACACGGAGAAATTTTAAAAATAAATGTACAACAAAATGTCAGAAAAATCATAATACTCTAAATATGTTTAAGATTTTGTGTTAGGTCACATTCATAGCTAGTTATCTTGGAATGAATCCTGTGGCCTGCAGGCTGCAAGTTGGACACTATTGGCTCATATGCTCAAAATATCAAAGAAGCAATGAGATTGCATGTGTACTTATGAATGATTAGAGAAAAGGACTAGAAACCAAGAAGGAATAGCAATTTGAAACAATATTATGCATTCAGCCCTTGGTATCTCTCTAAGAAGGCACCAGGATTATTTAAACACAGTTAGCATAGACACACAAACAGAAAACAATCCAGATTAAGTTGCTAGGTAGTTGGTAAAAAATGGTTGGCAATAAAGACTGCCCAGAGTATTGCCTTATGCTATCCAATGAAACTTTGCTTACTGATAATGAAATAATCTGACCCCATAACCTTTCTAGTAAGGCCAGTTTCTACTTTCTTGGTAAAAGGACAAACCATGACTGTGTATTAGTAAGATTTCTTTAATTGCAGAGGTAAACTGTAGCTTCCCTGATGATGCAAATGGAATACAGAAGGGACTCCAGCTTGGGAAAATGTATCGGTATGGAGCTACTGTGGCTTTGGAATGTGAGGATGGGTATACTTTGGAGGGCAGTCCTCAGAGCCAGTGCCAAGATGACCACCAATGGAACCCTCCCCTGGCTATGTGCAAATACCGTAAGTGCAAGTGCCTCACTGCTCTTTGTATGTTGCCAGTGCAGGAGGGGAATGGAGTGTCTATCAATGTAGGATATTCTTTGACATAGCAAGCAGTGATATGACAACAGATTAACTGAAAGGCAGTAGTCAATACAAAGAAAAATATAGTTGAGGATGGGGCACATCACATCAAGAGGGGCACAGCAGTCTAAAAGGAGCAAATACGGAAAATTCACAGCCTTCTAGTTTGAAAAAACTTCCATCATAATTGTCTCTTGGCTAATTTTTAATGCTTACCAACTGGAGAGGGCTTCCAAAAACATGTCAACTAACCTGTTACAAACAGTTCATATTTTCACTTGATCTCAAAAATCACTGAAGATAAAACTGAGTGTATTGATGTCGCACCTGCTGTGCGGCCTGCATCCGAGAATGTAGCGAGGTGGTCGGGATAGATGACACAGAGACCGGTCGGTTGCTTTAAGAAAACTTTATGCTTCCCAAGTCAGCTTAGGAGGAGACCCCAGTCCGCTTAGGAGAGAGCTCTCAGGAGAAGTCTCTCCAAGAAAAAGGAGCTTCCCTTTTTAAGGACTTCTGCCATTCATCTACATACCATTCTTTCCAGACTTCTCACCCTCCTGGCTGGTGGTTTAATCTCAGGCCCCAGAATCGGGGAGACACCACAGGGGGGACAGGAAGAGGCATCTAGCCATAGGGGGTGTGAAAGGCATGGTATTTCAGTGAGCAAGCCCTTATCTGAGCCCCAACAAGAGCTTTAGCACTGAATTGTTTTCAGTAAACATTACACAGCTGCCTGCTCCCAGGCCAAAGGGGAAGTGGGTTTCTGCTCAAGGTCTGGTGTCCCCACATATTGATAAACTTCCACAACTTAACTAATTAAAGTGAGGGAATATCCATTGAATTTTGACATGATAAAAGAGTGAATATAACTTGGGAAACCAATATTTATCATAAGCAAACTAAATGGGAGCTGAGTGTCCACTTCTGTAACATTGCCAGATGTAATGGTACCTAGATGACATTGACTTGTACTAACAGATTGATGTTTCATGGTCTTTTTTCTCTTTAGGGTACACTATTCCTCTTATTTCTGGTGAGTTCTCTTAAATACTTAAGAAGAGTTCTTATAAGTTTTTATAAATATGTATAATTAGATGTTTTACATTCTACACATTAATATGTTTCATTTTAATTCATTAGGTCTGATGTTCTTTCATGTTTTAACGGTATTTTAATGTTCTTGGTGTATTGTAAAATGTCCATTTAGGTTAAAGTTGAAAATGTACTTTTTAAATTGAATGTCTCTTCACATTTGCGCTTGGTATTTGGTACAACTGAAATAAGTAATCTTATTCTGCTACAGCAAAATATATGTCACAACTAAGGGTCAAATATTGTTATGCAAAATCATGGGATTCTGGTACCCTACCCTATGTTCCTAATTACCCTAGGAACAAGATTGTTTACCAATTAAACTGAAAGGAACAGTAGAAAATTTGATGGAAAGTTAACTGGAATCCTGTGGTCCATGTGCCCGGTGCTGCAGACAAAACATGGATTAGACATAACTAGAAAAAACTTAAAGCTGAATTATGATTATTCAGTAGTTCAGTGTTTATAGTTAAGAAAAATGTATTAGAAAATCACATTAACAACTTCTGTACCACTAGGAGTAACCCTACAATCAGTTCCTAGAGATACATGTTTTTTTTTCTGGTATTAAACATTCATTTTTCTCTTTCAGGTGTTTCTGCAGGCTCAGCAGTTATCATTTTGGTTGGTGTCACCTTCTGTATGATGTTAAAACACAGAGAACGGTAAGTTCAAAGGAATGCTTGACCGATATGTACCACAGGTTTTGGGTTCTTGTCTTCAACTAAACAAAACACAACTTACATGAATTGAAACTACAATGTGATCACTAGAGTGAAGTGTTTTGTGGTATAGAGGGCAGACTTCTCTATAGGAATTTAAAAGATACCCAATACACATCTTTTTATCCTTTTAAGATTTATTTATTGTGTATACAGTGTTCTGCCTGCATGTATGCCTTTTGGCCAGAAGAGGGCACCAGGTCTCATTACAGATGGTTGTGAGCCCCCATGTGGTTGCTGGGAATTGAACTCTGGAAGAGCTGTCAGTGCTCTTAACCTCTGAGCCATCTTTCCAGCCCCCAATATGCATCTTAAGTTGTAAAACTAAATTTAAAAATATCTAGGAAATAGCACAAAAACCCAAACAAAATAAACATCCAATGATGTTTTGAAATATTCTGTTTAATGGTTCTCTTGTATTCTTTCTTTCATTTTGTAAACTTTCATATAACCTTTTATCTAATTTCCTTTAGCTTATATAAAGCTTTTTCATAATTATTTGTCCTTCTAAAATATAAAAGTAAATATACTAGTTCTAACAATTAAATAATTTATGTAGAAAATACACCATTTATTTTTTCTGCACTACAATGTTAAAGAATGTCAGTGATGCCAGGCGTTGGTGGCTCACGCCTTTAATCCCAGCACTCTGGAGGCAGAGGCAGGCAGATCTCTGTGAGTTCGAGACCAGCCTGGTCTACTGAGCGAGTTCCAGGACAGTCTCCAAAACAATACAGAGAAACCCTGTCTCGAAAAACCAAAAAAAAAAAAAAAAAAAAAAAAAAAAAGAATGTCAGTGATTTTTCTGAGAATGTGTCATGTGTTGCTTTGTCTAGTATTCATACACATAATTTTGTAAAAAGTTTGCAAGTGATGCTAGAGAAATAGGAAGTATATGAAAAGCTCATGATCATGTCTGTTCATTGGTAATGCAGTAACTATGTATTACTTTATTATATTAACATCATGCTATACTACCAGGACATAGACCTTGACATTAAAAAGATCATAGTCTGGTAAAAGAGAAAAAGTTTGCAATTCAACAAGTACCATGATATTGCCATAGTTAATTATATAGTATTTAGTGAGGACACAAAACAGAGATTAATGTTTAATAGTTTTATTTGAATAGTGAAAAAAACTATTTCAGGTGAACCCAAAGATAGTGGAAACAAAGAGAGGAATATGTTCTAGGCAGAATGAAATGTTTGTTGGATATATTTTCTGTGCCTTTGATCTAGTATTCCTCTCCATCTTCTATCCCTATTATTCCTAGGTTTGGTCTTTTCATGGTATCCCAGATCTCATTGACATTTTGTGTTATGACTTTAATGTTTCTATGTTTACTATCAGAATATTGCATGTGTAGGGAAATGTTAAAAAAATGGAATATCCTAAAATAATTTATAATGTTCCTGTCTGCTGATTATCACTTAATATCATGTTATATCATGGGGTACTATGATCTTGAATCTCAGTGATATGAACAAAACAGTTATGTTTTAAAAAGTTCATGATATTTTTTTCAATTCCATTTTCTAATTTACTCAAATTATTTTCTACTAATGAAATGCATTTAAGCTTTTATTGTTTTGTAACTGAGAGTAATAAGCTATCTAGTGTCAGCTTCTAACTTGAACAATCACCAAACTAGTAAGTTATTTATTTAAGTTATTTATTTTTATGTGCCCTTAAAATAGGAGCATATGGTACTTAATATTTAAGAAAATGAGATGAAATCACATGTGAAAATATAGTTTTCTAGGATGATAGAAAGCAGACAGCTAGTGAATGTTCATCATGATCACAGTTAATGAGTAAAAGATTTGACTGTTTTTTCTTATGCCTCTCTTTTAGCAATTATTATACAAAGACAAGGCCTAAAGAAGGAGCTTTTCATTTAGAAACACGAGAAGTATATTCTGTTGATCCTTACAACCCAGCAAGCTGATAACATGACAAGTTGGTATATAATGAAACTGAAATGCATTACTAATATATATATATATATACAATATATATATATGTCAAGATTTGCTTTATGACTTTCTCAAGGCCTTTCTTATACATTGTTTGAAGTACATATTGATCTATATCATTCTTTAATAGCCATGTAGAATATTGTTAACTTACCTTCTTCATATTGTCAACTGAAGGTCATAGTTTAAAATATTGTCTATTCAGTAAATATGTAAAAATGTGATTAATAAAATTATTAAGGATAATTTTTAACAATTAAGAATGAAATAAAGTCAGATATGGTGGCACATGCTTATAATACTAGCACTTGGGAAATAGAAGGAAGATCAGGAATTTAATGCTGGCCTCAGCTACATAGTGAATTTGAGGGCAGCATTGACGGGATGAGGCCCTTTCTCAAAAGGGGCATGGGATAAGAATAAAGCAAGCATTATTAAAGAGAAACAGGGACAGAGGCTAGAGAAAAGCAAGTGATTACATAGAAAGCATTCACTAAGAAAATGGCATTTGTGCAAAGACTGGAGAAAAGTAGGGAGCCAACCAAGTAGGTACATAGAAGATGGGGATTCAAGGAATATACAAACAATAGCAAATTCAAAGACTACGAGGTCTTGCTATGTTGGCATAAAAAGATGGTGTGTGTGGCCTAGAGTGGATTGATCAAATAGGAAAAAAACATGTTCAGAGAGGGAACTTGGGAAGGAGCTGGAGGATTACACAGGGTGGTCTAGGTCATTGTAATAGGTCTTTATTCTGAGATGGGAAGTGCCCCCTGAGTTTTAAGCAGAAGAACTATGTATCAACCTTAACTGGTGGGTTAAGAAGAGGTTATAGGAAGTTAAGGATGGAAGAAGGGAATCAACAAGGAGGCTGAAACAATAATCTAAGCCAAAATCAACAGCCTGGCAAGGAGAGGCCATATTCTCCATGCATTTTTTAAAATAATAATAAGGGGGCTAGATGATGGTTTGTGTCTGGATATAAAGAATAAAGAAAGGTATTGATAATGATGTGAGGGATTTGGGACCTAAGCCACTGGGATGATAAAATTGCTATAAAGATAATTCAGAGTGGGACTGGAGAGATGGCTCAGAGGTTAAGAGCACTGACTGTTTTTCCAGAGGTCCTGAGTTCAGTTCCCCAAAACCACATGGTGGCTCACAACCACCTTGATTGAGATCTGGTACCCTCTGCTGGCCTGTATGCAGAAGGCTGTATACACAATAAATAAATAAAATATATAAAAAGATAATTCAGAGTGTGATAAGTAGACTGGAAAGAAATCAGTTCTGCTTTGGGAGTGTTTAATGTAAGATATCTAATAATCAAGTAAAAGTGTCAAGAAGGCAGCTGACAAATTCATATTTCAAGCATCACAGATGATACTGAACATACAAGCCCATACATAAATAAAGAGACCAAATCATATCAGCATGGGGGCAGAAGAGGAGAAGTCCAAGTAATGAGCCTTATGGCTTCTAATGTGAGGAGTTGTAAAGCAAGGAAGAGAGGCTGAAAAAAGAGGTAGCCTCTGATGCAAAAGCTTACATACAGCTTAGAGAAGAAAGGGACAGCTTTGAAGTTTCTGTTGACAGTTTACAAATGACAAGCAATGAAAACTGACTATTGGATTTAGCAGCACAAAATGTGTTGATGAACTTGACAAAAAATAGCTTTAGTATATGTAAAGGAGAAAGAAGCTGTATTAATCTCAAGAGAAACTGAAGGACCAACTATAGGTAGATGTTCTGTCTCCAGGAGTTTTTCTGCAATGGATCAGATAATCATAGAAAAAATAAAGGACAGACTTTTGACTAGTTAATAGATGCACCTATGCCACAGTTCCTATAAGATGATTGACGACGACTTGGTAGAAAGAGGAAAAAAACAAAAGCAAGAGAGTAAAAAAGAATTTCTGGACCACAATTTTAGTGGAGGAGTTTCTCAGATAGGAATAAAGGCTTAGTCACAAAATGGAAGCTATAACAAACAGAAACAAGGACAATGTTCCATGTGATATGATGGCAAATGAACAACCATTCTCTATTAATGGTGTAGCTTGCAATGACTAGGAAGCAGCCTGATTTGATGAGAATAAAACTCAGGGAGATGCAAGAAGTTAAGAGAAAGGAGAAATATTGAAGTAGAGGACTGAATGATGGAAAGTACAGAAAGCTGAGAAAGCACTTTTTATAACATACCTAAGGTGCCAGAGAAAAATGGGAGTGAACATCAGAGGGTATATTTTGCTGAGAGTCTTTGATGCCATATCTCACTCAGACTTCACTACCATTTTGAAAGATAGCTATTGATAGCTCAAAATTAACAAGAAATGAAAAGTGACCATTGGAACTTAGCAGCACAAAATTTGTTGATGAAATTGATAAGGCTGGTTTTTTTTTCAGAAATAAAGGGGAAAGATGATACCAAGATGAAGTAATAGTCCAGATGGAGAGACCAAAGCTAAAATATTCTCTTGGCCAAAGAATTCAGAATCGGGGTCTGGAAAAATGAATGGTTCAGAGGTTAAGAGCACTTATTGCTCTTGCAGAGGACCCAGGTTTAATTCCCAAAACCTACATGGTGACTCAGAACCATCTGCAACTCCGGTTCCAGAGGATCTGATGCCTTCTATTGATTTCTGTAAACTTTTGCACACATGTGGTACACATACATTCACTCAGGTGCACACACATATGCATACTTTAAAAAAGAATTTTAAACTTATTCCTATATATTTGACAGATACCTTCCCCTCTGTCCTCTTGAACTTATTTTATTAGGACAAAAAGACATACATATTATAGAGTAAGGGTAAGTGTCATAGGCAAACTACAGAAAAGCTATTGTAGTATTTGAAGAGGAAAATGTTACTTGCTCCTGGGGAGTCTTAGTAAAGGAACATAGGAGAAAGTGAACATTGTATCAGAGGGATCCCACACTCAAAGAAAGGGAGCAAAGAAAAAGCTACTGTATATTTGTTGGATAGACATCGATCTTTATTTTATTTGTATTTATCAGCATAAAATACACTTATGTGTTCCAGTTCATATTATCTGAAGTCCTTCATAATAGAATGATACCATCTAATTGGTTAATGATTGTAATTGTCAAAAATAGAGATTGTTGATGATGCTCTAGTCATGTTATTTAAATTTAAGTTACATTATTCACATTGTTACCTACATAGAAATAATCTGTTTCAGTGTCAGCATTGGACATTGATAAGAAAGAAAGCATTTGAGTATCAGCAAATCTATGAGTGATCCTAGCATGAGTGAACTAATTTCATAAGCTGTAATTTTTTACATGCAATTTATTCTCAAGCAGAACAGAGACGATTTGTTTGATGTTAAAGATGGGTTCCCAGCCATTGTGCAGTGAGGCCTACTCTATTAAGCTTTATCTGTGATCTGACTGAAGCCAGTCTGTGGGTATGGAAATGGAAATGACACTCCAAATATAAGCTTCTTTAAAAAAACATACTCTTATATATAGCGACCTACACACTGTTACCATATGCTTTGGATTACAATGGAGCTTTCAATATCTACCAGGGTTGAACAAACTGTGGCCTGTGGGCTACAAGAAGCCCAGAATAGCTATGAATACAGCCCAACACAAAATCAAAAACGTATTTAAAATTATCATGATATTTCCTTTTGTAGCATTTATTCTGTAATTTGGTTGTATAGTCCTCAAATGTGAACTTTTTAGATGACAATGTGTGTTGGGAAAACTGGAACGTTAAACACTCCTGTATCCGAAGTATTTCCTGCAATTACGATGACCACACCTAACTGGAAACCCTGATTTTAACAGAAATTTCTCTCTCTGATTTGGCTAAGCATACTCTCTTGGGTTAATGTTTTTCTCTTACTACTTTGTATTCTTTGCCTAGCCACAAACATTCTGTAATTCTAATTTGCACAAGATTTGGGAACTATAGAAACTGAGTTTTAGTTCAAGGTTTGGCTATTTTTTAAATAATTTTCTCATAAGCTTCAGCTTTTTATAAAATGTCATTTAGTAGTAATATATTCATCATTCAATAAACTCTGTTTTTAAAAAGATTACATGATTTTGTCTTTCTGAAATCAGTGATTTCCTAAATAATACACACCATTCTATGGTCTTAAGAGTTTTTAATTTAATAGTAATTCATTCTGGAAAACACCATTTGGTATTTTAGCCAATCTTTCAACCCACAGATTTAGCTCCCTCACACCCAAGATTTAGATATTATCATATATTATCCAGGGAGCAAGTTCCCTCAGCCCACTCATCTTCTCCCACTGTACCTTAGATCTAACTTTAAAACTATAGGGAAAAAACCCTTCCCATCAATGACCAGTTTTCTGTCTCATTGTCTCCTAGAGGAGGTATGCAATTTAGCATTGTGTGTGTGTGTGTGTGTGTGTGTGAGAGAGAGAGAGAGAGAGAGAGAGAGAGATAGATAGAGATAGAGATAGATAGAGATAGAGAGACAGACAGACAGACAGAAAGAGAGAGACAGAGACAGAGACAGAGTAGGGTAGTTATAATTGTGGCTTTAAAAATCTCATAGAGGAATGGAAAGATGGCTCAGCAGTGACAAGCACTTTCTGGTCTTCCAGAGGACCTGGGTTGGATTCCCAGTACCAGCATGGCAATTCACAACCATCTATAACTCCAGTTCCAGGAAATTAGACAGTCTCTTCTGAAGACTATAGCAGTAGGCACACACAAATTACACAGACATACATGAATGTAGAATAGCCAGACAAAGAAAATAAATTAATTAATAAATTAACTAAAAAAAGAAAAAAGAAACCTACAATAGCATGCTCCCAGTGCCCAGGCCACCTGGAAGCCACTAATGCTATGAACAAATGGAAGAGTCAGTAGATTTGGTAAGAAATATGGGAAGTTCAAAGAAAAAAATATTTCCCACATTAAGAATGGGGAAAATCACAATGCCAGGAATTAGGACTCTGTATAGTGCCACAATGCAGGTGGCATGAAAATGGAAAAAAATAAATGAAGGGATAACCAACTTAGTTGGGATTGATATAATATCAATTATAATTCTGTCAATCTGGTAATTCATATTTTATCTTTAAAAGGGGGATTTGATAACTGTGCCAAATATGAAAACTGACACCTTAGAAAGATTTATTACTGATGAGATACAAGCCTTAGAAAGACCTATTAATGAAAATAAGAAAAAGATATTCAGACACAGACAGAAGAATTTAAACCACAACCTACTGCATCACTACATGATGAAACTGGAGAGGAGCAAACCAAGGTTATTAGAGAGGGGGGGTGGGGGTAAAATAGGGGGAAGAGGGAATCATAGGATCGAAGACAGATCAGGCACCAGAGTGACCTCGAGTGATCTAAAGGTATAACATCAATTGGCAAGCTAAGCAATAGTGGAAGGACCACCTCGAATGCCCATTCCTGATAATGAACTTGATGTCTATAACTATCCGGGAGCCTTCATCCTGTGACTGATGGAAGCAGAGGCAAACACACAACTAAGCACTGAACTGAACCCAAGGAACCCAGTGACAGAGAGAGAGGAGTGATGAGCAAATTGGCAAGGAATGGGCTGGCAAAACCAGCAGAGACGGCTGATCTGAACAGGGGAGTGCTCTTGGACCCCAGACCGACAGTGGGGAGGCCAGAATGGGACTGATCTGGACCCCCCAAATGTGAGTGTCAGTGAGAAGGCCTGGGCAACCTATGGGGCTCTGAGCTGTGGATCAGTGTCTATCCCTGGTATACAATCTGTCTTCATGTGCCTATGGCACAAAGAGAGATGCTCTCTCAGCCTGGACTCTTAGGGGAGTGCCTTGACCCTACCAAGAGTGAAATGATAGACTCTAGACATCCCCTATGTGGAGGGATTTGGCAATAGGGTGGGAGGGAGGGTGGAAGGGGAGTGCGGGAGGAGGGGAGGGAGAGGGAACTGGGATTGACATGTGAAACAAGCTATTTAAAATTAAAATAAAAAATGATAAAAAAAAAAAAAAAAAAAAAGAAAACCAACCTTAGTTTATCCAGTTGCTATACACGAATGACCAGCAGATGGCAGGCAACCCCAAGGTTATGCAGAAGTTAAATGGAAGCCTATAGAAATATTAGATTTGAAGAGATTGGCGGAAACAGTCATTTTGTGTGGCATGCACTTACCTTATGTAAAACAGACATTAAATTTATGGGCAACTCAACATAATTATCCCCCCAAACTGGAAAGATTTAGTTTCACCAATATTGGAAGCTGGTCCTCAGTTACAATAGAGAACATGGTAAAAAGAGGAACTTAGGGCTATAGGACAACAAAAACAGGGCTAGATGCATTGATATTTCCCAAGACCAGTTTCTTGGTGAAGATCAATATGCTAATTTCAGAGACAGTTTGTATTTGATGGTCACCCTTAGCCCTATGTCATCCAGCAGCTTTGAATGCTTGGGGCAAGGTTGAAGAATCAGGAAAGAGGTCTGAGTCATTTACTAAAATTATACAAACCCAAAAGAAACCTGTACTGATATTTTGCAAAGATTGACTTCAGCTGCAAACAGAAGTCAGACAAATATTAATTGAATCTTCAGCTTTTGAAGACACTAATTCAGCAAAAGGATTAATAGACCTTTAAAGGCAAGATCAGCACCAATAGATGAATGGACTAGAAATACAGCTGATGGTGGATCTCATGCTTATGATGCTACTTTGATAGGAGAAATGAGGATCATATAAAACAATCCACCAGCCCTTGGAATACTCCAATATTTGTTATTAAGAAAAATCAGGCAGATAGAGGTTGTTACAAAGATAAATGAAATCATGGAGCTTATGGGGGCATTACAACCTGGCCTCCCATTGTCAGTGGCTATCATCCAAAATTCTGTCTTTGTAGTAGACTTTCAGGATTGTTTCTTTTTTCTTTTAAATCCCAGGTCCCCCTCCCTCCTCTCCTCCTGCTCCTTCCACTCTGCCCCTCCACCTCCCATCTGCTCCTTGGAGAGGGTAAGACTTCTCCTAGGAAGTCTACTAAGTCTGTCCCATCATTTTGTCAATGTAGGGCCAAGGCACCTCTCTACCCCCATTCCCCTGTATCTAGGCTGAGCAAGGTTATCTCTGCAGGATTGTTTCTTTACCGTATCTTTGTATCTGAGAGATTGTCAGCGCTTTGGTTTTAGCTTACCTTCACCTAATTTTCAGAGACCCTAGCAAAGATTTCAGTGGAACACCTTACCCCAAGGTAGTCAGACCAGCCTGAATTTGTCAAAAGTTTGTAGATGTAGCCCTCCTATAAGTTTGTTAACAGTACGCTGATGTGTACCTTATTCACTATGTGGATGATATATTGACTTCTCATACTGATAGAACCTATATGCAAGAGCTATTACAATTTCTGATTCAACAATTAACCTTATATGGACTTCAGGTGGCCCCTGGAAAAAAAATCCAAATTCAGCCTCCCTTTCCCTATTTGGGACACGTGATCCAGATTTCATTTCTCCCCAGCCTTTCCAATTATGGATGGATCATTTAAAAACCCTAAATGATTTTCAAGAAACTGCTTAGAGACATTAATGGGGTTTGTTCCTACATAGAATGATATTTTCCATAGTGACCCCAATCCCAGGTCACCATGGAAATTAACTCCTGAAGCAAAAAGTTACTTGGCTCTATTAGAAGAGAAACTTAATTCTCAAAGGCTCCTTCATGTAGATTATAATAAACCATAGAGTCTTGTTATACTTTGTTCTGAGTACAAACCTATTAGATGCCTGTGGCAAAATTGGGCCAATAAATACTGCACCCATCTGCAATTCATAGAAAAGCTGTGATTGCTTATACCTCTGGTTGTTTCCTTATTAGGCAAATGAAGAAAACAGAGTAAGGAATTGTTTAGACAAGATGTTCATGAAATAGTTATTCCTTATACAGTGGAACAACATAACATTTTGTCTTATGAATCTGGAGAATGACAAATTGCTCAATTAGGGTATACAGGCACCTTTTCCTATGAGATACCTGATCATTATTTGTTAAATTTAATAGTTTTAAATCATGTTATATTTCCTTTTAGAACTAAATCAGATCCACTACACCCCCACACACACATACACACAGGAAACCTTTGCACATAGTGAAGGTAATGGCAGTAATTACTGCTTTTGAGAGACTTAAGAACAAAACCTTTAATTTATACACTGATTCCCAATATATAGTCAGACTGTTTCCTCATATAGAAACAGCTCCTCTTCCATCAAATCATTCCACTCTTTTAAGGTTGCTCTTAAAATTACAAAATTTAATTCAATCCAGGACTCACCCTTTTTTTAATCAGACGTGTTCAAGCAAATACTATGCTCCCTGGGCCCATTCATGAAGGAATCCATATGGCTGCTTCTTTAACAAGCTCTTTCAGTTTCAGCTTCCTCATGAAGCTGCTTGGGCCTTGTACATCATTGTCCTGCTTGTCCCACATCAAGACACTCTCTTCCTACTGGAGTTATTCGTGTTTCCCCCCCACACACACACACCCAGATTTGCATCCTTGTGACTTATGGCAAATGGATGTTACTCATGCTCCCTCCTTTGGGAGACTGTCCTTTGTTCTTGGTGTGTGTGGACACATAGTCTCATGTTATTTGTGCTATTGCCTGCACTGGAGAGGCTTTTAAAGATGCAGTACAACATCTCTTTCATTGCTTCTCTATGCTGGGGATGCCAAGTGCCTTAAAAACAGACAATGGCCCCTGTATATGTTTCCAAGATCTTTAAGAAACTGTGATCAACCTTCACTATTTCTCACCCCACAGGCATTCCTTATAACCCTCAAAGTCAAGCTATTGTGGAGAGAGCTCGTCATACTTTGAAAACTCAGACATCCAAATTGTAAAATGGAGATTTTAAATACTCATCTCCCCATCACATTTTAAATGTTTATAAGTAACCATATGAATACCCCTGAGGATAATACCTTCCTCAGACACTTTTCCACAAATGTCACTCCCAAACCTCTAGTCAAGTGAAAAGATCTCTTCACCGGTAAATGGAAAAGTTCAGATGTTCTAATAACATCAGGAAGAGGGTATGCTTGTATATTCCCGCAGCACGCTGAATCACTCACTGTTGTGGGTTCCAGACTGATTGATTAAACCTTATGGCCAACCAGCTGCAGACCAACTGCTCAAAGCTGCCAGCAGAGGCAGCTCCCTCCCTAGGAACCCAAGATGACACAAAATACCACACCCAACCAGGAAGCTGAAAGCCCTCAACAGACTCCAAATGACCTGACATTCCTGGTAGATGGCCTCTGAATTCATCAACTCCAAATTCATCAACCCTACCCCCATCGCCCCACACAGTAACTCTGCTTCCTCTTGGGAGGAAGACATCCGAGGGTACTCAGATCCTGATGAATCAGCGGAAAGCCGTAATTCCTGAGAATTATTTCCTAGCTATGCTCGCCTTTTTTCCCTTCACCCTTGCCAAGGACACCTATTGAACTTATGTCCCAGAACCACCTCTTTTCCACCCAGGCACTAGGGATTTTGATGAATTAAGTCATTTCCAGTGACTCTCTATTAATGGGGAGGGTTGTCTAGTTTCATACATCCTTGCTTAGCGAAACACTTTAACTTCCAGGGACATTCAGACAGTCCCCCCATACGTTTTTTCACCTCCACTGTAAGGACTCGGGCATTATGCTGGCCTGTCCCTGTCACCTGGCAGAATGCACTCAGGCAGTGCCCTAGTCAGCCCAGGGTTCCCTGATTGGGTAGTCTGCAGGCAGGTGCAGAGGACCCTTAAAAAAAAGACCCCCACACACCCACTTATGCTTTCTTTCCTGCTCCTCTCCTTCCAGCTGGCCGTCCTAAATGGATGTGATGTGCTTTCCCTAAAAAAGGAGTCGTGGTTTGCTCTTACAGCACTACTTTGTTTAAAATACACGATTGATCTTACACCTCCTTAGAGCCCATTGTAAATCAATGGATGACATTTGCCTGGGTCAGTCCTGTTTATATGGCCCTGTCTTCTCACTACCCCAAACCTCAGACTCAGTTGTCATCTACTGACTACCAATGATCATGTTAGCCTTCAATTTCCTATACAGCTCAACTACAACACAATTGACATTCAGGCTTGTGTCATGTCCCCCTTTGCCATCTTATATTCAGGGGAAACAGGAACTTTGAACGTTATTGATAATGGATCAGTTTATGATATCTCTTATAACAACTGTTACATGACCAATTGTCTTAACTCCTCTACTAGTCCAAAAGCTTCCATACTTCTTGGTCAACCTTCACATGTACTGTTACCTGTTAATTTCTTCTCACCCTGGTATGAAGACCCTGCCCTATCTGCCCTAGAGCATGTTGCTAATTCTCTTTCATGTTCCAGGAGGGTCATTGCTGTACTCATCCTCAGCATCACCACTTTGATAACGATTATAGGTGCAATGGCTGCTGCAGCCATGACTCTGATTCAACAGATGCACGCTGCTAATCATGTTAACTCCTTATCAAAGAATGTTTCTATGGCCCTAGCCACTCAGTAAGGAATAGACCAAAGATTAATAGATAAAATAAATGCTTTAGAAGAGGCTGTCCTTTACACAGGAAATCAGATTCACAATATTAAAACACATTTAATATCTAGTCATGCTGATTTTTAGATGGATCGATGTCACTCCTTTACCTTATAATGGTTCAGATATGTCATGGAATCAGGTACAGGCTCACTTGAGAGGTGTTAGAAACAGCTCCGAATGCTGGGCGTTGGTGGCATACACCTTTAATCCCAGCAGAGGCAGAGGCAGGTGGATCTCTGTGAGTTCCAGGCTAGCCTGACCTACAGAGTGAGTGCCAGGCCAGGCTCCAAAGTAATACCCAGAAACCCTGTCTGGAAAAACCAAAAAAGAAAGGAAAAAGAAAAGGAAAAGAAAAGAAATAGCTCACAGGGTACTTTACATTCTCAGACCAATGCTATTCGCCATTCCAGGCCCCAGCTCTCTTCAGCAGAGGACATAGCTAATTACCTTGTTAATTCAGTTAAAATTTTTATTAGTAACAACTCCTTATGGAACTTTCTTATTAGTTTGGGAATTATAGGAGCACTAATCTTTTTACTTTTATTTTTTTTTTATTCCAGGCCTCTTTTAAACGAGTAAGATCTACATTGCACATTGCCCAGAGAGAAATTCATACACTGAATTTATTAAACGAAAAGCAGGAAATTGCTGTTGTCCACAAGATCATACAGTGAGATTTCAGTCGAGAAACTCACCACTACCCATAGGAATTCCGCTGGAGAAAAATCCCCAGTTGCAAAGCCTTGTGGATACCGGCCTTCTGAACAGTCACTGCCATCCCTGTAAAACCCTTGTTAAACCATATTGTTTTCCCTTTTCCATAATGGGACACCCCACCCCACCCCAGTCCCAGCAGTGTATTAATCAATTGTTGGGCACAACTCCCTCTAGTCCTAGTGAACTGGATGACCTTCCCCCACACCATGGGGGCCCTGGTGTGAAAACACAGTCAAGGAAGCCTTTTGTTCTCATAGTCAAATTTACATAACTTAGAAGTTAGCTCCCTACAATTATCTCTTAGGCAGGACACCCCACGTTGCAGGTCCAAAGGCTGATTACCTTATCTTGTTCTGGTCCTCCGAAATAGTCATTCCTTGCCCCCTGTGTCAGAACTCACCTCTTGAGACAGTAGATCAAACAAAACAAAAACCCAAAGCAAGCAAGCAAACAATAAATAATCTTTTAGAATCTACTGACTTAGCAGGTTAGCAGGCAACTAGTTTCTACCATCCAAAAGCTGAGTGCCATCGGATAGCATCCTGAGCTTACAGAAAAGTTTCCCCCATATTAATATCCCCGCATCTCTGATGTACCCACCAATGTATTTTAAATTCGATTTAAGACTTACTCTGCTCTGTAAAACCATAAAAACTCTGTGGAACTGCTTCCACGTTAGGACATGGAATTTGGGTAACCTAAATCATTTTTCCAGGGCCATCGTCCCTCAAAATGACTACAGAATAAACTCTTACTCTTTTTGAGATGAGAGCTGTGGTTTTTTTCGTGGACATATGTGTAAAATTTGTCTGATTAACTCATTAATTTTTGTTTCCAGTGGCACGTTACATGCGAATTCATCGTAAGGAAATCGGCTCTTAAGGTACTCTACACAGGGCTCCCAACTGTGGACTCACTGTGGCAGGTTAGGGTTAGGCTCCACCCTTGCGGGTTTTTGAAAGAAGAAAAAAAAAAGGGAGGAAGGCCGGGTTTTATGCAAACCGAGTTCCCACAATGCCTTGCTTTCTTTAGAGTCGAAAGCACTTACAAACCAGAAAAGCTCCTGCAACTGACTTGCTAGGTTTTGACCCTGTGCCTGCTTCCACGGAGCGATATCCCCACAGAAACCCCACTGACCAGTAGTAAACAGGACCCCGCCCAGCAAGAGGAAGCTGTGGTCAAAAGCTTTACTCCGGAACTCAGCGCCATTTCCCCGCACCTTGGGCGTGGTTGCCTTCTCTTTCCTGCTCGACCGTGCCTGAGACCTGTGAGGAGAAAATGCAGCCTTATCGGAGACCACAGCGGCTCCAAGGCCCCGTGGGCCGCTTGGTAGCTTTCTGCCGTGGCAGGGTCCAGCTGGCCGTCCTGCTGCTCTTCTTGCCGTCATCTGCTCTGGGTGAGCCGCAGGGAGGCGCGGGGAGGCGCGGACGCGGTGCCCCGGCACCCGCGGTAAATGGGCGCAGCTCAGACTCCAACGCTGGTCTGGGGGTCTCTGTGGGTGCCCAGCGCCTTTTCCCATGGGTGAGTGTGGAGCTCTCAGCCTAGCTTGTACTCAGCCGGTAGGAACGTTGGGTCTCCCACCGGCTTGTCTGAACTGAGTGTCGAGCCCGTTGTAGTGAAAAAGGGGGTGTGAGGGGCGGGGAGGGGAGGGTGGTCGTCATGGAAATCTGCGAGACTCAATGCCTATTCCTAGAATTCGGTTGTGAGGAAAGTTAATATGCCCGTGTGTTTCTTCATCTGTGAAATAGAGATAGTGAGGTCTTTCGTGATGCCGCTATTTAATTGGTGTTGTCAAGTGACTAACCCAAGTCCCGCTGCGTAATTTCATTTCTATCCCAGAGCCGTTATATTCATTTGCTCCGAAGGTCCAGACGAACCGGCCTCGGGACTGTGTCCTTTATCTCCCGCCCCAAACCCTCATCAAATTTTAAGGACGACCCTCCCACTCCCAACCTAGGTTAGGATTCGAAGAGCAGGGAAACTCCAGGGTGCCATGAAATGTTTGCAAGTTAAAAGGACTGTAGAATTTACATATTACAATTAAGTGCGAAATAGAGTGCCCATTTTGTCCACTGTGGAAGTTCTAAGTTCTCTTCCTTCCTCTTCAATAAGAACTCTTAGGGAAAGACTTTGGCATTGACAGTTGAAATGGCAGTCTTGTGTTTTTGTTGAACTTGGGTTTAAGCTTTTCCACTAGGCCGATTAGGTATATTAATTTGAACCTTCTTTTCTGAGAGCGGAGAAAAAAATTCTAATATTTGTGCTTAAATTTGTATCTCCCTAGGTACACATAATAACTGGTCAGATGAAGATATATGATAAAATGTCAAATTTTGTCTTTAGAAAAGAAGTGTACCAAGGTTGGGAATCTCCTACCAATGCTTAGGGATCTTTGTGGCTTTGTCATCTTCTGGCTGAAACGTTGAGACAGTTTTGCTGTAGATATTAAGCTACTGTTATAAACAGCCCCAGGCATTATCATATGCAAAGGAAATGTACCAAAGTTATCACAGTATCCTTCAAATGTGACTCACGCTATGGAGCGCTTCAGTCCACAGAGTTGAAATGAAGAGAATACTACTAGAATACTTCCATTGGCCACAGCACTTTGTAATTTTAAACAAAATATGGTGGAGAGCTTCACCTCAAAGGTATACACATAGAGAAATTGGTTCTGGGTTTCCAGTCTTTGCTACTTACAGGTGAGGACCTTGGACCCAGCGAGTCAATTAACAAGTGCCCACAGGTGTGCCCCTGACAGCCTTATCAAAACCAGGCAGACCTGTGAGTATCAATAATGAGTCCACTCTTAGAGTTGGGAGCTTCAATAACCCTCTAACCAGAACTAGACCAGATCTAGCAGGCAGGAAAACAGAAAGGACATAGCAGAACTCAGCAACACCGGTATAACTGGCAAGTGTGGAATCCTCTCACAGCAGCAGAATACATCTTCTCAGGCTCATGCAGACTCTTCACTGAAATAAGCCATGCCCAGGGTCATAAAGTGGCACAGTAGTTACTAGGGTTACAAGAATACTGTTGGAGTTGGTGGACTCCGGCATGCCCTCAGAGATACTCCTGTAGGATTATTTCTGTTAACTCCGCTGCATGGTTTCCCGGGCTTCCTAATGCATTTCAGTTTCCCATATTCTCGGATGTGTGATTTATGGTTTATATTATCTAATGCTAACCAAAATAACCTTGCTCACTTTGAAAAACAACTTCCGACATGTCCTGATGTACATCAGAAATATTCACTGAAGATGATTATAGTAAGAGTGATTCCAGAAAACAAGGTTGATGCAGTGACTACCCCTTTATTTACCTTAGGGTGCACACATACATAAGCTCTATGTGAAAGGCACTCAAAGGAAAAAGTGCTGTCAGATGAAAACCAACAACAACAACAACAACAAAAATTTAGGTAGTATCAAGAATACTAGTTGAAATACAGCCTTTTGTACACTCCTATTAACAAAAATCTGTGATAATATTTTAGCTGATGATATTAAATCGTTATGCCTAGTAAAGTATTTAAAATGCTCGCCTTTAATCTCAGCACTAAGAAGGCAGAGGCAAACAGATCTCTATGAGTTTGAGGCCAGCCTGGTCTACAGAGTGAGTTCCAGAACAGCCAGGGCTGTTAGAGAAAACCGTGTCATGAAAACAAAACAAACAAACAAATAAATAAAATGCTTAGTCCAAGCCAGGTGATGGTGATAAACACCTTTAATCTCAGCACTCAAAGGCTGAGAGATAGGTGGATCTCTGTGAGTTTGAGGCTAGCCTGGACTTCACAGGGTGAGTGGCAGGATAGCCAGGGGTACACAGAGAAACCTCTCAGAAAAAGAAGAGATAATAATAATGGTAAAATTAATAATAAAAATAAAATCTTATTCCAATTCTATGGTATTCTTTTAAATATTTATGCAAGCCATATTCATAAATTTATTTTTTGAATTTTGTGCCCTATATATTAACTAGTAAAATTGCTTAAGCAAAGTCTTTTCAGAATCTCTCCACTGAAGAGTAAAGTGTGTAGAACGGAAGCAGAGTGTAGCTCAGGTTGACAGCTCGAACTCCAGCAAAGTCATAGAAGTGGAAAGGGTCATGAGTTCATAGTCATGATGGCTCAGGATGAGTCAATCACTGACTGAAATGGAACATTTATAAGTAGGTTAGTTACATCATCCAGGACAAAAAAAATATAGTAAGATAACAGTATACATGCATGAGAACAGTTAAAAGTAAGAAGGCTCACCATACCAAGTCTTAGCAATAAGTAATTAAATTTGTCATGTGCTGTTTACTGGCAGATAAGGCACTACTGCTGCATAGTGGCTCAGCAGTAGGGAAAAAAAAACTTATCATGTGACAGGACATTTTACTCCCAGGCTTTTACTTAAGAGAAATAAAAATTTGTGTCCAACAGAGACATTTACATTAGTTTGTTATAACTGGGTGTTTTTTGTGGTTGTTTTTAGGCTTTATTTTAATTTTACCTATATTAGTGTGTATTAGTGTTTCCCTGCATGTGTGTCTGTGTATCCTATCCATGTAGTGCCTATAGAGGCCAGAAGAAGGCTTCATATTTCCTGACACTGGAGTCACAGAAGGCTGTGAGCCGCTGTGTGTGTGTGCTGGAAATTGAACCTGGGTTTTCTGGAAGACCAGAAAGAACTGTTAACTGCTGAACAACTAACCCTTCCATTGCTGCACTGTTGGTAATAGCTAATATGTGGAAACAACCAAAATGTCCTTCAGTTAAATTATGGCTTAGTTATTTATCTAACTGAATATTTCTCAGCAGTGAGATACATGAAACCTAGGTGAATCTCAATGTGAAGGTAGGCCAAAGAGAAAACAAAAACTGACATTTGTATGATAATTATATGATATTCTAAAAAGTTAAGTTTTTGTAGTTAGAGAGAGAGGTTTGGAAATGTCTGGAGGAAGCAAAAGGATGGATTATAAGGGCAAAAGGAGCTTGGAGTATGAGGGGAATGCTTGTCTTTATTTCAGTGAGTGTTTTATCATGCATGCATATATGTCAAGTCATAAATTCATGTACTTCAAGTGCTCACCAACTCTATGCATTGTATTTTAATGGAGGCATAAAAGTAACTTGAATTGTGAAAGTCTTGACTTTATGAAGTGCCTATGAATGTACCTATCATAGAAATAGGCATAATTCGAGAGATTATCAAGGGGAGGCAAAGGAAACTAATTGACCTTTCTCTATTGAAGGCTCATACGTACCTTTTCATTTGCTCTATTTTGAAAATTAATATTGTTATTATTACATATAGTATTAATATGTACAACTCCAATAAGTATAGTTAAAAGAAACATCAGTGCAAGCATAGTTCCAGCAATTTTCTGTATTGCCTTAGAACTCTTTTCAGCCTCTCCCTAGGAGCTTTGCTGTGATGATCAGTTTCTCTTGTCTTTTTATTTATTTGTTTGTTTCCTTTTTAACTGGACACTGCACTTGGGATTGATTCCCTTGCTGGGACTAATGGGAGAGACAATTATCACCATTGTATTCATCCTACATGTCAGCTAGAGAAAAGGTGAAGGCATAATATTTGAAATCACGGAGACCTTTACTCAGTGCTTTTGTTACTCTTTCTCTTTTCTCCATGTTTATCATAGTGGTTTTCACGGAAATTGTTTTATTCCACTTAAGTAGGTTTTTTTGTTTTGTTTTCCCTGCTATGCAGTAGTCCCCAAAGTGACACTAACTCTGCAAATGAGGGCTTCTTGGGAAGTAGTCTATCTGTCTGGACTCTTTATGGTACTTATTTTTACAGTGTATCTTTTTATTTGCTCATGGCAACAAAATATATCTACTCCTTATAATTGGGTGCTAAGCTCTGGGCCAGGTATTTATCTAGAGGAACAAGTGATATTTGGTCTCTTACCTTCACATTACCTATCTCTGATAGCTGTTGAAAGAAATCCTGTCAAAAGCATACATACTTAAAAATCACAAATTATGACAACAAGATGTTATTGATATAATAAAAAGGGTAATGGGTCGAGTAGGAACAGGTAGTTTAAGTTTCATATTTCTCAGGAGGTTGTCAAGCAAGAGGTATGTTAGCCAAGACTCTGAAGGGTGAAAGCTATAGATAAATAAAACAATCTCACAGAGAATGTTTTCAGAGATAGAGAATGAATGCGTGTCTGGAGGAAAAATGTGGAAAGAGCTAGAGCCTAGTAGAAGTCAGGTCGAACATTGTGAAACATACATGTGAAAACACAAGAGGACACCCGTGTTGCACTGTGTTGCAGTAGAGTGTATGGGGCAGCCACAGCCAGGTCTAATATTAGAGAAAAATAGGAACATGAGCTTTGTTGACATGAACCCCTCTACTTTAGTAGGCAATCCAGAGTTGGTCTCCAATTCTAACTCTGAACTATTGTCAACAGGAAAAAAAAATCAGCTTTAGGAACTCTTGTGTCTGTCGATTTATGCTTAGGAACCATGGTAAGAATTTATGAGGTAAAAACAGTAAGTCCTAGGCTGAATGTGGAATGTATTATTCAGAAGATCTCTGAAATTATCAGTTGCAGAGGTCTTTCGGGGCTTTCCTAACAAAATGGACTAATTTCCTACAAGTTTTGGCAGAAAATAAACTCTTGGAAATTGTCCACTTTAGCTCCATACTATAAACGGATACCATTTTCTCTTTTATATGAATAACAGTCAAAACTTACCAGGACTCCTCTGTGTGTGTGTGTGTATGATACTAGTAAGTGTTGTACATAGCTTCCTTCAATACTCCTAGGGAACCTACTAAGTGGATAGTGCCATCCTCTCCAAAAAGATGAAGGAGAGACTCTGACACGTTAAGCAGTTTGCCCAAGACATCAAAGCTAGGAATGGAAGGACATCAGGTTCAAAAGGCCAGGTCTCTCTGCGTCTGTTGTTTTGAATATTATCTTTTCAGTTTAATACAGTCTTAATACTGAAACCAATTCGCCAAATGCTAAGCCTTAAACAAAAGAAATGTGTTTTCTTGTAGTTAATTCCAGATTCCCAAGTCTAGATTGCTGTGCTGCTCTGTAGGCCACAAAGGAAAATTAGTTTCCTTACTCTTTCCAGCTTCCAGATGCTTCCTCCTACATCTCTTGGCTCATGGTTATTTTCTCTAATTCAAAGCCAGCAGCTTTGTATCTTCAAATGTCCTTCCATCTCTTGCAAACCTCTTACTTAAGGACCATTGTGAATATATTTAGTGTTTATCCAGAAAATTCAGGGTAATCTGCAGATCTTTAAAAAAAATGCTTAGTAATGCCTATACAGCCACTATGCTATACAATGTCATGCTCACATACTCTAGGGATTAGAACATAGGTATCTTTGGAAACAGTTACTTAAGTGTATTGCTTTTCTAGTCACTGTGACAAAATACCTAACATAAACAACTTGAAGGAGAATAAACGTATTTTGGCTCATGTTTTCAAAGGGTTCAGTCCATGCTGGTTGACAAGGCATGGCAAAAGGAGCAGCTTCATCTGCAGCACTGGGAGGCTATAAGAGTGACAGTGATAGACATTTGCAGCCAAATCATAGCATTTAGCCTACTATTCCTTTCTAGGCAGACTTTCTTGAGTTCAGCCACACGAGTGAGTCCATTGCCATTAGCATCCAGCCTAGTGGCAAGTAATTGGCATTCAGCAAATAGCCTACAGTATCTGTACTGAAGATGATTAGTGGTGGTTTAAAAAACACATCATATTTAAATGTCTGATAGTAATAGAACAGAGGTTGGAAGTAGATGGAGTTAGAATTTTCTGTGATAATTGGTGGAGAAATTATATTGTTAGTAGATGTTTATAATTGAGATCATGTTATTTTTGAAAGAAAAAAGTATAATAAAAATAACAATAATGGCCTTTAATCCCAGTACTCAGGAGGCAGAGGCAGGTGGATCTCTGTGAGTTCAAGGCCAGAGTGGTCTACAGAGCAAGCTCCAGGACAGTCTCCAAAACAATACAGAGAAACTCTGTCTCGAAAAACCAAAGGGGGAAAAAAAAAAGTAACAATAATAAATGTAATCACTAATCAAACAAAATGAAAGAACAAAACCACAAAAGACAAAAATAGTAAGATGGTAAATTTAATCTTAATTTTATTAAATATTAATAGTCAATTCCTATTTAAAGACAAAAGTTGTCACGTCAGCCGGGCGGTGGTGGCGCATGCCTTTAATCCCAGCACTCTGGAGGCAGAGGCAGGCGGATCTCTGTGAGTTCGAGGCCGGGCTGGACCGATAGCCTCCTAAACAATACAGAGAAACCCTGTCTCGTAAAAACCAAAAAAAAAAAAAAAAAAAAGTTGTCACGTCACCAATGTTTGAAATTATGGGCTAAGGGAGCAGGAAAGCCATGGCAGACTCATAGGAGTACTTTGAAAGTGTTTCTGATGCTATGATCAACACAGTTAACAAAACCACCGTGGGGTAAAAATAGGTTTACTTGGCACACAGATTATAGTTCATCACTAAAGGAAGGATACCAAGGAAGGAACTCAAGGGAATGCAGAAACCCAAAGGAATGCTACTTACTATCTTGTTCCCCTGCAGCCCAGGTTCACCTGCCCAGGAGTGGCATCACAGAGTGGGCTGGGCCCTCACAAGTCAGCCATTAATCAAGAAAATGCCCTCACAGACATGTACACAGGCGAGTCTTATAGAGGCAGTTTCTCAGTTGAGGTTCCCTTTTCTCAGGTAACTCTAGTTTATGTCAAGTTGACAAAGACCAGAACAGGAAGGTTTTAAAAATCCACTGAAAATAACTCAGGAGCTATATGCTCTACAAGTAACAGTTCAGAGTAGCTTCTGGCCCCAGAGATAGATTATACTAGGCCAGAGTTTTGTAAACTTGGGTTTTAGCAGTTGCTATGGAAAGAGTACCTACTAGGCCAGAGTTTTGTAAACTCGGGTTTTAGCAGTTGCTATGGGAAGAGTACCGCATGAAAATTAATGTGGAACAGGAAATGAAATAGACGTTTTCAGTCTGATCCAAAGGTTTGAGAAGTTACATAAGGCTTCTAATCTCTTTGCATAATTATGATGTGGACAAGAGACCTACATTGTTTGAGCATACTTGTTTAATAAATGGAACCGATAAATACTCATTTAGACTAAGAATGTCATTAAAAATTACTGAGACTCAGCCGGGCGGTGGTGGTGCACGCCTTTAATCCCAGCACTCTGGAGGCAGAGGCAGGCAGATCTCTGTGAGTTCGAGGCCGGGCTAGACCGATAGCCTCCAAAACAATACAGAGAAACCCTGTCTCGTAAAAACCAAAAAAAAAAAAAAAAATTACTGAGACTCTAAGGACATTGTAACGTAACTTTGAAAACATCTGTCATAGTGACTCAAAAGTAAGATAGTAATATAAACAAAAGGAATAATAATTTCAAGACAGGTTAGGTGAATATAAAAGGATGGAAAACACCATGTCAGAGCAGACCAAAGTAAAGCTAGCTTGGTAAATGACATGATGATATTGTCTTTAAATAAATATTTTGTGTTTATATTAAAAATTATTGGTAAAGGGTTGGAGAAATAGCTCAGCAGTTAAAGTACTTGTTGCATAAGGATGAAAACTAATGTTCAGATTCCCAGAAATTCACATTGATGCTGTGTGAATGTCAGCCCACCTGTGATTCCATCCTCCGAAGGTATAGACAAGAGGTCCCCAGAGTAATTGACCAGCAAAATGAGCCATATCATCAAGGTATGGGTTTCACTAAAAGCACCTGCTTCAGTGAGAAAATTGGAAGATTTGAAAGAGTTGATAGAGGATGATTTTCAACATCATCCCATGTTTCCATGTGTACACACTCTCTCTCTCTCAAATAAAACAGTTGAAATATGGGGTATTAAATATGCTGTCCTATTTAGTTTTATTTCACAAACAAAATAGAACATGAACCAAGATTTGTTGTGAAAATTAGAGATATTCTATTATGATAAAGGTTAATCTTCCATGAAATATAACAATTTAAATTTGCATATTCCAATGATACAATACATAAAATAGATGAACATATTGAAAGGAAATAGACAATATAGTAAAATAGAATATTTTAATATGACTTTATAGCATCTAGTAGAACAAGCAGACCCATCAAAATCAACAAGTATATAAAATAATTTTAAATGGATCTACATACTGCAATTGCCAAAGCTGACCATGTGCAAAACAAGATACAATCAACTTAAACAATAGCTAGGAATACATTGCTCAAAATTTTTTATATGCCTTAATTCATCCCTTATAATTTAAATTAATTAATTGAGAGTATTGGAAGGAAAATAAGTCATAACAAAAATGTAATATTTCCAAAGTTAAAATTATTTTTTCCAAAAGATAATTAATGGTTAGTTAACCCTAACTGACAAGTTAATTCTGCTAAGCCTTAAGAGAACATAACTGAATCTAGAAGTTAAATAAAAACATATATCAGAAAATACATTCACAAAATGAAATACAGTTTTAGTTTTTTATTTTATTATTTTTCCCCCCTTGGCCAAAGTGCTGATCCATTCCTGAATGCGGAGAGGAGGACAATGGGCCACTAGAGCTCTCTGGACAGCAGAGAGTGATGAGGGATGATTGAATGCATGAGTATGTTAGTGAGGATGGGATGAATGAAATCTAAGCACAGGTACTCTCTGACTGGTTGAAATTTGAAACTATGTGTGGAGATTCCCCCCCAATGAGAGACTATTTGCCCTATCTGTGTTATATTAATATGCTATATGTGAATTAAGCTACAAGCGCATTGCTTACAACAAAACAAGACAAAACACAGGTATCTATAACTCCAGTTCCAGGGGATCCAACACTGTGTTCTGACTTTCAAAGGTACCCCATGCATGTGGTGCACATATATACATATAAGCACAAGAGTGGTGGGAGGGAGGGGGGAAGGGGAGTGCGGGAGGAGGGGAGGGAGAGGGAACTGGGATTGACATGTAAAACAAGCTATTTAAAATTAAAATAAAAAATGATAAAAAAATAAAATGAATAAATCTAAAAAATGTTATTAAAGCAGAGGCTTTAATTATAGATGCTAACTAAAGTTATTTTAAAAGCTTATTTTAAAAATACCCATTAAAGGAATTATTCCTTTTACGACTATTAGAGTATTCTGTTTCTTTTTTGATCACATCTATGAAGTGCCACAGAGAGAAAGAAAAGGTAGAATAGAAGTTCTTTCATTAATTGTAATGTTGCTGTGGTCTCATTTTTCAGGCCAGTGCCAAGCCCCATCATGGTTTTCATTTGCCAGCCGTTTAAATCGAACTGATGCATCCGTGTTTCCCATTGGAACATCTTTGCTGTATGAATGTCGCCCAGGATATTTCAGCAGGCAGTTCTCCATCATCTGTCAAGAAAACTCAGACTGGACAAGTGCTGAAAATATATGTAAACGTGAGTAACTGCAGAGGAAGCTGACAAATAGTATATAGTGGAGTTTGCTTCAGTTTGTCTAGATTTTAGAACTATGACATGGGTCATTAATAGTATTATCTAAGGTATACAGTACATTGAATCATTCTTGTAAGTCATATTTTTGCTTCTGTCTTCTCACTTGTGAATAAATTTAGTAACAATGGCTGTCACAGGGCATGATTGAGGGAAAATATCCTCAGGATATTTCACTAAGTGTATCTAACTTTGCACATGTCACTAAATAATTCGTGATTCCGAAGCAAAGTAAAGCATATTTAATAACTAAGAGATAAAAAAAATGCAGACTTTGAGGCATGTGAACTGGAATATTTAGAAGGATGCTTCGGTAATAAATGATGTATACATGTTGTGGGGCGTTACCATGTGGAAATAAGAAAGAACTTGGATTTTTCTTTTGGTAAGTAGTGTCTGATGAGTTTCCTCAAAGTGGCAAAAAACTGTGAAATGTATGTTCTCTAAAGTAAGTTACCATCAGGTTAGGCCCTCATAAACTAAGGGAACTCCAGTTTACTTTAGTTGGTTCCAAAATTCTGTTTCTTTTTCACAGGCAAACAGTGTCAAACTCCTTCAGAGCTTATCAATGGCAAAGTAGAAGTACTCACAGACCTTCGGTTTGGAGCCACTATTAATTATGTTTGTAATCCGGGGTAAGTTGTCAACAACATTTCTGCAATCAAGACTTCTGGAACAGCGATTCTACTGTCTAGTCAGGTCTCAGGAAAGACATCTAATCTGTTACTTCCTGATTTGGTTTTTGGTAAAATGGCCAAATGAGTAAAAGGATGTGACAATCATAAATGCATATTCGAGTCAGAGCACATGAATATATAAAGCAAATATTAACAGAATTGAAGGATGAAATTAACAGCAATGCCAAAATAATATAGCCAGGACTTCAATACTCCACTTTCAACAAACAAACTCAATAAAAAAAGCAACAGATATAAATAAATAGCCCATCAAATAACAGAAGATTCTGTATTCTTCTCAAGTGTACATAGAAATCAAAGCTAAGAAACCAGATGCCACAGTCTTTGCATTAATAAATCCTGAACCAAACTGTGACAAAGAAGCTAAAGAAGCTTTGATGACCGTGAGTTGGCATAGCAGGTAAATGTTTGAGAGAAAAGCTATATAGTTGAATGTAGCTGAAGAGGCAAAAGATAAATTCTTAGATAAATTCCTTATTCTTACCACAACCTTCCAACAAAGGAAACCTTAGAACCTGATGACTTTATCACTGAATTCTAATTTAAGTTATGAGGTCTATATTTTGCTCATACCAAAACCAGACATGACAACAGAAGAAAATTGCTGGCCAGTATCCTTAATAGACATTCTCCACAAATTACTGGCAGACAGAATTTACAAGTGCATACACAGGGGTTAATGACATGAATCACCAACATCCATATAAAAAGCCAGCCATGGCTTCATGTGCCTGTAATCTCAGCACTGGGAATGGGAGACAGACAGATCCCAAGAGATCACTGGCCAGCCAGCCTAGCCAAAAGAGTGAGTTTTTAGCTCAGTGAGAGATATTGTCTCAAGGCAATGGGCTAAGAGTGATAGAGGAAGATGCCTGGCATCCTGCTCTGAGTTCCTTGTGCACACATGAGCACACTATCATACAGGCCCCATGTTTACTCATACAACATACTCAATGTCATACATTATGATCAAGTGGGAATTTATCCCTGAAATGCAAGCTTGACAATTTATAAATAAAATGTGATACATCACACTGACAGAATGAGGTATAAAAACATAGCTGTTGCTAGAAGAAAAGACATTTGAAACAAATTCAAACTTTTCTAAGTTCTCTAAAAATTAGTCATAAAAGAATCATATAGTTTCCTGTAATATATTTTCCACATGTGACAAGCTTACAACTAACATTGTGTCTAGTGGTGAAAGGCAGTCTTTTCTATAAGATTAGGGGCACAAAGTCATTTTCATCTTTCTCAAAGGAAAGCTTCCCCTGTCCTGTCTCTGAACAGCTACCTTATTCTCTCTATAGATGTCCCTGATTTTGGACATATTCTGTTGTCCATCAGTAGGTAAATGGTTAAATGAAGGATGATGCATCATGCTATGGGCTCTAACTTACAACAAAAAGGATTGCTTGATAAATCTCCAGGGATTATGCTGAGTAGAAAGCTAATCATATATGATCACATTCTATATGACTTTTTATATAACTTTAAAAATTACATAATTATAGAAATGGTCACCAGCAATAAGAATGTTTGAGAAAAATCAGGAATGGGAAGACACCAAATGAGTGTCTCAGTAAATACTGTACAAGAGATCTTTTGTCTATTTTAGTTCTTTCTGTGGTGGGAAATACACAAGCCTACATGTAAAATTGTGTACTCTTTCCCAGAGGAAAGGGAGAGAAGGAGAGAGAAGTTTACAGTTGTACTTCCTAAAATGACATGCTTACGTATAAATCTGACAAAATAGGTATGAAATAAGTGTCATGAATTGTTTTAATTTTATGGCATACTAGACAACTTGCAGCATATTAATTGAGAATTTCTGACTTGAATCAAGTATTGTGGTTTTAAGTATGAAAACTCTGTTCAATTTTATTTGGTCAGATTTGAGTTCCTCGGTTCTAGGTTAATGAATTTTACTAATAAGTAGGCATTCACATGAGTGCTTCCAAGGTATAAATGAGTTCATTCATATTAGTATAATATACACATACACATGATATTTCCTTTGCCCTCAAGAAGTTTGTAGTGTCTTTAAAAGTAAAACTTATCAGAAACAACTATAATTTACTATAGATTGTATGATAAGATAATAAAAAGAAAATCTCATTTAGCTGGGAAGGCATTACAAAGAAAATCAAAAAGTCCAAAGAGAGATGCAATATTTGAGAACTCATGGTCTTTGACAAGAAAAAATATCTCCTGAAACTTCCAAGGTAGCAATCTCTGGGAAGCAGCCATTTAAGCAGGCAATTACTTATGGATTAATTAGCATTCTTTATTCTGTGTGTAGATACCGCCTCATTGGTTCCTCTTCTGCTACATGCATAGCCTCAGATAAAACTGTCATTTGGGATAATGAACCACCTCTTTGTCAGAGTAAGTTGAAATTTTTATTTCTATCACCTTTACTCAGGTACTTTTAAATTTTCTCTGGAATTGTATACATATGTGAGGCTGAGATTGAACCCAGGGCCTCATGCCTGTTAGAAAGTGATCTATCATAGATGTAAACCTAAAGCCCTATAAGGGATTTTAAAAATCTTTATTAAAATTACTTCTGTATAATCTATTCTTCAAGTAAATGAAGATATTCTTGGCACAAGCTAGAGTCATTTGAGAATAGGACTGTCAATTGAGAAAAATCCCTTCATAAGATCTGGTTATAGGTAAGCCTGTAAGGCTTTTCTTAATTAGTGATCTATGTGGGATGACCCAGCCTATTGTGGGCAGTGTCAGCCCTGGGCTGGTAGTCCTGGGTTCTATACAAAAGCAGGCTGAGCAAGCCATGGGGAGGATAAGCAGCACCCTCCGTGGCCTCTGCATCAGCTCCTGCCTCCAGGTTCCTTCCTGATTTGAGTTCCTGCCTTCGCTTCTCTCAGTAGACTGTGTTTCAGGATATGTAAGCCAAATAAACTCTTTCCTTCCCAAGTTGCTTTTGGTCTTGGTTTTTCATCACAGCAGTAGTGACCCTAAGACAGAAGACAACTGCAGTATTCTTGAATAGGTTTCTTGGCAACTTCCTTTAAGTTCTCCTTTGTCCCGGGATGTTCCTCTTCTAAATGTAGAAAATATAAGTGTATAAAAATTTTCAAATCTTATTTTTACCTCAGTTCACTTTAAGTTATGTTTGTTTTCAATCTCTAATATAATTATCCTGCTTGGCGAATTAGTAAAATTTTTGTCAATATTCAAGGTATGTGAAGCTATGGACTAACCTACACTTTCGTATATGGACTATTTAAACATACACACATTATGTCAAAAAATCAAATGACAGACTGCATATTTTCCAACAAATACAAAAAGTATGTTTTCTTTTAGTCTATGGCCTGTCTTTTGTTTCTTTTTGAAAATAAAATACCTACATTTCAACTTAGCTTACTAATTTTTTTCCTTCTAGTTATTGATTTTTCTTTTTCTTTTTTTTTTTTAAAGATTTGATTTATCCTGTATACAGTGTTCTGCCTGCATATATGCCTGCAGGCCAGAAGAGGGCACCAGATCTCACTACAGATGGTTGTGAGCCACCATGTGATTGCTGGGAATTGAACTCAGGACCTCTAGAGGAGCAGCTAGTGCTCTTAACCTCTGAGCCGTCTCTCCAGCCCCTAGTTACTGATTTTTCTGTTCAAGAAATCTTTGTATGTTATGATGACATTTTTCCATCTTATACTCTTAAAGGGAATAAGGGAGTTTATTCTGGAGCTATTTTAAGTGACTATGGCCCAGGGAAACAGATTTAGATTACCCTAAATTTCATGTTATAGTGTGGAAGTAGTTTCATAGTTTTACAGAACAAAGAAAGTTTTAAAGCATGACAGTTTAAAAAGATTGTTGGGTATATTAGAGAGGCAGTTACAACAATATGGGAAAAGCTTTTCTATAGATCTAAAATGATAGCTGATGATATTTTTATTTTTCTTGTTGGTGAAGCTAGTGGTTTGCTAAGTTAATAGACTCCAAAAGGTTTCTATCTTTATTCACAAAATGTTAGTTATGACACAGAGCTGGGGGAAGGAGGGTTAGAACTAGCCCAAGATAGGTAATTAGCTTCTGGATCTACAACATCCCAGTCTCTCTAGTATTAAAGTTTTAATTAGTCAACCAGTCCATGCATATACAACTTCTTTCAGGAGTTTTCCCTCACAAAGTTTCAATAGTCATAATCAAGGCACTTTTAAAAATACATTCACTAAGTAGGTGGGCTGAAGTATAGCAGAGAAACCTCTGCTATAGACCTCAGATGCTGTCTAATGGTATTCTTAGACTTTTGATGAGTAGAAACCGGGATTATGTTAATATATCCCAAAAAAGTTTTTTCTGGTAGTCATAGGGTATTAGGTCTGATGCAGAAGTAGACAAGGAATGGCTATTTAGAGGCCTAAAGTTACCCCAACGTAAATTGTTAATTAGGCTCTGAATCTGCAAAATCTTGAGGGGCAGCCTCCTTCCACCCCAACCCCTTGATAGTACGATTAATCAACAGAGTGAGGCGATATTTGGTACAGAAGTGATCTCCAGAGAACCACTTGCTCTTTCAGGCAGTAAGGACTTCTTCAGACCATCTTATAGGACCAGGGCTGAGACAATGATCAATGGAAGGAGACTATACCTGCAGCATAAAGGACCATGGCTGTTTAATCATAAATAGCTCTTGCCCTTTATCCCAATTCTTCCCCTGTACGCTTCTGTCAGTGCCCAGAAGACAGGCTTTAGGGTCAGCGGGCCTCTGTCTCTTCTCCTTTTGCCTGTGTGTTCTCTTTGAATGATTCCTCTTTTGCTGCTTTTTCACCGTCTCTTAATGAGTTTCCTGGGGACTGGAGACCAACACTAGACTGTCAGGCCTGCCAAAGCCCTGGCGTAGTAATGAATCAGACAGATCTACAGAGAAAAAGTGATTGAAGGTTTGGGGGATGAGCCAGGTTAGACTCTCTTTGAATGGTCAACAAGCTTGAGTGTAGAGGTGAGCAGGTGACTCACTTTAAGAGGAGACAGACACAAAACTAATCAAGTTATTTGCTTATCACTGTAATGAGATAAGTGAGATAACTAACTTCTATAATAAAATATTTGTTTCAGCTCATTTTTTGAAGGGTTCAGGTCCTGGTTTTTGTAATTCTATTGCTCTGGGCCCTTTCTGAGGCAACACCTCATGGCAGGAGCATGTGGAAGAACAAAACTACTCATATTGTAAGTTCATGAGCCAAAGCAGAGAGGAAGTGTCAAGGTCCCACATCTCCCTCAATGACCTGCATTCATACCACTCTGGAGATCAAGCCTTTACTACATGATTGCTGTGGAAACATTACCCAAATTAAAAACATAGCAATAACCTACACTCTTCAGAGAACAGTTTTCTTTTTACTGAAAGGCTCGAGGACACTGCCCAAATGGCATTATTTTGATTCAATGTCAGGAATTATAATTGGCATCTGTGGTACTTGAAGGTTTCCAGCCTTGGGAATAGCAGGTGTTAGCCAGCCTTGATTCTAAGAGTTCTTTACAAGGCATTGCCAGAGCTTCCTTGCTTAGGGGGACTCCGGTTTTTGTCTTTTGATTTCGTGAGTCTACCACAAGTTCAATAGACTCTTAGTTCCCTACTATTGATTGGTTTGGCTCCCTCTTCCCCATAGAACAGTAACCCAGTGCCAAATACTTCCTTCATTTTAAGTATATTTAGAGGTTTTATGAATTAGGGCATAAAAAAACATCTTAAACTTGAGGTTTCTGCCTTTTACATGTCTCAAAGTATTTGGAATGATGTATTACTTGAAAATTTGGAAGAACTTATTAGTGATTTATTTTTGATATTATTAAAAGTTATTGGTCAAATTCAGCATCTTACATATTTTTGAATGAATATTAATAGTCTGTATTTTTACTTATCCATTACATTTCAAAGGCTTAATATATAGTAACCTATAGTATCACCAATTTTCTTATATATTTGCAGACACTCAAAATTCGTTTTGTACTCCTATCCATTTGTATTTCATTCACCCTTATTTTTCTTAGTGAATATTAGTTCTTAAAATCTTCCTTTCAGTTATCAACAAATTTGCAAATTATTAAGTAAGAAAAATCTGGAAGCTGAATAAACTCTGAAATATGATCAAAGAGCTATTTCAAATGTAAAGGTCAATTGTATTTATAACATGTGTTTGTAGGAAAAAAGTAAGAAAAGTTTATAGGAAAAAGTTATTATATGCATCTAAATAGCAACCTTTAAAAACTCATCTACAAGTCAATAAATATTGAATGCTTTTAATGAGCATTTACACGCATTTATAACGAGTATAAGTATCTTCACTTCAGTGATTCATTACATTTCCCTTATCAATATTTAAAAATATTTAATCTGCTTTCTTTGCCCAGTAATTCCTTGTGAGTCACCCCCAGCCATTGTCAATGGAGATATCTTTGCTTCTTCAGAAGATTTTAATTATGGAATAGTGGTTACCTATCGCTGCAAAACTGATGAGAGAGGAAAGAAGCTCTTTAACCTGGTGGGTGAGCCATCCTTACGCTGCACCAGCCATGATGGTGAAGTTGGAGTCTGGAGTGGACCTCCTCCTCAGTGCATTGACGTCAAGAAATGTACACCTCCTCATCTTGAAAATGCATTCGTGGCACCTGAAAACAGAAGCCTGTTTTCCTTAGGGGATATTGTGAAGATTGAATGTCAGCCTGGGTTTATGATGGAAGGGAATAGCAGCAGTGTGCAGTGTAGCAAGCTAAACAGATGGGAGCCAGAGTTACCAACCTGCTTCAAGGGTAAGTCTGACCAGGGCTTGGGGAGCCTGCGATGCTATGGGGTGTTGGAGGACCAGATACAAAGGTTGGTTCTGGAAGAGGACGTATGGTGAACAGGTTGGATGAATAGATTTTCTTGCGAGGGAATGTGAAATCAAGAAGGGACATGTTTTATGTGAGTGTTTGTGCACCCTTAGAAGAGCATCTACTCAAATTGAGAAGGAGCTAAATATGAACAAGGAATGTGATGTATCCTGGGAATTCTCATACACAGAATTTCTTTTCATGTCTTGCCATTTCCAGAGTGAACACTAGCGACTAGTGTATAATATTTACTAATATGTAATGAATGACCCATGGCTAGTCATATTAAATTCCTAAAATATGTGGGGTAGTTATCATTCCCTCCATATTGAGGCTTAGGGGTTAGATAATTTTCCAAGATGATATAGAGAACAAAGATTAAAATCCAAGTCTGCCCATCTGTCAGATTCTTGAATGAACAAAGGCTTTCCTGTAGATAATGGGTTGTAAAGATATTAGAAGCACAGAAAAAATTAAAGGAAAACAATGTTACCAAAGATCAGGGGCTACTGTTACTATAGGAATAGAGCTGACACAGTTGGCCCTACCTTGGTTGACACTGTCAACCTCTGTTATGGCTGACACAGCCAGAACCTGCCACGATTTCCGGTATAGAGCCAGTCCTTGCTGGTCATTAGTGTTGCTAAAATTTGATTGGCTGCTGCTCACTTGAGAGTCATTAAGGCTGCCTCATCTGATGCTGTTCCTGGATGTGTAAAGGTATCTATCACATCTCTTGTCCTTTAGATACATATCTTCCAGGTGGCAGAACTTAATTAGAGTCCCTAGAGGAGTGGTTTTCAATCTATGTGTTGGGATCACTTTGGCAAACTTCTATCTCCAAAAATATTTACATTATGATTCAATGACAGTAGCACAATTATAGTTATGAGGTAGCAACAAAAATAATTTTATAAATGAGGGTCACTACAACATGAGGAAGTATATTATAGGATCATGGCATTAGAAAGGTTGAGAACCACCTAGAGCAAAGAAGTTGTAGTTTTCATGTTTCTATCCATAACAATCAAAAGGCAATATATAGCATGAGACTGGGAATCAATAGAAATTTAATCAGTCTAGTCTTTAAATATCACAGTCAAGGAAAACACTTGAAAAATGAACCCTCAAAACAAGTATTATAACATCAAAAATACTTGGAAATCCTTAAGGAAGTCATTTATTCCAGATCAGTAGTCTTAAGTTCAGAGAGGAGAACTGAGTTGATAAGAAGTTTTGGAGTGTGTGTGTGTGTGTGTGTGTGTGTGTGTGTGTGTGTGTGTGTGTGTGTGTGTCCCCAGTTTTCATCTTAAAGTAACTGTGTTAAAACTCACAGGCATCCTCACTCCCTGAGTTCAAAACAATCGCTTAAAGAGAAGCTGGACCGAGGATTGTTAAAATACTGCATATAGAGTGCATACTTTCATTATGATAACTGGAGGTTCTTAAAACAGAGTTTGCTCAATGGCTACCTATTTATCTTCTGAATGGAATGAAGTGAATGACTGAACAGCACCAGCTGTGTAGTACAGCAAAGAGAGGTAGCTCTCTAGTAGTCCAGGCTGGGTTCTCAGTGAGACAGGATTTAAAGATCAGAGCAGAAACTGTTGTTAGCAACATTGTGCTTGCCCTTTGAGAAATATGTTAGAACATTTAGATTCTCCTTGTTGAATAACTTGTGAAACTTAAAGTTGGTGATGCACTTCTGGAAAGGTAGTACAGGCATCTAAAATAAACCATCAATCTTCAATTTTGTGTAGGATGAATAGAAACAGGAAGTGTAGCCGGGCAGTGGTGGCATACACCTTTATTCCCACTAGATCTCTGAGTTCAAAGCTAGGCTGGTGACCAGAACTAGTTCAGGATAGCCAAGGCTACACAAAGAAACCCTGTCTTGAACAACAAAACAAAACAAAAAAAGAAATTGGGAGTGTATAACCTTAGTGTACCTCTTAGGGAGAAAACAATAAACTCAAGATTTAGTTTATCAGTTGTAGTCACACTGTGCATTGTATTGTCACTTTTGGCAGAAAGGTTGTTTTATTTGTCATACATAAATAAAGCTGTTCTATTTTTCTTCTTTCTTTACCCACATATAGTTGTGATCCTCTTGGCATCTGCGATTCAATTTATCATTGAGGGAAATCTTTTTTCACACCGTGAAATTTTTTCCTCCCTTAATATGTCAGCCTGCCCTTAGAAATCCAGCATTAAGAGTATACCCCCAAAGATGATTTTTTTTTACCCAAGCAGAAACCACTCTAGCACTATGAGCCAGACTATATTCTCCATGGAGCTGTTTCTCTGCATGTCAGAGGTCTCTAGGCTGGCATCTGGCTTGACATATATGGCTTGTGTTTTTATTTTCCACACACTACTATTATTTCTGTTTGGTTCTTTTTCTCCAGTGAAACCTTGTGGTGCTTTCCTGGACCAGCTTCCTAATGGGCGTGTGCTGTTTCCACTAAATCTTCAACTTGGGGCCAAAGTGTCCTTTGTTTGTAATGAAGGGTGAGTGTAAGAAGACCTGATCTGCTGGACATTAAAATTAAGTCTGAGCTTGTCTGAAGTATGGGAAGGTTGGTACAGGGAAGAGAACTTCTGATATTGTATATAGGAAAGACTGGTGACTTGTAGAATCAATAAGAGGAGATATGAAGGGAAAACTATGACATTTATTAAATGACAATATCAAAAACTAGAATACCTACTGGTTTTGAATATAGAGGTAATGCACCAAGTAAAAAAATCATTTCTAAATAGAAAATAACTAGTAATTTTGAAATTATGTTATAAAAGCTTATACAAATAACAATGCATTTAGGATTGTTTTTTGGGGGGTTGTTTGTTTTTTGGTTTTTCAAGACAGGGTTTCTCTGTGGTTTTGGAGGCTATCTTAGAACTCACTCTATAAATTGTTTTAAGAAAAAAATTAATGCCTCATTAATGGAATTTATAAGAGAAACAAAAAATCAGGTGCAGACTTTTAAAGCCCAATCATGAATCATTGGATCACCAATGAACGATGGGCTCTGAAATGGGATTCTGTTGTCTGATGTTAATATTTTAGCTGAGGTCAGAAACATTGGTCACAGCAGACTTTATGAAACTTCCAGTCATGGACAACAAAGAACCTGCTCTACAGTGCTTCACAGAAATCTTGGGAGGCACCAGATACCAGGACCTAATAAGAGTTAGGAGGGTATAGGATTTAAACATCCTTTGAAAATTTTGGATGACTTCATACAAATGTTGGCTCCTCTCCTCTTTCCATTTCTGTCTCTAGTCCCAGTGCTTTAAAAGAAAAAGCAAAAAAAAAAAAAAACCACCAACAAAAAAACTCATAATTTGGGTCTGTTACAGGCCATAAGAAGTCTCCCGCTTCTCTGAATTACTGAGAAAAGTGTAACTTATTCCTTATTCTTCAGTAGCTCAGCATGCTGTTGTGAGCTTCCTAGACAACAATCACAGAAACTAAGAGACATAAGAACAATCTCTATTTCCTACCAGTTAGCTCAGCTTTCCCAGTGCCAGAGTTGGCAAGGTATTGCATTAGCAGTCTGTGTTTGCATTTGTGACAGTGAGCAGTGCTGGGTTCCTTTAGCGTGATCAGTGCTTCTGGGTAAGGGTCGAGGGTCTGGCTGAGCCCTGACTTCTTTAGTTTAAGCTGGAACTTTATATGACAAATCCCTTTGCTTTACAACTCTGTTTTACCCACCTTGTGGTTGTTAAGTGGCTCAGCATCTCCACATTCCTTGCACCTCCTGGTTCCATTTCCTCAAAATCCTCAGATGCTCTTTTGGCTAGATTTGGGAAATGAATATTATTTTGACCAAAACATTTTACAACCCACTACCATTTTCTTCCTTAGGTTTCAATTAAAAGGCAAATCTGCTAGTCATTGTATTCTGTCTGGAAGGGAAAGTATTTGGAATAGCGGTGTTCCTGTGTGTGAAAGTGAGTATATATAGTAGTACTTTAATCTAGTTGCTCTTCCTAACTTCTTGTATTTTAGTTCATACCACCTTTTCAGTATTTCTTCTATATTCTAGTCTGACTTATTAACAGAAGTTGATTACATTAATAAAATTTTGCTTTGAATCAAAGTGAGTATCTCCTTGCATTGGAACCTCTTTGATCAGCTTCATCATTCTGAATTCTGTGTGATGTGTGATATTTCCTGTGTGATTTGCTCTTAGGACAAGGAAGACTTCGCAAGCTTCTCTTCTCTCTCCTCTTTCTTGCTTCCTTATGTTGTTCTTTTATGTTCTGTCATTAACATGCAATCACTTATTCACATTTATTTGGTAATATGCCCGCATGTATATCTGTGCATCATGTGCGTGCCTTTTGCCAGAGATTCTGGAAGAGGGTATCAGATCCACTGGGACTGGAGTCACAGATGGTTATAAGCCACTGCAAGGGTGCTGGGAATCAAATCCAGGTCCTCTGGAAGAACAATCAGTGGTCTTAACCACTGAGCCGTTTCTCCAGTTCAAGTGTCTGAGTCTCTTACAGGCCATAGCCATGCCCTTCTTAAGTTGCCTGTTTCTCGGAATTACTTGGAAAAGCACGACTTCCTCTTTCTCTTTCGATCGTTTCCCTAAGCACACTTTCCTAACATTTTGGACTCAATTTGTCTGCAATTCCCCTCCTCACCACGAGGCTGCAAGGCTATCTTGTGGCTGACCTCCATGCTAGCTTAATGCAGACAGCATAGGCTTTTTGTGTTCACTCTTCCCTTGAGTCTCCATCCTTCTCCAAGCAGCTGCTGATATTTACAGCTTGCATGCTCTAGGTTTTTTTTGTTTTTTTCCCAAAATCTAAAAAAATTGTTTTCAAGCTTTAAAAAAAATAAATAAAACAACCAATTTTACTAAAATCTTTAGTAGCTAAAAATCTGCTTGAGTATCTTATGGGGCTTTTCATAACATACCGTGTGTGTGTGTGTGTGTGTGTGTGTGTGTGTGTGTGTGTGCGCGCGCGCGTGCGTACGTACGTACGCACGTACATACATACATACATACATACATACATATATTTGGTCTCCAGGAAACAGTTCCCGGAAGCAATATGACTAATGACTGTTCTACCACATGTGCTAGAACTCTTTGATGTCTCCAGTTTTTTTCTACTCATTGTAAAACTACTATAATAATGAGACTAATGGTTGGTATCAGTGAGTCAGTAAGGGAAGATCTTATTCCTTTATGGTACTTAGTGTACATGGAGTACATTTTAGAAATATGTCCTAAGAGTATCTGCTCCTTTGAGGGTGAAGACCTGTCAGCACTCTTCCCCACTCGTTCCCCTGGTCACTGGTAAAAGGCTGAAACAAGGGTGACCTCAGCTAAGACTCCTAGCAACAGTGGAAACTTAGCCTGAATTGACCATCTCCTGTGATCAGATTTCTGACTATCCCAGTTGTCACCAGAGAGCCTTTATCAAGTAACTGATGGAAACAGATGTAGAGATCCACGGCCAAACATTAGGTTAAGGGATCAAAGACATCACAAGAAAACCCACAGAAACAACTAACCTGGCTCAGGAATGCACAGGGTCTGGACCAACAACCAGGGAGCCTGTATGGGACCAAACCTAGGCCCTCTACAAATATGTGACAAATGTATAGCTTGGTCTACTGCAACTCCTAACAATAGGAGCAGGGGCTGTTCCTAATGTTTTAGCTTGACTCTTGGGAACCTATTCCTCAAACTGGATTGCTTTGCCCAGCTTTAATACAAGGAGGTGTATTTAGTCTTGCTGCAACATGATATGCCATGCTTTGTTGTTACCATGGGAGGCCTGGCCCTTTCTGAACAAAAATGGAGGAGGAGTGGATTGAGGAAGGAGGGCAGAGGAGAAATGGTGGGAGGGAATAGGAGGAGAGGAGGGAGGGGAAACTAGTTGAGATGTAAGATTAAAAAAAAAAAAGCGGCTTTGTTAGTCATTGTGTCTTAGCTGGAATGAAAAGCCTTTGGAACAGCAGTGTTCCTATGTGTGAATGTGAGTAGAAAGAATAGCTTAACGATGCAGCCTGGATTGCATTGCTGATTTTCTGGCCCAGTGTTTTTTCCCTCAGAATTACCTGTTGCCTGCATCTTTATTAAACTACTTATTTGTTTGAAGAATTTCAAGGGAAGCTGTAGATAGCGTGTGTTTGTGATTTATCAACATGTCATATGTTAATGTTGAATTTTGTGGATAATATGTAGGAAGAAACTAGATGACATAAAGGTACATGAAATTATACTTATTTGTTGTATTCATTGGGTTCATCATCAGGGGCTGATCTGTCTCTAAATTGTTGTGTTCTTTTATCTTCTCACTGATCTCTTTATTAGGGTTATTCTCTACTCTGGTGTTTACTGGCAAAGACTTCTCCTGTGTCAGGACTTTGTATGTATGGAAAGAGCAACTAATAGGTCAGAGTCATCCATATTTTCATCGAGTTAGTTTTCCAGTTGGGAAACAAATAATAAACAGCAATCAATATATATATATATATTTTTTTTTAATTACAGTACAACAGTACATTCGGGAGGCAGAGGCAGGCAGATCTCTGTGAGTTTGAGACCAGCCTGGTCTACAAGAGCTAGTCTCCAAAGCCACAGAGAAACCCTGTCTCGAACCCCCCCAAAATAAATAAATAAATAAAAATTACAGTGTATAAGTAGCATGATAAATAATGATGTGTAATAAAGAAAATAAGACAAATTTATATAAGAGCTTATTATGGTGCAGGGAATGGGGGTAGTAAGTCATTCTTTAACATGATAGAGGACCCTTCATTTCCAAACCATTTGCTTACAAAAAACACCAAGGATTCAGAACTTTATAAATAGATTAAAGTACTTGTTTTCTTTATAAAATATTACTGGTTTATCTAACTTATAGTTCCTAAAGCAAAGGAAGACAGTTTTTAAAATTATACTTTCCTTTCAATTATAAAATGTTCAAGTAAGATTTATTAAAATACATTGCTAGTTATCTATTTGTATGTTTTATGGTGAAAGTTTATAGGACTCTTCTTCAGACCACAAGAAACTGAGGTATTGAACCAATGCAGAGGCACATAAGACTGACAGTAAATATATTTCAACTGGGAATTACTGTAGTGAGATAAAATTTGTTTTTGAAACAAGGTCTCATGCTCTGGAACCATCTAATCTGGCATAAAAACATCTCTGTAGTTATCTGATGACGCTTTTGTATATTTGATTGGTACTGATAATGGTCTTGAATCACCAAAAAACATTTATTTTGCTAAAGACAATAGTGCATGCTTCAGACAGGATTCCCTAGAACTTAGTGTCTGTGTGACCAAAGCTTCACCTGTCCTCAAACTTGTTGTAAACAAGACTCTTACTATCCCTAGTATAAAGTAGACAATTGAATAGTTGCTTTAAAACAAACAAACAAACAAAAAAAACCAGAAACCTATTTCCAAATCCATTTAAAAATTAGCTTCTTAGGTGATCTAGGCTTTTAGAATAAACTCTAGGTTAGCTCAGTTCCATCTTAGCAAAAACATTACAGATCAAAAAGTACTAATGTTCCGCTCGCATATTAGTTATTTGGTTGAAATTAATAGAGCTTAAAGTTTTTGTCTCTTTCTAGGAATTGTTTGTTCTTAATCTTCTCCAGTTGTCATCAATGGGAAGCATAGAGTCACTGTTCCAACCTCCCTCCGTCCCTCCCTCCCTCTGTCTGTCTCTCTCTTTCTTTCTTTTCTCTCTTTCTTTCTTTCTCTCTTTCTCTCTCTCTCTTTCTTTCTTTCTTTCTTTCTTTCTTTCTTTCTTAACACTATTACTACAATTCATTTTGTCTCAACCAGTAAAGCGCACTTTACACCAGTGCCTTTCCATTTGTCATAGTAGCAAAAATCACCTGGAATGTTGCTAAAAAAGATATCCCTTAGCTTCATTCCAGGACTCAGATTCTGTTTTGAGAAAGGTCAGAGGACTACTTTTAACAAATAATCAAAATACTCTAATATAGGAATACCACACTTGCAGAAATGTCACTTTTCCATGTTGACACCTATAGAGAGAAACCTATTTTAGGCAATTCTTGGACAATTGAAGCAGAAAAGGCTTTCCTTGAAGTTGAAGAAGATATTTATGACTGGAAAGAAAAAGAAAGCAATTCCAAGGATGAGTTAAATGAAATAAAAGAAATTAAATAGAAAGATGGTATTTAAAATTAGAATGGCAAGTAACCCACTTCCTTGTTCTTACATATAAAAACAGGCCAGAAGTATTCACTTACTCCAGAGCAAAAATATCAATATATGTTCTCTACTTAGAAACTTAACGTGAAATTGGTATTTTCTTTAGGTTTGGCTTCCATGGATCCAGGGCCAAAACATGGTTGTCCCAACTTTTGATGTTTCTAAAATTTCCAGCTGTGGAGTTGATAATCAAGTGTCCCACATTCTCTTACTGTACACAAAAAATGAAAGTCAGAAAAATTTAAAGTATAAGAAGTTTGGAGGGGTGACAATAATCCTTTATTGAAAATATGTTTTGTAGAAGGCAAAGTTTGGGGTTGCAGATGTTTCTATAATAGAAACAACAAAATAATAATTTTCTTGTGATTTTTCTAATTGCAGAAGTGAAGTGTGTCCTTCTACAGAGTGAAATCCAGAAGGAGTTGAAAGAGAAAGACTATTACTATAGAAGTAATGTTACCTTGGAATGTCAGGATGGTTATACTCTGGAAGGCAATTCTCAGAGCATGTGCCAGTCAAATGCCAGCTGGGGTCCTCCTCTTGGCAAATGCGTACCTAGTAAGTACAAAATGTAGGGTTGGAGCCCCTTCCCAGCGTGGTCACTGACTACCCAGTCGTCTGTCTGTTCTGGTGCCCACTGTGATGGGTGTTACTATTTGTAGTGCCAAGAGAACTGAGAATGTGCTCTCTCAAAATACAACAAGTTAAGACGTTAGTAAAATCACTTGAAGTATGACTACAGGAATAGAAGAAGCACATATACACAGAGAGACAACATACCCACACAGAAAACCCATAAAGCCACACATTGGAAACCATAATATATAAGCAAAAGACCAGTAAGGTTTTTAAAACTTGCCCATACAAAGCAATATGTGACATTTTTCCCCCCCAGTACCACTGAGTTTATTTTGAGTTGGCCATCTACTGTTAGGCATGGGGCCTGCCCTTCAGTGTGATTTGTATACCCAGTGAGACTCCACAAGAAAAAATATAATTTGTCATTTGCAAGCTGTTGTCAATTAGAGATGTCTTCTTGGTTAGTGATAGATCATATCCATTTACCCCTCAGTGCTGGGATCCCATTTGTCTTGAACCTATGCAGACCCTATACATTCTACCACAGTCTCTGTGTGTTCGTATGTGCATCAGTCCTGTTATGTCTGGAAGGCATTGTTTCCTCTTCCATCTCCACTGGCTCTTAAAATATTTCCACCTCATCTTCTGCACAAACAGTACATTTGATCTTTAGCACAAACAACAAGGAAGGAAGCCAACGTTTTATAAAAATTGTTCATGTTTTGAACCTGTTGACCGGTTTGAAATGTGAGGTTCTGAAGAGATAGAAAGTACATACAAAATAGAATAAAAGGTTACTAGTGTTATCATAGCCGGGCGGTGGTGGCGCACACCTTTAATTCCAGCACTCGGGAGGCAGAGGCAGGCAGATCTCTGTGAGTTTGAGGCCGGGCTGGACTGACAGCCTCCAAAACAATACAGAGAAACCCTGTCTTGTAAAACCAAAAAACAAAACAAAACAAAAAAAATAGTGTTATCATAAAATACTATATTGGTAGTTGTGGTGTGGTAGTGGAAATAATTGTAAAAGTTGATATTGAACATTTAGTACTGATGTTCAAAGGCTAGTGATAGGCATAAGATAGGTAGGTGGTAGATGATAGGTAGGTAGGTGGATGGATGGATAGATAGATAGATAGATAGATAGATAGATAGATAGATAGATATTCTTATTAAATGCTCGTAACAACCATGAGGTTATATTCTTAGGACACCACTTTTACAGATAGGGAAACTGAGACATAAAGGGCTTAGGTAACTTGCCCAAAACCACAAAAATAATGTAGCCTGGGTACAGTCAGTCACTCCACATATCAATAGAGACTGTGTGCTATAACAAATGAACAAATGTCCAAAATAAATAATTGTCAAGAGGAATGATTTCTAGTATTATAGTTAAAAGGACAGCTATTAGGTAAAGGTACCACACATCAGCTTTGTGGGGAAAGGTATATTTTGGCTTACACTTCCACATTGTAGTCCATTATCAAAGGAAATCAGGACAGGATCTCAAACAGGTCTAGAACCTGTAAGTAGGAGCTGATGCAGAGCCCATGGAAGAATGCTGCTTACTGGCTCTCTCACTCTGTTTTCTTATTGAACCCAGGACCACCAACCCAGTCATGGCACCATGCATAATGAGTTGGTCCCTCCTCCATCAGTAACTTAAGAAAATGCCCTACAGACTGGTCTACAGCCTGATATTATGGAGGCCTTCTCTTAATTGAGATTCTCTCTTTGCAGATAACTTGATAACTTGTGTCAAGCTGACATAAAACTATCCAGCACAGAGGTGAAGACAAAAGGGTTCAAATATCTACCAATTTGAAGGTTCTTGAAGTCAGATTTTTAGGGTAAACTCCTCATGGATTGTGCTGTATCATTGTGAACATTTTTTTCTCTGGATTGAGATCTAGACTAAAGCAGCCTCCTTTGAACTCTTACTCCTCTTCATATCATCTGGTCTCAAACCTTGAAATCTTACTTCTTTGAGGGGGAAAGAGGCAAATGAGTGTTTGTCCCTATGACTTAGAAACGATTGCCCAAGATACCAGTCATTGGTTGTAGAGATGCAACAGCCTTGGAACAGCTCACTATGGTTAATTTTGAGAGCAATTAAAATAAGAACAGTTATCTCATCTTTGAGTACCAGTACTGAAGGATGAGTGTGTTGGTACTCTCAGGTCTACCACATCACCAACTCAGTGACCTGTTAGTGAGGTCACAGCTACATCTTCCTTAGGCAATGGCTAACCTTGCTACAACCCATGCAAGCATGGTGTTGCTTTCAAGACACCTTCAGAGAAGACGTGAAAACTCAGAGAAATCTTCATTGGAAGTCTCAGTGAGGCTCAAAGTGTGACATGTAAGGCATATTCTGAAGTCCATTCTCATGCCCCAAGATTCCTCTCATTGGAGCAAAATAACATGGCCCTGGAACAGAAGCAGCAAGTGCAGAAAATATCTTAGAATACAGGAATTGGAAATAGCTATAAATATTATTTTTACTCTGGTATATAAATATATAGAAACTTTAAATTCATTAGAATGAAAAAAAGCATAAGAAAATAACAAGGTAAATTTCCCCCATTTTATTAACAGTAAAAAGGGTTTTAGGCAAATGGTATTTAACACACAAGAATGTAATAATATTGTTGTGTAATGAAAGTACTATTCTGTATTTGGAAAAAACTTTACAAAAAAAGTGATGCAATGTGTAAAGAGACCTGTATAAGCTAATGAGGTAATGTAAAGTATGAAAATACACATTTTCTTAACAGTTTAAAGGCAAAAACTTAAAGCATATTAAATACGTAAGTCACCGGGGACTGGAGAAATGGCTCAGTGGTTAAGAGCACTGGCTGTTCTTCTAGAAGACCCAGGTTCAATTCCCAGCACCGGAATGGCAGCTAACAACTGTCTCTAATTCCAAGATCTGACACCTTCAAACAGAATACAATACATGCAGGCAAAATGCCAATACAGAGTAAATAAATGTAAGTCACTGAACAGTGATATGTCTGTAGGATAGGTTGTATTTGCTGCTTCTATGGTAATTTGCACTCCTAGCTCACTTGTGAAGCCTTTATTTGTATAGGGAAATTATGCAATGAAAATGTGCTAAAACCTTTTTGAGTGATATTTTCTTTTGTATTACTTTATAAATTTTCTTCTGCAGTGATATTATTTTTCAGTGAGTGAAAATGATAAAATGAGGTTGTAAGAGTGACACCAGAGGCTTTTTATATTAGAAAAACAATAACTGACTCCCAGATTAAAATCAGAATAAACCATACTAGCCAAAGCAGTTATGTGGCAACAATATGTGCCAGTAACATTTCTGTGGTTTTGTTTCTCTTTCAGGCTCAAACAGTGGTCTCATAACTGGTAAGTCCTGTGATGGGTTTGCTTAAACAATAAGTATCTACTTTTAATAAGTGATATGTAAAAAGAAGTCAAAATATTTTCTAAGTTTAATTAAAATTAATGTAAGTTTAGGGCAGCAGTTCATTTTCACATGGGGTCACCTAAGACAATCAGAAAGCACAGATATTTACATCCTGATTCATAACAATAGCAAAATTACAATTAAATGCAGTAGCCATGAAAATAATTTTATGGTTGGGGTCACCACACGAGGAACTGTATCAAGTGGGTCACAGCATTAGGAAGGCTAAGAACTGCTGGTTTTGGGTGTCATGAGATTTGTATCCTCATTCACATTGAGGAAACTCATCTTTGAATCATTTGAGTGAGTAAACATTTTTCACTGTCAGCAATTCTTTATTTTAACATTTCAGGGGAGACAACTTCCTCTTTGTTTTGTACCCAGAAATATGTTTCTGGGTAGTCATCCTGATAATTGGTACTGTTAAAGTCCTAAGACCATCCTGTGAGTGAATCTTGTGTCTGGAAATAGAAGGATATTGTCTTTACCTTTGTTTCTGTTACTGTGATAAAAGCAACTTAGAGGGGAAAGAAGATCTTGTTTTTTGCTAATAATTCCAGGGTCTCGTCCATCGTTATGTGGAAGTCAGGTTGCAGGGACTTGAAGCAGCTGTTCACATCCACAGTCAGGAGCCTTTCTTCACGCTCATAAAGTTCATGATCCCTTGCCTGAGAATGATATCCCCTACATATGTGTGTGCAAGGCTGAGGTGGTACCTTAATACGTGTAATTAAGACACCTCCCGCAGACATGCACGTAGGCCAGCCATAGACAGATGATTCCTCACTGAGACACTCTTCTCAAGTGACTCTAAACTGTGTCAAGTTGACCATTTAACCAGCACAAATAGATTTGTACAGAGTTTGATACCAAGGGGATTTCTGTTGCATAGAATGGCCTGTTTCATGCCTTCCGTCAAAGACTTGGCTAAACTATGTATGCTGAGCCAAGCAGCATGATTGCTGTGAAGGACTGTGCTGTTGGGAAGAAGCTATAGAATGCTCTGGTCACCCGATAACTATAGTACTGTGGTTGTAAGTCTGATGTTCTACATTAAAACCAGAGATGAGCAGAACCTACATGGAAAAGAATCATTGGTAACCAATATTAGGACAGAGTCTAAAACTTCTGTATTGTGTTTTTAATTTGATTATTTTGTTTTCTTGTTCAGGCATTGTCTTTGGGATGATCTTCGCTATTTTATTCACCGTTGCTCTCTTTTGGCTGATTCAGAAGTATAAAAAACGGTGAGCATAGTCACATTCTCAAAAAAACAAACAAAAAAAAACTGTCACAGGGAGCTGTGGTCTGTACCAGTGCCCTAACATTTTGCTGGATTAGACAGGATAGCCATGAGTTTGAGGCCTGTCTGAGCCACAGAATAATACCTTGGCTCTAACAAACAAAACAGAACTAACTTGGGAAGGTGAGTTGGTGGCAAGGGCACTTATATGGCAAGTATGACCACCAAAGTTTGGATCTCGGCACCCATGTAAGTGCCAGGTGGACATGGTAGCCCTTGCATAATTCCAGTACTCAGAAAGTGGAGACAGTGGGTCTCCTGAACAAGTTCACTAGACATACCTGCCATATAAGTTGGCTCTGGGTTTTAGTGACCTTGTCTCAGTGGAAAAATCCAGAAAGCAATAGAGGAAGACGACTCCTGACATACCACATACATACACCCTCACATATGCAAATAGGTATATGCAGAAAGGGGAAGGTAGAAAAAGACAGAATATGAAGGAAAAATTTGAATCTGTAAATTGTATGTTCCTTCTCTTGGAAGGCAAAGCAAATTAAAAGAAAGCAATAGAACATACCTCCATAAAGACAGATGTGATAATTTTCAGGAATGTAGCCTTGGTTGCACGAAATAGTATGTTTACATCAAAAGAAATATATATGATTACAGTCATTGTAAATTTGTGTGTATGTATGCATGTACACACACACACGCACGCATGCACGCACGCACACACGTATGCACGCACTCTAACAACAAACACTATAGTGGTAGTGAGCGGATAACTTGTTGAAGTCAGGACCCAAGATCAAACTCAGATCATCAGGCTTGGCAGCAAGCTCCTTTACTCACTGAGCCATAATGCCAGCCTACCAGCACTTAAAAAAAAATTAGGTAAAAAGAAACAACCTCTTAAGAAGAAATTGAAGAAAGAGAAAACAGGCAGAAGGAGTTTCTTAAAAGTATTAAAGATTCTTAAAGGTATGAAGCTGCTGACATTATGGCGGGCATGCAGCAGATGCTGACCTGTAAACATAGACTGATCACAGCACCAGAAGCTGAATGGGGTATCCTATAGCACACACATAATAGACTACCAATGTAGAAGTACTTAAACTTGGCTGCTCCTGACCCACAGGGTGCTTGAAATATTTACTGAATGAATAAACTTGTCAGCCATTACTAAGAGTGTTGAAAAAGAAACTTTGTTGCTGTAACTACCTACCAAATGAGAATGCATTGTAACTAGTCCTAACAGCTCATGTCTATTGTTCCAATGAGTCAACCATCTCAGTCTAGAAAGATACAAATCTGGGTAGTTTAGAAAATAAGCATTGATTTTTTTCACAGTTCTGGAAGCTGGAGAGCCTATTTGCTACCTAGTGAGTAGCTTCCCAATTAATAAATTGCAGTCCTCTTACTTGTCCCCACACAGAAGAAAAAAGGTAGGAAAACTATAAACTCTCACAAGGGCACCAATCTTCACCCTAGGGGTTTCACCCTCAAGAATCAATTACTTCTCAAAGGCTTACCTCATACTGTCACATTGGGGTTTGGGATTTCAACCTGTCATTTTGGGAGTAACCTGTCCATTGTAGTATATCAGATTTGGCAACATTTGTCACACCGATGATTTCACATGATGCATTAATCCCCAACTTTCCCAGATTCAGAATATCTGCTTGTATAATTCCATTCCTGACTCCAATTGAGGAATTCTTCCTTTATTTCAGCTTAGTTTTTTTTTTAGAAAAGCAAAAACAAAAGCATTGCCTTACAAATTATAGTGATACTCGAGGGATTTTGAAAAGCTCCTATCTTCCCACTCTATTATTTGCTAGGTTCCATGCAATTCTACTCCCTCCTTCGCAGATCATCAGCTGCTTGTGAGTGGGAAATACCTATATGCGCACACAATTATTATTTTATTTATTCTTTCGTAAAATACACCCCAACTGCAGTCTCCCCTCCCTCCATTTCTCCCATTTCCCACCCCTCACCTCCTGTCTCCCCCAGACCCATTACTCCTCTGTTTCCCTTCAGAAAAGAGCAGGCTTCCTAATGATAATTAACCAAACACAGCATAGCAAGATGCAACAAAGCTAGGTTCAAACCTTCATATCATGGCTGCACAAGGAAACCCAGTAGGAGGAAAAGGTCCTGAGAGCAGACAAAGGAGTCAGAGATACCCCTCCCCCACTGTTAGAAGTGTCACTGTGTGGATATACCACATTTTCTTTATCCATTCTTTGTTTGAGGGATGTCTAGGTTGTTTCCAGTTTCTAGCTTTTTTAAATAATGAACATAGTCAAGCAAATGTCCTTGTGGTAGGGTGGAGCATCTTTTTGGTATGTGCTCAAGAGTGGTATACCTGGGTCCTAAGGTAGGTTGATTCCCAATTTTCTGGGGAACAGCCATTTTGATTCCCATAATGGCTGTACAAGTTTGCACTCCCACCAATTACAGAGGAGTGTTCCCCTTGCTCCATATCCTCGCCAGTATTAGCTGTCACTTGTGGTTTTGAACATTTCTTAAGTGTTTCTTAGCCGTTTGAGATTCTTCTATTGAGAATTCTCTGTTTAGGTCTGTACTCCATTTGCTAATTGGATTGTTTGGGTTTTTTTGGTGGGGGGTGGGATCTAGTATCTATAGTTCTTTATATATTTTAGATATTAGCGCTCTATCAAATGTCGAGTTGGTAAAAAAAAACTTTTTCGCCAACTTTGTCCTATTGATAGTGTTCTTTCCCTTACAGAAGCTTTTCAGTCTCATGAGGTCCCATTTATTAATTGTTGATCTTAGTGCCTGTGCCCTAAGTGTTCTGTTCAAGAATTTGTCTCTTGTGCCAATGTGTTCAAGGCTGTTCCCTACTTTCTCTTCTGTCAGATTCAGTGTGTCTGATTTAGTGTTGAGGCCTTCAATTCACTTGGACTTGAGTTTTGAGCAGGGTGATAAAAACGGATCTATTTGCATTCTTCTGCCTACATACATCCAGTTAGACCCGCACCATTTATTGAAGATGCTTTCTTTTTTCCATTGTGTATTTCTAGCTTGTTTATCAAAAATCAGGTGTCTGTAGGTGTGTGGGCTTTGATTTGATTCTTTTGATCAACTTGTCTGTTTTTATGCCAATGTTGTGCAGTTTTTATTACTATATCTCTGTAGTACAACTTGAAATCAGGGACCGTGATACCTCCAGAAGTTCTTTTATTGTACAGGATTGTTTTAGCTACCTGAGGATTTTTGTTTTGTTTTTTTTTTCATATAAAATTAAGCATTGTTTTTCAAGGTCTGTTAGGAATTATGTTGGAATTTTTATGGACTTGCCTTAAATCTGTAGATTGTTTTTGGCAGGATGGACGTTTTTATATTGCTAATTCTAACAATCCATAAACATGGGAGATCTTTCCATCTTCTGATTTCTTCTCCAGTTTCTTTCTTCATAGACTTTAAGTTTTTGTCATACATGTCTTTCACTTGCTTGGTTAGGGTTACCCCAAGATATTTTACGTTGTTTGTGGCTATTGTGAAAGATGTTGTTTCCATTATTTCTTCTCTCTCTTTCTCTCTCTCTCTCTCTCCCCCCCTCTCTATTTATTTATTATTTACTTATTTATTTTGAGACAGGGCTTTAGTGAATATTTTTCATCTATGTTCATAAGGGAAATACATCTGTAATTTGTTGAATCTTTGTGTGATTTGGGTATCAGAGCAACTGTGGCCTCATAAAATGAATTTGGCTATGTTTCTTTTGTTCCTATTTTGTGGAGTGATTTGAGGAGTATTGACATTAACTCTTCTTTGAAAGGCTGGTAGGATGGTAGGAGTATATGCTAAAACTGTACGGTCCTGGACTTTTTTTTTTTTTTTTTGCTTAGGAAACTTTTAATGACTACTTCTGTTTCCTTAGGGGTTATAAAGGTATTTAAGTTGTTTATCTGATCTTGGTTCAACTTTAATAAGTGTTGTCTATCAGAAACATCTGTTTCTTTTATATTTTCAAGTTTTGTGAGTACAGGCTTTTAAAGTATGACTTCTTTGGATTTTTTCTGTTGTTGTGTTCCTCTTTTTCTTTCTGATTTTGTTAATTTGTATAGTCTCTCTGCCTTTTAATTAGTTTGGATAAAGGTTTGTCTGTCTTGTTGATTTTTCTCAAAGAACCAACTCTTTGTTTCATTGATTCTTTGTATTGTTCTCTTTGTTTCTATTTTATTGATTTCAGCCCTCAGTTTATTTCCTGCCCTCTACTCCTCTTGGGGTGGGGAGGGGAGGTTCTTGTTTTCTTATAGAGCTTTCAGGTGTGCTGCTAAGTTGCTAGTGTGAGATCTCTCCATTTTTTTTTTAATGTAGGCAATTAGTGCTATGAACTTTCCTTTTAGCACCACTGTCATTGTGTCCCATAAGTTTGGTTATGTAGTAGATTATTTTTCATTGAATTTTTAGAAGTCTTTAATTTCTTTCTATCATGACCCATAGTCATTGTTCCATTTCCATGAGTTTGTAGGCTGCTGTTATTGAAGTCAGCTTTAATCCATGATGGTGTGATCGGATGCAGGGAGTTATTTCAGTTTTCTTGTCTCTATAGAGGTCCATTTGCTTGTAAAATCTTTTTTCAACCCTTTACTCTGAGGTAATGTCTATCTTTGATGCTGAAATGTGTTTCTTGTATGCAGCATAAGGTTGGCTCCTGTTTTTACATCCATTCTGTTAGTCTCTATTTATCAGGGAATTGAGTCCACTGATATTGAGTGATCTCAGTGGTCAGAGATTGTTAATTCTTGTTATTTTGGTGGTGGGTTTTTTTTTTTTTTTTTTTTTTTTTTTTTGGTTTTTACGAGACAGGGTTTCTCTGTATTGTTTTGGAGGCTATCGGTCCAGCCCGGCTTCGAACTCACAGAGATCCGCCTGCCTCAGCCTCCCGAGTGCTGGGATTAAAGGCGTGCGCCACCACCGCCCGGCTTGGTGGTTGTTGTTGGTGGGATCTGTGTGTGTGTGTGTGTGTGTGTGTGTGTGTGTGTGTGTGTGTGTGTGTGTGTGTTTGCTTCCCTTTTAGTTTTGCTGGCATGAGATATTTATTTCCTGTGTTTTCATGATGTAGTTATCCTCCTTGGGTTGGAGTTTTTCCTTCTGGTATCTTCTGTAGGGTTAGAATTTGGGTGGCTATTGTTTAAATTTGACTTTATCATGGAATAATTCGTTTTCTCTATCTATGGTGATTGCAAGTTTGTTGTATATAGTAGTCTGAGTTGGCATCTGTGGTCTTAGTCTTCAGGACATCTATCCAGGTTCTTCTGACTTTGAGAATCTCAATAGAGAAGTCAGGTGTAATTCCAATAGGTTTGCCTTTATATATTACTTGCCCTTTTTTCTTTGCAGCTTTTAATAATCTTCTTTGTTCTGTATGCTTAGTGTTTTGACTATTATGTGGCAAGAGAATTTTTTTTCTTCTCCAATCTATTTGTGTTCTGTAAGCTTCTTGTACCTTTGTAGGCATGTTCTTCTTTAGGTTAGGAAATCTTTCTTCTATGATTTTGCTGAAAATATTTTCTTGGCCTTTGAGCTGGGATTCTACTCCTTCTATTCCTATTAATCTTAGGTTTGGTCTTTTCATAGTGTGCCAGATTTCCTGGATGTTTTGTGTCAGGAATTTTTTAGATTTAATATTTTCTTTGACTGATGTATTTATTTCTTTTATCAAATTTTCAGTGCCTGAGATTCCTTCCCAGTCTCTTATATTCTGTTGTTGATGCTTGTGTCTGTAGGCCCTGTTCCCTTATCTAGATGCTTTTATTTCCAGAATCCTGTTGGTTTGTGTCTTTATTGTTTCTATTTTCATTTTCAGGGGTTGAACAGTTTTACTCATTTCATTCAACTGATTTTTCTAGCTTTCTTTAATGGATTTATTCATTTTCTCCAAGTTTTTGTTTGTCTCTTCCTCAATTTCTTTAAGAGAATTTTTCCTTTCTCCCTTAATACTGTTTATATTTCTCCATTCAGAGCTGTTGACCTTGTTCTCTTGTTGTTTTTAACCATGCCCAGGTCTATACAAACCAGCCTCCACTGATGCCAAGTGTTGACTTCTGTAAGCAGCCTTCCTGTTGAATCAAGAGAAAATATTGACAACTTCCTTGATATTATATTTAAAGTAACAAAACTCTTAGAGCCGTTATCTATAAAAGTACTTTCCTATGTTTGTATTACCACTAATATCCAATCAGATCAGAGGGCTTTTTTTTTTTTTTTTTTTTGGTTTTTCGAGACAGGGTTTCTCTGTGGCTTTTGGAGGCTGTCCTGGAACTCGCTTGATAGTCCAGGCTGGTCTCGAACTCACAGAGATCCTCCTGCCTCTGCCTCCCGAGTGCTGGGATTAAAGGCGTGTGCCACCAACGCCCGGCGATCAGAGGGCTTTCTTTAACCAGGTCCTACCTCACCCACATGTGCCATTCATCACTTATGCACACGTTCCAACATGGCTTGTCTCACTACTATATCACCACCCTTCACTCTTCTTTATCTTCAGTCTCACACTGACCTTCCATGTGGTAGAGAAACTGGCCTGTGACTCATGGTCCCTTTGTGTCTTACGTGCTTCTGTCAATCTAAGAGGGTAAAGAGAAGTTGAGTGGTGAGGAGTAGTGGTAAGTGAGTTAGCTGTGTTTTTCATTCTTAACTCTAATACCAACTCACAAATAAACCATCATGTACATATTTGTTACTTATGTTATGTAACATACTTGCTACATAAGCCCAGAAGACATGATGTAGAATTTCTGATGAAAATATGGGGCTTACAGTCAGACCTGAATGCATTGTCAGTCACCAGCTATGAATCTCTGTGCAAAGCACTGACCATCAGGCTTCATCTTCTTTGCCTATGAGATGATAGCTCCTATCTTACTGAACACAGTACTATACTTATTATAATGAATGCCAGAAAATGTTAGCTATTATTTATATAGTTGCTGATTTTAAAAGTAATTAAATATTTTTGTTTTCGGTAAGTTACTACATCTAGTCATCCCTCATAATCTGAAGGCTGTTGGTTCTAAAATTCTCAAAGATACCAAAGTCTTTGGTTATTTAAATACCTTACATAAAAATGGGTAGTACTGGAGACCAGAGAGATGACTCAGCTGTTAAGAGTACTTGCTACTCTCAAAGAAGACCAGGGTTCAGTACCTGCTTCTGACCTCCAGGGGTGTCAGGTCACAGATGGTGTACCTACATACATACAGGCACTCACACATACACATAAAATAAAAAATTTGAAAGGCCAGGCAGTGGTGGCACACACTTTTAATCGCAGCACTCAGGAGTCAGAGGCAGGCGGATCTCTGTGAGTTTGAGGCCAGCCTGGTCTACAGAGCTAGTTCCAGAACAGCTAGAGCTGTTATTGTTACACAGAGAAAGCCTGTCTCAAAAAACAAACAAAAAGGGTAGTACTTTACTGTAACCTCCTGTATGTCTTAATTGTCTCTGGATTACTTGTGATACTATAATATAATAAACTTCCCAGCATCACTAATGATCACAGATCATTAGTGTTACAAAGCTATTAGTATATGAAGTTGTCAGATTTCATGGGAAACCTATTTATTAACCAAAATTATTTCAGAAATAGTAAAATGTGTTGTTTAAGGTGTGGACACACATACATAGACAAGCTAAAGTCTGACATAATGGGTTTAGTATTTCCTAATACAAGATTTTGCTTAGTGAAATTATAACTTAAATCTCAAAATGAAAGTCATTGATTACTTTCAAAGCTGTAACATGACTCATACAGTTTTCCTTTTGTTCCCCTACCAATTAGCAAAACCACAGACGGAAAATGTAAAGGAGTGAGTATCCATTTAAATCCTCAAGAAGACAACAGCACTCACCCTCAGGCTCTGCTCACAAGTCAGGAGAACAGCAGGTACCTATGCACATCCTGAGTTCCAAATGTTTACAGCAACTAAAAACAGAAACAGTTCAAACAGGGTATTGCACACAGAAGTTGGGAACTTCTTCTTGAGCTGGATCATTGCCATTTTTATGATTTTGTTTGGTAACTGTCAAGGTGTGTCCTGTGACCCTTTCAGGGGTGCTTGACTTTGCTTTTCCTGGAAGCCAAGTAGCTGATCTTTAGGGGATACCCACATACTCATGTGGGTTATATCTTTCCTGATTTCTGATTATCACTGATTTCTGCACCTCACTTGTCTTCCTGTGACTAACCCTGTGACTCACTCTTTCCTCTCTCTCTCTCTCTCTCTCTCTCTCTCTCTCTCTCTCTCTCTCTCTCTCTCTCTCTCTCTCTCTCTCTCGCACACACACAGACATGTTTCTCTGTGTAGCCCTGGCTATTCTGGAACTCACTCTGTAGACCAGGCTGGCCTTAGACTAAGAGATCTTCCTATCTCTGCCTCCCAGGTCCTGGACTTAAAGGCGTGCTCCACCACCGCCTCCCTTCACTCTTTCTCTTCTTTCTGTCCACTGCAACTATTCCATCCTTAACTCATCGTTCAACTCATCCATGCATCCTCACCCCATCCTTAACTCATCGTTCAACTCATCCATGCATCCTCACCACAATCCCTCATATGGCAAATAGTAGCCAAAGGTTTGGGCTCTAAAGGGAACTAATACTACAACTGAATGTAGCATGATGACATAACTGAATATTGTGAATCACTGAACTAAAAAAAAAAAAACTAAAAGATTCCAAAAAAACCAACTGCAGTCTCGGCTAAATTCAGCTGCCACTTGTGTTGCATTAAGCCATTCTAATTGCCCACCCTCACCTAGTCCTGTTGTCAGTGGCTGCTCTCCACCCTAGTAGCAGTGAGCGGTGAATCAGACCACGAACCCCAGATACTTACAAGTATATACCATTTTTTAAAGCAGTTTTGATTAGTAAATAAGATCACTACAGTTTTTAACAGTTTCATATACCTACAGAGTTATAACGTAACCTGACATAGCATTGTTGAGTTCTGTGGTCACAAGTGACATTGGGAAATTCTACTTTACATCAAAGATCCAACAGTGTCACTGTAGATGTCCTACAGATTGCTTAGATCTATACTGCCTACTCGGGTACCTCATTCAGCCCTCGGGCCTCTTGAAAATCCGCAGCTCCGTGTCTCTATTACACAGCTATTCATTTGCTCACTGACTTCTCAGGCATCCTAACACATCATGTCCATAGGCCCTCGGGACGTTTTCAGAAATAATAGCACAATCTGTGCAGGTCTGTAATCCTTATACTTGGAAGGTGGAGGCAAAAGGATCAAGAGTTCAAAGTCATTTCCAGTTATATAAGGAGTTTGACTGACATCAGGTTGGGCTACCTGATATCCTGTCTAAACAAACAAACCACCAACACACACACACACACACACACACACACACACACACACACACACACACCATAAATAATAGCAGCTTATGCTCTGGAAAGGAATTGGGCTGCTCTCCTAATAAACAGAAGCAAAAACATCATATTGTTTAATAAAATTCTTCTATGTCCTTCTTCTGACACTAATGTGTATTGATTGACACTTGCCATTTTCTCCCAATACATATGTCTAAAATCCTTAATTCAATAATGAACAGCAGAAATGGCCCTCAGGAAAGAAATAGGAGGCCCAGGAAAGACATTTTATAGTCAATAGGATTATAAATACAGGCAACTTAAGTTTTTTTAAGCAAAAAAAACAAACAAACAAAAAACCCTGCAGTTAATATTTTCTTTTATTCTGCAATGAAGTGAATTTGCAAAGCCTTCTGTTTATTATCTGGTTTCCTAGTCTCTTCTTTCCTTTTGTCTTGAAGCTTATTTTTCCATATTATGTGTAGAAGAAAATGAAACACACATTTTTTTTAAAGCTCAGAATTTATGTTACACCTAAGTTGTAATGATAACCTAGTATGATCCTCTTCAAATGACTGTTATCATCATGGCTAATCCACCAAGAAATAGAAAAGTTGAGGTGTTAGCAGTATGCCATCCAACAACAATACCTTTTAATGTTAGTCCAAAAGTTTGGAAGGAAAACAATACTACTTCTATAATAGCACATATGTACATATAAAAGAGGGAAAGACGAATAATGTGAATTTTTTTTGAGACAGAATAACATAGAATGCCATGATTTGGGGGACTTCACTGAGATCTGTACCCAAGGTTCTTAAGTGTAGAGTTATTTGCTTTACTGTTGGGATCTATGATGGGAAAGTTGTACAGAATCAATTCCAGGCTAACCATGTAATGATACTGTAGGAAGAAAATAACAGACTGGGAGCTGGGGTTGTTTTTGCAGGAAATTGTTTTTAAAGCATTCTACAAAAATGCTCAGAATATCGTTTATTTAGATTTGCATGTACAAGATAACCCACCTGAAACTCTTTCTCGTTTTTCTTTTTGCCCAAGTTCCAATAACCCAGCTCGGAATTCACTCACCCAAGAAGCCTCCTAAATAGCCATATTGCAAAATGGCAAGTCTCTGTCAATATTAAAATATATCTTGTATTTACATCTTTTAAAATAAATATTTTATTTTAAGAGCTAGTTGAGTAGTTCATACATGTAATTCCAGCACTTGAGAGGTTGACACAGGATTGCCACAAGTTGAAGGCCACTCAGGACATTTAACCTGTCTCAAAAATAAAAAATAAATAAATAAAAATTAAAAAATGTTATAACCTCATTTTTTAAAATGGTGAATATGCAGAATATTTTATGTAAATTGAGCCAGATGTAATGGATGACTCCTTTACTCACTCTGGAGAACGCTGAGGCAAGAAGATCACCTTGGGTCTGAGAAGAAAAACCAAAAATCTTATCGTAAACAGAAATCTTACCATAAACAGAGCAAGGTCAGTCTTGACTACAATGTTTCAAAGCATCAAGGTAAATTATTTTTGGCAACACGTTGTAGACAAGGAGTGAAAATCTATCCTAACCACAAGACCTGTGTACCCAGGCCAGCTGTCAAATCCAAGAAGTGACAAGGTGAAGGCATATGTCAGAGATGTATCTATGTGGTGAAAGATAATACTTGTAGGAGGGTAAGTGGTGGGTGATGCTGACCACTCTTGAGAGGGAGAAAGAACAATGAGGAGCAATCAAGTGGGCAGTAGCAGATGGAGGTGTTTGTCCACCCGCTGAAGCACAGCACTGAGGCCAGGAAGAAAAGGCCCAAGTGTTGTCGGGTACCCTGTACTGAATATACCACCCTTGCTTGTTCTTTGTGGTAGTAACAGGAAATGGTCACACTTTCTAAAGCTAACTTTCTTCTCAGAGGACAAGCCACCATTTACACCTCTGCCACAAGCACACTTCTAAAGAGACTCAAGAAAATGCTTTGTGCATTGTGGTTGACCTGTGTATTTTCCAGAACTAGACTCTGTGTATAAACTGACAAAAGGAAAAGCATGAAATGTACTCATTTATTTCTTCTTTCCACTGCATTTCCTCCTTTACACCATACTTTCATGTGCCTTGCATAAAAAACACAAGAGAATAATAAACACTTTCGATAAGTCTGCTTTTATATGTAATACCAGCATCCTGATTATTAGCATATGAATTCTTGATAGTTTGGTGTGGGAACACCAGACCTTGAGCAGAGACCCACTTCCCCTTCTGCCTGGGAGTAGGCAGCTGTAAGACAATGTTTAGTAAAAACATGTTTACTAAAAACGATACAATAAGTTCCTGGCCACTTCCCCTTCTGCCTGGGAGTAGGCAGCTGTAAGACAATGTTTAGTAAAAACATGTTTACTAAAAATGATACAATAAGTTCCTGGGAAAGGCCTTCCCACGGAAACCGCCCTGACCTCGACCTTGTCCAAAGACTAACTGCACCTTCAAAAACCCACACACATCCACCTCTGGGTCAGAGCAGAACCAGCCAGGGGAGAGGAGAGAGCAGAAGCTTCTCTGGTGGGAGCTTTTCTTAGGAAGTTTTCTTGAACCTTTTTGGAGCCTGTTTAAAGTTTTCTTTATATCATTGAACGAGTCTCTGTGTTGTCAATCCCCGACACCCTCCGCACGTTCTCGGACACAGGCCGCGCAGCAGACGTGACAGTTTGGTTATCCATTATGCTGTCATCTAAATGAAAATATCCTGTGATTTATTTTTTGACAAAACAATCAGCAAAAAATGGCAAAGTTAGAGGATACCCAGAATTCCATGTTAGTTAAGAAGCCAATTCATTTGAACACAGTAAGATTTAAAATTCAGGGTTTTGACATTACTTCACAGAAATGAAGGAAAATTTGTTTGGGGATAATGAACCTTTGACCAGCGTATAGCCTGCCTATTTGGTGGTCACTCCCCTGCACTTTTACTTTATATTGAAATCACACAACATATTGTTAGAGGACAAGACTTAGTGGACAGAAATTGACTTGAAGAAAGAAGGTGTAGTCCAAGATTTCTGATTTATGAGTCTATCATTTTTCTTAAAATATTCTTAATATGGATTGGGTCTATTAAAGAACATTAGGAAAAATGTGAAAACATGAAAACAAGTGATAATTATTCTGTGTAACAATAGCCATAACTAATACATTTTTAAAACAGAACACACTTTAAACAGATTGAAGAAAAGCATATGTAATATCAGTTGTCACCTTCTCTATGGAATAGAAGTAACTTATTTAAAAATATTTTAAATGTTCATGGGGGAAAGTGCCCAAGACTACTACTCTACAAGAGAACTCTGAAACTAAACACTGGGTTTCTTCTACTTTAAAAATTCTTTGTACCATGCTGTGTATTTTTAAAAATGAAATAAAAGAACAGTTGTCATAAAATAACTTACCTTTGGATAAATTCAGAATACATTAACTTTAAAAAAGTACAACTTCTAAGAGGCATCACGTGCTTAATTGGAGCCAGGTCGGAGAGGTAGTGCTGAGGTAAAATACAAAGCAGGGCAGCTATGGGAAACCCATGAACTGTAGAAACAAAAGCTAGAAGAATTGATTTACAAACTTGCCCCTGTAAAGAAATGGTAATAATTGAGATTGATTAAACTGATTTGAATATTATGGTACAGAGTTGAGAAACACCGACTTAATCATGATTATAATTAAAATTTTACTGAAGCTGCTTGCAGCGCAGCCTCCATTAGGCCAAATTGAGGAAGTGCTGTCCAGAAGGGGTGAGGGAAAGGGTTTTTAAAGATGAAGACCACAATTGTTTCTGTGGAATTTGTAGCTGTATGAGAAACTTTCATTCCCATTGGCTATGTCAAGATCTGCCTTATTCCCCTGTACACAGCAATAAGCACGATTACAGGAGCCAGAGCACATGGTTAATTATCTCACAGCACTTACTCTGTTCTGGAGAAGGGTGCACAGTGCTAGGAACTCATCTTTCAGGAATTTAGGCCAGAGGCCAAAGTTTACTAGGAGGACACCTGGTATAGAATGGAGTTTACTTATCACAATTATACAATGTGTATGGATATATATTTTATAAATGTCACAGGATACCCATTAGATACTTATAAATTATTTGTTGTTTCTAAAGAAATTACCTAGTTAATAAGCATGTTCACGCCGGGCGGTGGTGGCGCACGCCTTTAATCCCAGCTCTCGGGAGGCAGAGGCAGGCGGATCTCTGTGAGTTCAAGGCCGGGCTGGACCGACAGCCTCCAAAACAATACAGAGAAACCCTGTCTCATAAAAACAACAACAACAAAAAAAAGCATGTTCACACTTTTAAAATAAATGGCCCTAGCTAGGGAGACAGTTTAGCAGTTAAAGCTCCACACACAAGCAAGAGGACCAGAATTCAGATTCCCAGGATGTTTCCTGTAATTCCAGCTTTAGAAGACGCCCTGAGCAAACTGGCTACCTAAACTGTGTAATAGTGAGCTCTGAATTTGATTGAGAGACCTCGCCTCAGAAGATAAAGTGGAAGAACAACTGGACAAGATTCTTGGAGCTGGAGAGACGGTTAGGAGCACTTGTTACTCTTTCATAGAACCCAGGGTTCAGTTTTTGGCACCCATGTGGTGGTGGCTCGGCTCCCAACCATCTGTAACTCTAGGTGTAAATGCAGAGGATCCAACACCTTCATCTGGCGTCCAAGAGCACTACATACACATGGTGTACAGACATGTATTCAGGCAAAATACTTGTACTCATAGAATAAAAATGAAGACATCGTTTAAAAAACACAAGATGTATGCATACATAAACATGAACACATGTATACATACCACACATATATACACACATAAAAAATAAAAGCAAGTGGCCACATATCGTGTGTGTATGTGTGTGTGTGTGTGTGTGATATTTTGAGCTGTGCTCATGATCTCAAGAAAATGTCAGACTCCTGGATATTGAACAAAAGGTTTGCACAGAATCATTGCTAGTTTCTGTGTTGTAATAGCTGCTGTGAGGATGTGTTGTACAGTAATTGGTTTGACACTGTGCTGGCTGGTTTTATGTCAACTTGACACAAGACAGAGTCACTGGAGAGGAGGGAGCCTCAATCAGGAAAATGCCTCCATAAGATTGGGCTGTAGGCAACACTGTAGGCTATTTTCTTAATTAGTGATTGGTGTGGGGGTGCAGCCCATTGTGTTTAGGGCCACCTCTGGAAAGTGGTCCTGTGTCGTATAAGAAAGCAGGCTGGGGAAGCCATGAGAAGCAAGCCAGTAAGCAGGGTTCCTCTGGCCTCTGCATCAGCTGCTGACTCCAGGATCCTGCCCTGCTTGAGTTCCTGTCTTGACTTCTTTTGATGGTGAACTATGATGTGAAAGAATAGGTCAAATGAACCTTCCCTCTCCAACTTGCTTTTTGGTCATGGTATTTTGTCTAAGACAGACACCATAAGGATGAGCTAGACATGAAAGATAGGGGAAGGAAAAGGGCTATGGAAAAGTCACTGGCCTCCATACCACCACCACCACCACCACCACCACACACACACACACACACACACACACAAAATGCTACTTGTAGCAAAAAGAATATTATATATTAGAAAACACTTGAAAGTTTGTAATATATTTACCTTTTAAGTGCTGCTTCATAAGCATGAGGACTTGAATTCACATTCCTAGAATCCACATAAAAAGCCCCAGAGTGCCTATAAGACCAGGAGCTGGAGAGACAGAGGCAGGAAGATTCCTAGGGTTTGCTGGCTCAGTGAGTTTTAGATTCAGTGACTGCCTCACAAGATAAGTTGGAGAATATTGTGATTTGAATAAAAATGCTGCCTCCCATAGATAAATAGGGAGTGGCACTATTAGGAGGAATGGCATTGTTGAGATAGGTATAGCTTTGTTAGAGTGAGTCATTAAGAGATGGGCTTTGAGATCTTAGAAGCTCAAGCCAGACCTAATGGTTCACAGTCTCTTCCTGCTGTCTGTGGACCCAGATATAGAACGCTCAGCTACTTCTCCAACACCATGTCTGCCTTCGTGCCACCATGACAGTAACGGACTAAACCTCTGAACTGTATGCCAGCCCCAGTTAAATGTTAGTCTGGCTGCATACTAACCGCACCTGCATGTAGGTATGGGTACATGCATGAGTGTGCATGCGGTTGTGGAGGCCAGGGGTCAGTCAGCATCTGGTGTCTTCCTCACTAGCTAGGGTTTTATTGCTATGAACAGGGAGGCCAGTCTGAGGCAGCCTGGATAAGATGAGCACTGGGTGTGCTGGATGTGTGGTGACCCACAGCTGTGCTCCAGGTCTCTGTTTTTAGGACCTGGCCCTTTATTCTTCCAGTTCTAGTGCTGAGCGATGACCACAGGAACTACTAATCTTTCCACCCTTCCTGAGTAGAGTGTCCTCCTTGTTTAAGCGAGCCAGAATCAGCTCTCTCTGGTAAGCACACCCTAGAGTACCCATAGAGCACCTGGCAGGGGCTGGGGGAGATGGGGATGGATGGGGGGAGGATACAGAGCAACATCAGTTAGGAGACTACCCATAGAGAGAAGCGCAACCCTGCCTGGGCAGGAGCTCCACAGCCTGTGGAAGAGTGCCACGCAAGCTGAGGAGTGCCACCAAGCCGCAGAGGACTTGGCAGGAGTGCAGCTTGGTATGGATGGAGTTACGGTGTTACAGAAGGCACACAGCAGACAAAGGCAGACAGTTGACAAGCCTGATAATTCCTGGGCTGGAGCGCAACCCCGTCGTCCCAGCCCCTTGAACTGAGGCCCCGCCTTACTGCCAGCCGATTGGCCTAACCAGCACCACCTTGAGTCACTAGCCTCCAGGAGCAGCCTGGCCACGCCCACCTGTTGTGTCGCCCCCCCACACTTTAATCTCAGGATTGTTGCGTCTGTTCACTTAGCTCAAAAGCTGCTCTCTGGCGGCCTGGCGCTCAGTTTTCCCTTCATTCTGGTAACATGCGGGCGGCGCCTTTCGCGCCGGACGCAAAGCCTCCCCGCCGCAGGAGGAAGACCTATGCTTTCTGGTGGTGGTTCCTGGGCATCTGCGCAGAGGCCCTGCTGTTCCTGCTGTCTACTTTATCAGGTAGGATCCAGGAGAGAGTCTGTGTCTTGGAGATGCTGGTACCCGGCCTGCAGGTCGGTGGATAGCGAAGAGCTCATGAGGTTGGGACGGGCACGTTTGTGGTGGAGGACCTGGTAGAATTCTCCTGGGGGTATGCAAACGTGTGATGTGGAGACCATGCAGTCCCCATCCCCAAGTGCAGACTTGTTTAGGGGGCAGCGCTTAAGGGGTAGGCGGCCTGAGTGGAGAGAAGAATGGATGCTCACCCAGAGCTTGGCTGTGGCAGTAGCAGTTTGTGCTGTTTTTGGAATTTAGGGTAGGCCTGGTTTTTGACCCTGGGGTTGCATTGCTTGCCCTGTGGGTAAGCAACTCTCTAGGTTTAGAGGGGAGGGAAAGACACACCTAGCCTGTTTTATCTTGAGTCAGGTTTCCTTGATGGGCTTCGTTTACAAGTGGTTGTTTTGTTTGACTTTACACTTTTTATTAGTTTTTTTCACATAGAACATGTTTGATCATATTCCTCACACCCCTCCTCCTTTTGAATTGGAGTTATCCTAGACAATATAGACAGTGTCTGATGATATTACCAAATGGCTTTGAGACATTGTTTATCTTCCTTTAAAGACAAAAATCATACTAGATTCCTAAGACAAGAAGTATAAGTCACACTCTGGTTTTCACCTCAGCTCATGAACTAAACCTCAAGGTTTCTCCCATCACCTTTTGGTGGTGTTTCAGTAGATGGAATAAATACTATACATGCTTACTGTATAAAATTTACACAAAGAACAATGTTTTTGTTTCCTTCTGTTTTTCAACCCACTGTGTCTGTGTCCCTGGTACGTACTGTTGTAAAATATTATTTTAACTAAGACATGATGTATTTGTTTATGCTGTGGAGTATTACTTTAACTGTGTAAAGGTGTGTTACATTTGTTTATGCTGCATTTGTTTAATTATGTAAAGATGTGTTGCATTTGTTTCACTTTGCCTCCTAAGGCACCTGATTGGTCTAATAAAGAGCCAAATGGCCAATAGCTAGGCAGAGAAAGGATAGGTGGGGCTAGCAGGGAGAAAGAATAAATAGGGGAACCACCAGGACAACAAGGAGAGGAGCAAAGGAGGGACATGGACAGGGCAAGAAGCCAGAAAGCCACCAGCCAGCAGACATAAGTGTGAAAGTAAGGTATACAGAAAGAAAGAAAAGTAAAAGCCCTGAGGCAAAAGACAAATAAAGAGAAACAGGTTAATTTAAGTTTTTTTAAAGCTAGCTATTAAAAATGTGCCTAAGCTAGGCCAAGCATTCAAAACTAAGTTTCCATGTTATGATTTGGGAGCCAGTTGGTGGCCCAAAAGAAAAATCCTGGTTACACATACATAGTCCTGTACATAAAGTCTGTATGCATTTTTATATCTCTCATTAGTAGCATCCACTTCAGCAACATTTCCCTTCAGTGGTCCAGACTCTTCTGGTCTCAGGATGGATATGCTGGGATACAGTCTTGTTTTTGTGATCTTCCACTGGTTGTCCACACACAAATAGTTGTATGTACTTTATTATTCTGATAGATCCCTAGTGAAAGATACATAGTAGATGATCTATAAACATTTGATAATATTTATTAGGAGTGGCAACTATTAACCAAAGCTTAACACCAACAAATAGAACCATGTTTGGAGAGCAAAGCTGCAATGCTATACTTTAAACCACTGGCTTGTTAAGGCTTTCCCCATACATGGAACCTTCCCCTGACATTACACATTTGACTGTCTTCTCTTCAAATGTCACTGGAGAGTCACCTCTCAGGAAGACCTCTTCTGACTAGCCTCAGTAGACATATCCCAGTTTACACCCCCAACACACTTCAAGCTAAATGTTTAAGGAAACAAGATAGATGAAAACAGATAAATAAAATAAATAGGGTGTAGCATAAATGGAGGGAAAATTAAGAGGAAAAACAAGATAAAATCTGAAAACTAAAAGATAGATACGAAACCTGGAAAACGTAAAAGGAAAACTCATTGTGCTAGGCAGGGAGAATTCATGAATAGAATAGGGGTCTCACTTTTGGAAGAACTCAACTTGTGAGGAAAGGGATTTATAAGTGCCCGGCATCAAAAGCCTGTCATTGGAATTGCAGAAGAGAATCTGTTAGATTTTTTTAGGTTCTTCTCCTTCCTTCAGAAGAGCAGATTCTTCTTTGAACAAAGCTGCAGCCTCTAGTCATGTCTGCTCTCATATATCTATTTTAGATCTTTCTAAGACCAGTAAATGCTTACACTCTAGTATCTCAGTCCTTACTCTGTGTGCTACAATGTAAGGGAATAGTCTTTATGTGGCCAGCTGCTGAGTTATAAAATACTAGTAGACAGAAAAAAATGGCTTTCATTTCTCCAATGAGCAAATCTTTAAAACAACTATTTTCATTATTAAAATCATGACAATATAATCCTTGCAAGTGTTTTCTTGTACTCTTACGCCACTGTGAGTAGCTGATGCTGGTTATTGCAGCCACATTGATGACTAGATTTCATCTTAGCTATTGAACACAGCCATTATGTGACCTATGTAAGATACCCTGATAGGGGACAGCCCAAAGGAAAGGAACAGAGTACTGTTTCCAGAGTTGAGGCACAAGATGTTACTTCCAGGTGTCTAGAAAGAGAGAACTGATCAGTCTACATGGTCAGGAACTGGGCTATGGAGCAATGCATGCAAAGTCACCCCAAGGTGGGACACAGCTGACCGGCAACTACTTAGTTTGATACAAAAGAGACAAGAGGACTGCAGAGTGCTAAAGAATCATGAGAAGCAAGGGGGCTAGTTTGGAACAATTCGGGCTGTGATGTTTTTACCTGATGTGTGGAATGTCTTTGATTCCTTACTTAGTACAACTTGAGTCTAAATTAGAGCTGCAGGGATGTCCCCCAAGCAATATATAAGGCAATTTTTAAGGACTAAACACAGGATAGGATGGCATCTGCCTTAGGGAGTTCCAGATGAGGACAAGGGTCACAGCTTTGGCAGTGTGGCCTGCCCATAATGAGTATGAAGATAAGTTAAAGGACACCATATGCTTAGCCCAGAGTGCTGTTTGCCATTTCTAATTTTTTAAAGAATTCTCATCACTATTGTTAAAAGTTCTGATATGTTATTACCGTACTTCCAGGAAAATACAGCCTGGTAATTAATTTTCTAATTATAGCAGTAGTGCATAATGAGTCCATAATAAACCAGTAAAGTGTAAATATTTTGACATGAAATAAACGTTAACACAGAGAAATGTTTATAGCTAAACTAGAAAAAAACTGTTTTTAAGACTGGCTAAAAAACAGCAAAGAAAACATGATTTTCAGATTTCATCAAAGCAAATTCTCTGAATAGTAAAGAATTTGAATTTTGATTTAAAGAGGGTAAAGAATCAATCACAGCACTCATTCAACTTTGGTACTGGGTACTAGAGAAGTAATAATGAATGAGACATAGTCCTTAAGAACAGGGTGTTCTCATATATCTCTTTTTTTAAAAACCAAGACCATTTTTCATGTCTCCTTGTTTTACTTTTAAATGAAAGTTCAATTCATTCTGAAATAACCCAAAAGCTGAATTTATTTTAGGACAGTCAGGGATATTCTTGCATTGCGGCCACTGCTTGAATATGAAAGGGCATGTACTAATAATTTATAATCTTGCTAGAAACATTTCTTTTTTCCTGTCCTTCCTGCCACAAAATAACATTCTCAGTTGATAAAAGTGGTACTCACACTTCATCTTCATGCTCTTGCCTTCTTATCCCTAGATGCCTGTGAACTACCACCACCATTTGAAGCTATGGAACTCAAGGGTGTACCTAAACCCTATTATGAGGTTGGAGAGACAATACAATATCAATGTAAAAAAGGATACCTATATATGCTTCCATTCTCCATGTTTGCTACCTGTGAACCAAATCATACATGGGTCCCTATTTCAGATGATGGTTGTGTTAGTAAGTAAACTAAACTTTTTTTTTTGCTTGATTTTCAGACTTTTTAGGACAGGGTGCATCTACCCCTATTGCAGTGATGCTTTTCCTATGTGAACCAAAGCTTTGATTTAAATGTGAGGGTTTTTTTTCAGACTTTGAGAAATTTATAGGGAATCTTTTTTTTCTTAAAAATTTAGTTGATTTCATAATTGTTAATCTTGTACTTGTCCTTTGTATTAGGTACTTTTCTGATATTGTGATAAAACACTATGATCAGGACAACTTATAAAAGAAAGGGTTTAATTGGCCTTATGGTCTTCAGGGGGTTCGAGTCCATGATGGTGGGTCAAATGAATGGTGGCAGGAACAGCTGAGAGCTCACATCTCAGAACGGCAAGTAGGATCAGAGAGTATACCGAGAATGGTGCAAGTCTTTTGAAATCTCAAGGCATGCCCCCACCCCAGTGACATCTTTTCTCCAGCAAGGCTACACTTCCTAATCTTCCACAAACAGCCACCAACTGGGGACCCAACTTTCAAATGCCCTTATGGAGGACATCTTGTTCAAATCACTATACCCTTATCATGTAACAATTAAGGAAAATAATCCACAGCCTCAAAAGAACCATGTATGACTTTTTTTAAAACTTTGATTTAAGGGCAGCTGGCTTTGGAGTTGAATTAAAATTTTTTGTTGTTATTTTCTTGTAGAAATAGAATGTACTAAATTACAGAGCCCTTCATCTGGCAATGTACACTACATTGATGGCAGAGTTTCATGGGGTAGTCGAGCTCAATTTTCTTGTGTGGAGGGGTAAGTTGCTCCTTATGGGAAATAAGGTAAATGTCCCTGATCCCATTGTTATGCTTCTCTTTTTTAAGTATTCAAGTAAATTTGCTTTAATTTTTCTTACTATATGAAAAGTTGTACTCCTAGGCAAACAATATTTGGGTACTGTGTGGAGATAGGAGAGATGCTTAATCAATAATGAAATTGAGGGAAAACAAATCTATACTACACTTGTTGTATCTAATAGTAAGTCTATGAAAACCATTAAGAATGGAGTAATTTGCCAAGGGTGGTGGTTCATCTTGTGATTTCAGCACCCAGGATGATGAGGCACGTGGCTCTCCATGAGTTTGAGGGCAGTCTGACTACACAGTGAGTTCCAGGCTAGTATGAGCTACATATCAAAGGGGATATGTAATCATGGTATCCTTACCATTCATGGTCAAGTTACCTACTGCCAACTCAGGGTTAAAGTGGGGTTCTTGTGAAATTGAGGTAGAACTAACTGCTAACCAAAGGAGAATTCTGGAAGGCATTAACAAGTCAGAGTGTAACCTAACTCATCCTTACCACCATGTGATGGGATATTTCAGTTGGAAAACATTATTTTTCAGACTTCTACATAGCCTGAAGTGTCTCCAAAGGAGGCATTAGCCACTAAGTAAATCTTTATTCTCTAGAGCTCTCTTAGAAGTAACTGTGACTTTTGGGGAAAGTTGGTTGTGACTGTCATTAGAAAGTTTCATTGATAATTTTGGTTTTGTTCTTCGAGACAAGGTTTCTCTGTTTAACAGCCCTGTCTGTTCTGGAACATGTTTTGTAGGCCAGGCTGCCCTCGAACTCACAGAGATCTGCCTGCTGGAACTAAAGGTGTGCACCACCATGTCTGGTAATACTTTTTTTTAACTTTTATCAAGTGAAACTACATTCAGGTAAAGCTATGTGGAGAAAATTTTCTAGGTACTTTGAGGGAACCAAAAGTTTAGGCCATAAATCTTTCTCAAAGACTAATCTTGTTGAGAAACCCAGTAGATACAGAAATTATCAGAGCAAAATAACAAAGAATACCAGATAAGAATACTTCATGATTATGGCATGAGAGTCCAGAATAACAATATGTGAATTTAAATAATGGGGAGACTTGATCTGATTAATCATGAGCTGGTCCTAGAAAGGCATTATAATCATAATATTAGAAAGAGATAACATATTCTTTAGTTAGATCTGTTTAATACTTTCATGATATTTAAGAAACCTATCCTTCAAACTACTGTAGCATAGGAAAAAATATCTAAAACTGTCCTGCATTATTGTGTGTGTCTTACCAGCTGCCAAAGAAAATTGTAACTTTTTCTTTGCTTATTTAGTTATTACTTAGTTGGTATGTCACTTCTACACTGTGTGCTTAAAGATGATGATGCATACTGGAATGGTCCTGCCCCACACTGTGAAAGTAAGTAAATTCTCTTTTTAAAATTTAGACTATCAATTCTCAACCATTTTGGTCTCAGGACCATAGAGATTAATAAATACCCCCAAGAAACTTTTCTCCATGGTTATATCTATTGATGTTATCATGTTGGGTTTAGAATGGAGATATTTTTTTTCCCGAGCCCCCCAGAATGGAGATATTTTTAAATAATTATTTTTAAGTACAATAAACTATTAATATATCCCACATGTTTTTATTTTAGATTTGAAAAGTAAGAATAGGGACACTGCTTTATGTTTTTGCGGATCTCTTCAATATTTGACTTGAAGTCAGTTATTAAAGTTGGTCACTTCTGCAAAAACATTGTACTATAAAGATGAAAATAATAAAGGATAGTATGCTAGTATGATTCTAAGCCATCATCCTATTGAATGAATGCACCTGTACCTTAAAACACATTTCTCAATCAGTATTCAGCTTGATTTTTTTCTCATCACAAGCATTTTTTTCACCAGATATCAGTATTTTTATTGACTAGGACACTTAGCATGACCTCACAAATGAAGTCATTCTTCCCCTTAGGAAAATGAGTGTAGTCCTGAAAGGTCATTTCTGTGTTAGTAATTTAAATTTGAGTGATGGATTTTCTCATAGAAACCCTCTTCTAGATGAAAACTGGGGTCATAAATAATTTATAGAAGTCCTGCATTGATGAATTTGTTGACAATAATTTATAGAGCTTCCTAACACTGCCTTGCTTTCAACTTATTTTCTTTTTTCCTTTTTATAAAGAGATCTCTTGCTTACCACCTCCAAAAATAAAAAATGGAACACACACCTTTAGTGATATAGATGTATTCAAATACCGTGAAGCAGTAATTTACAGTTGTGATCCTACCTCAGGACCAGACAAGTTTTCCCTTATTGGAATAAGTGTGCTGTTCTGTTCTGGCCACAACACCTGGAGTAGCAAGCCTCCGGAGTGTAGAGGTAATCATCCTTCCTTCATTTGCAAATAGTTTTACCTAAAAGTAAACAAAGTGAGCATATGTATTTCATCTTCTTATATACTAATTTAATTTCATAGCTGTTAAGTTAAATAAAAAAATAATTCTAGTTATTGAGTTCCCTTCTCATTTTCTAGAATGTGAGCCTATAGCCATGAGATAGGATAAATACTGACCAAAAATGATCAAAATTGGATTCAAAACAAAAACCTCTGATCTAGGAAACTCAGTGAAAACACACCACACAGACACACACACACACACACACACACACACACACACACACGGGAGTGGGGTGAGCGTGAGGGGGAACCATTTCAAAGTTTTAGTAGTTTGCTTCACCTACTAAAAACAATTAAAAGTATTCAGTCAAAGAAACAACCACAAAAGCAGTTAACATTCAGAAGGGGTAACAGTTGACTTCTCTTCATTGTGGCTAGGAAACAATGGTGTCTATTAGGTACTAAAAGAAAAATGTAATAATTAACCTGTAGGGTTTTTTTTTAATCAAGAAAAAAAAACTTCATGACAGAAGTTTAAAAAAAAATAAGTGAACTATTTCCAGAACTTTACTAGCCAACCTACAAGAATTGCTAAAAGGGAGCTTGAGTGATAACTCAGTAGTTAAGAGTACTGGCTGCTCTTCCAAAGGGCCCAGGTTCAATTCCCAGCACTCACGTGTCTGTAATTCCAGTTCCAGAGTGTCTGGCATCCTCATGCAGGCAAAACCCCAATGTACATAAAAAAAATAAAGAAATCTTAAGAAAAGGAAAAGAATTGCTAAAGGAAGTCCTGGTCTGGAAGGAAATGGTACCAAACGGGAAAGGAAGAGCACTCAAGCTTAACAAGCTAGTGTGATCTGGTCTTAGCTGTTTTGCAGACTTCCCTTCACCATAAAGGATGCCATAACCATAGTGCCTAGCCATTTCAGTCCCTCTCCCACAATTCTCCTAGTAGACTATGAGTCAATCTAATAGGCTGAGTTATTTTACTTAACGACTGGGGAAGAATGGAAAAATACTCTGTGTACTGGCGTAGGTTGAGTATTAATATGAACTTTCGAGAGATCTGTGTTCTCATATTTGGAACACAAAATATATTTCTGTAACTCTGGGTTGCAGTTTTAAAGTTTCAGAAAATTGATATGAAAGATAAGCCAGATTTTTATTAAATTCTGGACAATTTTCTTCTTTCCAGTGGTAAAATGTCCATTTCCATTACTACAAAATGGAAGACAGATAGCAGGATTTGAAAAAAGATTTTCCTATCAAGCAACAGTGACGTTTGAGTGTGATGAGGATTTTTACATGAAGGGCAGTGATACAGTGGTCTGCAGTGCCAGTAGCACTTGGGAGCCTCCAATCCCAATATGTCTCAAAGGTATAAAAGATGTCTTATTTCCCTTCTTTATTTTTCTGGTAGTTTTTGTTTGCTTGTTTTGAAATTTACTTATTTGATGTTAAATATTATGATACCCAAAAAGCAGTAATTTTGATACATATCTCATATGTGCCATACATATGAAAAAAATTTGCTGTTGTGATTTTTGTTGTTTTTCTGGAGATTTTAGCTTGTTCAATAGATCATAAAAGTATTCTCCTAAGAATATTTTTGTATAAAAAAGGGGATTGCAACATTTTTTTCAGAGTAAATTGAAGCCTATTATTGCTATATAACTAAGTCAAGAATGAAAAACATGGCTTGTGGTAGCGAAAGGTTGGTCTAAATTACATTACTTTGTTTTCTGATGTTGCCTACTCAGTATAAAAATTTCGAACTTTTGAGTTATTCAGGTTTGGTAAAGTTCTGCTTGCATTTCTCTAACATTTTTAAATGCCTAGTGCTGACCCAATTGACATTGTTATCTTTTTTGTAGTGTCAACTCCCAGTTCAAAATCTCTAATTTTCACTCTCATGTTTAGTAATTTCCTTCATATATATATATTGGTTTTTACGAGACAGGGTTTCTCTGTATTGTTTTGGAGGCTGTCGGTCCAGCCCTGCCTTGAACTCACAGAGATCCGCCTGCCTCTGCCTCCCGAGTGCTGGGATTAAAGGCGTGCGCCACCTCCACCCGGCCTTATATAATTTTTAAAACCTAAATTCCTAGGATTTTTTTCAGATACCCTTTAAACTCCTGCGGTGGCTATTTACTCATCATTTTTAGTACATTTAGTAGAAGAGAAAGAATGAATATATTTGCAACCATTTCTTTTGTCAGATTTTATTTGCTATACATGAATAGGAATGTGAACTTAGAAAAGTTATGCCAATTTTAAATGTGTATTTCCATGTGCAAAATGATCTAATACCTTTTTTTATTGTGTTCAAGACTTAAGTGGGATGCTTTTAAAGGACTTAGCACAATACCTGGTATGTAGGATGCTCTTAAAGCTTGCTGTATGCCTTTTTTTTACGTGAATCAATCCCAGTGAAAAGGAAGGTCCTTTTCTGTTTCTTTCTTTAATAATTTATTTATTTTGATTTCATGTGCATTCATGTATGTCTGTCTAAAAGTATCAGATCACCTGAAACTGGAGTTACAGACAGTTGTGAGCTGCCATGTGGGTGCTGGGAATTGAACCCTGGTCCTCTGGAAGAGCAGCCAATGCTCTTAACCACTGAACCATTTCTCCAGCCCCCCTTTTCTGTTTCTTGATGTGTGTTTTCTGTATTCAGCTTTGCTACTTCATTCTTTCTCCCATCCCCCAAGTGATTTGCTTACACTTTTGCTCCTTACCATGTTAGACTCTGGTAATGTTTCCTTTCCTGAACTGTGGACAGTTTGGGGGTGAAAGTCTTGTTAATCATTTTGTTTTGGGTCTTGTATATACCCAAGCTGGCCTCAAGGTCACAATACTCCTACTCTGTCTTTTCAGTGCTGGAATTAGAGGCATGCACCATGCCCAGCTTTTCAGCTTTTTGTTTTTTCTTTTTAAATTAGTGCTTATAAACACATTTGTACTGCCTCCAGACTGAGCCCTGTATTTTCCATTTCCTCCTCACTCCTCTAACCTACATAATTTTTTTGTTTGTTATTTTTGTCTTTACCAGGCAGCATTGACAACAGAAACTAGATTTCTTAAAAACTGAGAGCTAGGAAGCCTCTGCTACTGAAATGAAATAGAAGGTTTTTGTGGAGACTCCTAATCAGCTGCTGTAAGCATGGAGAAGTTGCTATGATGGGAGCAACCATCATTCCCACTTCAATGCTCCTTGCTGTGGTTCCATTTGATTCACCAGAACCCACGCAGGGTGGTGGAAAGACCATCAGACAGGACTGAATGTGCACAGGATCCTAACTTGATTCTGCCTGACTAAACTGACTTCATTTAATGAAATTTGGATTTCTGTTGCTTTAACAAGGATATTGGACTCAAGTAAATCTCAGCTGTTGGTTCTAACTTGTTTAAAATATTTCAAATCTCCTTAATATTTTAAAGGATGGGGAGATTTGAGAATTGTACATGCTCACTTGCTCACCCAGTAATTAGAATGCCTTTTTTCCTTTTTATTCTTTCTTCTTTTCTTTCTTTGTCTCTTTTTCTTTTCTTTTCTTTTTTTTTTTTTTTTTTTTTTTTTTTTTGAGACAAGATTTTCATTATGCACTAGAATAAGCTGTGTAACCAGGTTGGCCTGGAACTCGCAAAGATTTTCCTGCCTCTCAAGTACCAACATGCCCAACTTATGGAATACATTTTGATAATTTCTACAAGAGCCTGAGTTGAGTTTCTGTTGAAAGGAATTTTTAAAGAGTTGACAGTAAGCACTTGACAAAATGTTTATAAAACACTAGCTTCCAATTTGAAAGACAAGATATGTGAGAAAAGTCTCATAAAAAGTGAAACTAAGAAGAATCCTTCTGCAAAAAAAAAAATATCTTGGTCGAATGGTCAGTCACTTTTTATTGTCCATTAGGGAAAGGCATGCACTGGAAAGCGGGGGCGGCATCAGCCTGTACTGGTGGTGTGGTGGGTTTGATGGCATGTGAAAAGTGGAGGGATTACGATGTCCCTTGTATGGTATCTGACTTGTTAGGATCCCATATGTCACCTTGAACACATTCCCTTTATGATTCATTTTTAGTTACCTTCTAGGATTTGTATTTGTAAAGTACAGAGCTGGAATGAACATTTTTATACAGGGGTCTCTACTATTATATATGTAGAATGATCATATTTATAGACTAAATTCCTAGTAGAACTATAAAGTACAGGCAGTGTATGTATTTTTTAATGTTAATAGGTAATCTTTTTAAAAATTTTCAATATTAGAATTAAATCCATAATTTTATATTAATAAGTTTAATGAATTGATAGACTTAATTTATTTTTCTAGGTCCTAGGCCTACTCATCCCACCAAGCCTCCAGTTTACAATTACCCAGGTTTGATAATTCTTTATCCTATTGATATAGTTAAGAGTTCCATGAGAGACAGATGAAAAATGGTGTCTTGTTTTGTCATTTCTTCATGTTTTAATAAGGCTGAACTTTTTTGTTGTTTTTTTTTTTCTCTGTGGCTTTGGAGGCTGTCCTGGAACTAGCTCTTGTAGACCAGACTGGTCTCAAACTCACAGAGATCCACCTGCCTCTGCCTCCCAAGTGCTGGGATTAAAGGTGTGTGCCACCACCACCTGGCAAGGCTGAACTTTTTAAAATTACATTTTAAAGCATCTTTTGAGACGGGGTTGTCACTATGATGCTCAGGCTTTCTTCAAATCCTCATCTTAAATGCTCTTGCCACGGGGTTCAATGGTCATTTATTCATATCCTCTTCCCATTTTTAAAAATAGTTTATTGACTTATATACTGCTGGATATATATTTATTTTTACAGATTTAAATTATATAAATAATGTTGCCAAAGTTAATTGCTACTAATTTTTTTAGGATTGTTTTTATTTACTTTTGTACATCAACATTTCCTTAATTTTCCTTTTCTTTTTTCCTCTTTATTTATGGTGTGTGTGTGTGTGTGTGTGTGTGTGTGTGTGTGTGTGTGTGTTTGTTGGCATATATGTGGATGCATGTGTGTAGTATATGCTTGTGCTTGTGGAAATCTGTAGTTAATGTTGGGAATTATCCCTCTTCCACCTTATTCCCTGTGGCGGGATGTCTCCATCAAATCCAGAGTTCACAGATATAGTCTTTCTAGTCTCTAAAAATACTATCTCCACCTTCCAAAACTAGAAATACAGCTAGATTGCCTATATTTATGGAGGTGTCTGGGAATCCAGACTCAGATGATCACTCTTATGTGGCAAGCGCTTGATCTCTAAGCTACCTTCTCCACCTACATTTTCTTTTTTTAAAAAAATCATATCAAACTGCACATATTTCTCATTGACTTGTCCTTTCACTTAATGTCTTTGATTGGCATTTTAGTTAGATTCATTCCCATAATAATTGCATAGTATATACCCTACTTTACTAATCTCCTGGTGGTCATGTGTGTCCAGAAGTTTTACATAAATGGGTGATTATATAAATTAATTATTCCACTAATGACTACGAGTTGTATGTCATATAAAAAGCTTTTGGTGAGAACGGGGACGGAGAGATAATTTAGTAGCTAAGAGCAAGTCCTGCTCTTGTTCAGTACCCCCGTTTGATTATCAGCATCCAGGTGGAGTGGCTCACAACCAACTGTAACTATGACTTCAGAGGATCTGATACTCTTCCTGCCTCAAGTACCTGCATGCGCATGGCGCGCGCGCACACACGTGCGCGCGCGCACACACACACACACACACACACACACACACACACACACACACACACACACACGAAGAGACACATGAATTGAAAAACAATAAACATAAATCTTGTGTTCCCCTGGTGGGAATTACAGAACTCCACACATGTGTCCGAGTCCTTTGTACCAAATTGTTGGTACATTTGAAACACATGATGTGGGAAAGGGTAACAAGTTCCTCTTTCCCTCGTCCCCACTTAGCATCTAAAAAGGGGCTGATGGATAAGTGAAACTATAAGCAGAGGTTTGTCATCTGGGAAGAAGACTGCTTGCCCAAGTTTCCTTTTTAAAGTATTCAGTGTTCTTTGTGTGTTGATTTTGTATCCCGCAACTCTGCTGAACTCATTAATTAGTTCTAGTTAGGGTTTTGTGGAACACTGTTTACATAAAAGGGCATTTCATCTTGTGGCTGAGGCTATAGCAAAGTGGTAGTAGAATGATAGCCTCTCATGTTTAGGCCTGGGTTCAACCCCCAACAGTACAAGAAAACAAAGATAACTCCATTTTCAAACATACATTTTTATGTCTTCCTTTCTAACTTGTATTCATTTTCTTTGTTTTTCTTACCTAATTGCTTTGGTTAGATTCCAATACCATGTTGACTATAAGTGGCAAACCTGAGTACCCAATCTTGTTCCTGGTTTTAGAAGGAAAGTTTGCGGTCTTTCATTACTGATAATAACAACTGTGGGTTATTTTCATATGGGATTTATTTTGCTGAGAAAGTTTCCTTCCATTCCAGGTTGACAGCTGAAGTATTTATTGAGCCAGTTCAGTATGTTTAATTTTAATTAGAATCTCATGAAATTTACAGACTAATTTTGGAACTATACTAAGGACATTTGTATATTACTTTTTAAAAGTAGTGTCATAAAATATTAGTTTCATGTGTTCACCATTAGCTTTCTTCCTGTCTATTAATATTCCCTCTAGTAATATACATGGGTGAAAAATAAAGTTGAGAATGTAAAGGATTCTGGTTTTTATTTATTTTATTTCTCTGTTTCTCTTTTTACTTAACCCATTTTTCTTTCCTTTTTTTCCCCTAGGATATCCTAATTCCCGTGAAGGAATATTTGGCCAAGAATTAGGTTATTATTTCAGTTATTTATACCCCTGAAGTATGAGACCTTAACACTTTACATGGAAATATACATTTCCGTTACTGGTAGTTAAGAAGAAGCATTATCTTGTCAGTAGTAATAGTTAGCATTTAGGAGTACTTAACTTTGGGCTGACACCATGACAAATGTAAGTACTACTATATAGGATGATATGTAGGTAAGTACAGTTTTATAGAAGGGTCTGAATATAGCAAAGCTAGTTGGCTGAGGTTAAAGTACATAAATCACAACTTGCCTTCCATGTGATTCTCTTCCTATTTATGTCTGACCTGCACAGACCTTAAAGTGCTATAAGCTGGGTTAGCTTTTTTTTATGTGAAAGATTTGCTTAGCACAATTTATGTAGGCCCCAATTTATACAATGTACATTAAACTAAGTCAAGTATAGTTACAACAGTTAAAATTCAGTGAAATTTAAAGACATAATGAGCAAGACAAAAATGTGCTGTTTTATTTATTAGACTAGATTAGTGATGTTTTTTTAAATCATGTTTTATTTTTTTATACATTTGTGTCTCTATATACATGGGAGATTGGGTCCAATAAACCCATGGTAAATTGAAAATATTCTGAGCGTATTTACTTAAAGATTATCAGAGGTGGTCACATGGTCAAAGTTTGAATTTTGCTCATGTGATCCTGGTTCTGTGGCTTTCCATTGCTGCCCAAGATATATGATAAAGTCCCATGTCATATTGCTAACCCAGGCAAAGGTCCAAAACCAAAGTTCAGCACTGGTTTCTGTTGAACATACATGAGTGTTTTAACCAATGTAAAATAAAAATCATTCAGTCAAGCCATCACAGTTTCTGAACTGTCTATATATGCTTTAACTTCGAATTCTGTGGTTATTGTGCCACTGTGCCAATAAGTCCAGTGCCATCTTAAATCGCTGAACATGTGACAAGTGTGCATGAAATGAGAAGAGCCAAATTAACACTAACACCTTATGCTGACTGACAGCAACTTAATAAGTATGAAACTTTAGAAAGAAGCAAATACATTATTAGACATAAATACTTCTAAAATTTAAGAATGTTCTCTGTAGACCTAGTTAGCATTAACTATTAATTTGATACATCCTAGAGTCACCTAAGAAGGCAGTGTCAATTTAGGGATTGCCCAGATCAGATTGGACTGTAAGCATGGGGAAAGGGGATTTTCTTGATTGTTGACTTATGTAGGAGAGCTTAGCCCACTGTGGATAAGTAGTTCTGAGATGTATAGGTAGCTAAGCATGAACCTGCTATCAATCTAGCAATAGCCTTCCTTCATGGTTTCTCTTGTATTCCTTTAGTGGTGAGTGATTTCCCTGGTTAAAGGTGATGCTGAATGGAATAGGTGGCAGGCCTGTCTTCAAGTTCTGCCTTGAGTTCCTGCCCTGACTTACCTCAGTGAATTATAAGCCATACAAAGTATTTCCTTCCCTATATTGCTTTTGGCCAGAGTTTTATCTCATCAATAGAAAGAAAACCAGAACACCCAGTTAGTCAACTATGCTTGTTTAAAGTTCTCTGCATAAGTCATCAGTGTATTTCTTAAGCATATCACATAAGTGTTCTGTTACAAAACTGTATCTCCCTCCTCTTACACTTTGAGAAGGAAAGGTCTTTGGTATTTAATATTATGTCTTTGTTAGTGGGGTGGTTGTGAGGGCATAAGGAAGACAGGAAGGGCCCTGATAAGGTACAATATTTGTAAGAACTACAAATATATTTGTTTAATTAAGTTGTTGAAAGTTATTATGACATTCTACATATGTACTTTTTGGGGAAATGGATTTCTTTTAAAAATTATAACAAACTGTAGAATGCATACTGAACTAAACCAAATATAAGAAGATAGTATATTGTGTAATGATTTTCATCTACTCAGTGAATTCTAATTATTCTATAATAATCTTTACCAAATAACCTGATGGGGTAAGAAAAACAAAAACCCTGAAAATCGAAGTTCACAACTTGGACCCCAAATCTGGAAACGGGCTTACAAGTGTTCTTTGATAAAAATGACTTGGGTATATTAATTATTGTGTTCAAACTAGATAAATGAACTTTTATTATTCTCTTAAGTGTGGATTAGCTGACTTAATCTAGAGAATTCTAAATGCTTGGCTTCTTTTTTTCTTAGACGCATGGATTATTGCTCTGATTGTTATTACTTCAAGTAAGTATCCTAAATTTTTCACTGCTTAAATCCAATTGTTACTGTAAAGCAGTACATTTTTAAAAGTTTTTAAGTTTGAGATAAACAAACTGGTCTTTAGAAAAACCTGGTGTTTTATATATTACCCCTTGTTAACTTATATTATTTCATATTCTATATGTCTATTTAGAAGTAGCCTGTAATAATGCATGCTTTCTTTCTTTTTTTCTTTTTTCTTTTTTTTTTTTTTTTTGGTTTTACGAGACAGGGTTTCTCTGTATTGTTTTGGAGGCTGTCGGTCCAGCCTGGCCTCGAACTCACAGAGATCCACCTGCCTCTGCCTCCCGAGTGCTGGGATTAAAGGCGTGCGCCACCACCGCCCGGCCAATGCATGCTTTCTTAAGATGATGTACTATGAATGTTCATCCTAAGTACGCTTTTGATAATTTTAAAAAATTCAGCCAGGACTGTGATTCCAGTGAATTGAATTTAGAGACTAGAGAGTGCAGACTACAGTCTGACAGCTGGGGAGCATACAAAAGATCAAACCAGGCCCCCAGATGTGGGTGTCAATTGGGGTGCTTGGACAGTCTATGGGGCCGTTGATAGTGGAACCAGTATTTGTCCCTAATGCATGGGTTTTTGGAACCCATTCCCTATGGAGGGATACTCTCTCAGCCTAGATACATGGGGGAGGGCCTAGGTCCTGCCCCAAATGATGTGACAGACTTTGCTGATCCCCCATGGGAGGCCTCACCCTCTCTGAGGAGTGGATTGGGGTTGTGGGATGGGGAGATGGTGAGGGGGAATGGGAGGACAGAGGAAGGAGAGTGAACTAGAATTGGTATGTAAAATAAGATTGTTTTTAATTTAAATAAAAAAATCAGAAAAGAGTGCAGATGGAATTTAAATGCGTAACTGGTGACCACTGACATATAACTGATTTATTTCTTCTGCTTAGATTTTGAATCTTGGCAATCATTCTCAGAGTCACGTGTTATTTATTTTCCTTCTCTTGTAGTTGTTGGAGTTGTTGTAATTATTCTCATCATACTCAGATATCTTGAGTACAAGACGAAAGGGTAAGTATTCTAAGTTAATCATCATCTTCAATATGCCTTTGTACAACTAGTTTGTCCTTTGCTTGAGCGCCCTCCTTTGAAAAGTATGCTGGCAGTAATATGCCCTGCAAATTGCATTTCTTTGCTAAAACATTGTCAGCTATTTTTAACATCATTGCAGCATAAGGATCTGTGTGAAGTTGGTTTTTGTTGTTGTTGTTTTAGCAGCTATTGTGACTACAAGAAAGTTTTCTATGGAATTTGAAGTTTAAGCTGGTTAGTGAAGCAAGGTCATTATGAGGTTTTCCCTGCCCTCGGTGAATCCTAAGTTCAGAAGTAGCCAAAATTAAATTTGAAATATTTCAGTGTGGTATTTTCACTTTAAGGTCACTAAAATTCTTATATTAAAGCTTACATTTGTCTAACTTGGCTAGTAGTAAGAAGCTATGAGGGGTCTCATTTATTTATAGCGTCATTTATTAATGTTAACCAGGGCAATCTGACTTCTCTCTCCTGTCTAATTTTTTTTGCACCACACACTAATGAATGAGTTAGAAGTAGCTGAAGGGCTAAAATTCAAAGGGTACTCTATTATCTTGTATCTGTGTTCTTCCTCTATAAAAATGAAAACCAAAGGGGATTAGAACAGGAAAAATTACAAATACATGTATTCCAAAAGAAATAAGGATTTAGAAGAGACAGGGGTATCCAGAGTGTTATGTCCATAGGTGAAAACAGGGATTCAAAGTATCAAAATTAAGTACAGCAAATTTACATATGATGTAAGATTTGGGATAAATCTTTAGGACATGGATCAGATTAGTGCCTTGAAGTTTCTGATAGGATTTGGGTGATTGCACTTTTTTTCTTGTCACTTTAAAAGAGTTCTGAGCAGCAGGACGAGCAGTGACTTCACTGTCACCCGGGGCTGTGGTGATGTTGGGCCTGGGCTGCTACACGTAAAGATATGTGGATAAATGTTTACTGCATGATTCACTGTTACATCACAGCTTCCATGATGAGATTTACCCCCCTCCTTTCCTCTTAAATTTTATTTTGAGGAGAGGTTCACAGGACAGAGGGTGGGTACGAAGGGAAGGGAAATGAATGGGATCAATATGCATGATGTTGTTTTGAGAAGCAGCTGGTGGATATTAAGACACCAGCCCTACAAGTTCAGATATGTTGGCAGGGCAGATAAAAGGAAGCTCAGACTCCTGTCCTCTTCACCAAATTATTGATGTTTTCTTATATTCTTTTCCCAAGTTTAACACAATGTACACAGACAGGACTCTGTTGTGAAGTAGTCTTAAACAGTTATGACCCAGTTCCCTCCTAGCAGTTCAATTGCCTCTACTTTTGAAACAGTTAAAACCTAAGCATAAAGGTGTTTCTGAGCTTGAAAGGAAAGTCAGCAGAACCAGTTCATTCCAAGTGAAAGCAGGGAGAATAAATGCCCCTTTATAGAAACCAAATGTACAAATGTACTCAACTCCAACTTAAAACTAATTCCATAAAGGTATTTACCTAAAACAAAATATATTTGGCATATTATAGAAAAACAATATAGTCTCAGCTTTTGACAAATTATGGTCGTGTTGGGTGGTGGTGATGCACACCTTTAATCCCAGCACTTAGGAGGCAGTAGCAGGCAGATCTCTGAGTTCAGGCTCAGGCTGGTCTACAGAGCAAGTTACAGAACGAGGGATACCCAGAGAAACCATCAAAAAAATTATAATTGTTTTACCTTAAGCTTTCTGACTCCATTCACGAGTCTACCTTTGGATTAAGATGAAATTTAATCCAACTTTTAAAGTGTTCTTTTAAATGCCAGGTATGGTGATACACACCTGTAATATCAGTACACAGGAAGCTGAGGCAGGAGAACCCCAAGACGGAGCTCAGTCAGTTAGCTCCTAGTTAGTTTTAGCCTCAACTGTCCCAGGACTCTAGAAAGTACAACATTCATAACTGGGCAGGCCTCTCCTAGTTGGCATGTTTTGTCTTTCCTCTACCCTGTAATCAGAGATACCAGCTTTCCTCAGTAAAATATCCTCTCCATGAGCTTCTGTGCATCTTGTTCCCGAGATTTCATGGACTAGGGAAAAGGTCTCATAGTTTCTTCCCTGACTCCTAGCTGCGTAGGTAAACATTATAGCACAAACAGAGGAACACATTTTTCTCCTTCAGTTTTTAGGGAGCCTTACTAGGTGTCCCTGACTGAGCTCCATTTCAGTTTCAATTTTTCTCATTTAAATATGTTTTTTTTAAAGTAAACAAAATGCAACTCCAAAACTTACCATTACTTTCCACTAAAGAATCCTTATGTGTCTGTGTCTCAGGAATGGGTTATATGCATGTGAATACAGGTGCCTGTAGAGGCCAGAGGCCTTGGATCTTCTAGAACTGGAGTTACAGATGGCTATGAGCTACCTCGTATGGGGGCTAGGACCCCAAACCTGGACTTATGCAAGATTACTGCTTTTTTTTTTTTTTTAACTTTTTTTGAATGTTGAATTTCTTTTTAAATTTTGAGTTAAGGGAAAAAATGCCACTATATTCCACTATATAAAATTGACTACAAAAAATATAGCACTTTTCAGATAATTCAGTGATAAGCTAAATAATTAGGTCACTTACCACAGCATGAATAGAGTGACAGGATCATAATGACAACCGACCTCACAGAGAGGAACAGGTAATTATTGCTGACTTTTATATTGGGTGGGAATCCCTAAATAATGCATACACACAGGTAAATAACTGGTTGCTCTAAGTTTTGGGTTTAATTGTTGCAGTCAGTTTCCTAAGGCAGGAGCTAGAGTGCAGCTGTCTCTGAAAAAGTGAACAGCCACAGAATAGACTTTTAGAATCACTGTTTCTCTCAGACCTCATTAGGTACAAAACTCTGAGACTAGCGAAGCCTGTATGCCTCCCTGGCCTTTCATGTTGTTCCTAATTTGAAACAAAGGAAACGCTTGCCCAGTGCAAGCTTTACTTCTTGTTTTAGAGGGGATCAAAAACACAAGGATAGAAGAGGTTTTGGGTTTTTTTTTTCTTGTTTTGTTCTGGGTGAGACATGAACATTTGAAATGTTTTCTAGTTCACAGACAATAATAAGTTTTTTTTAATTGTCTACCTTGGGGCTGGAAAAATACAGTGCAGTGGTAGAGTACTTACCTAGAATGTATAAGGAACTGGATTCTATTCCCATCACAAGAAAAAAAATGTCTATTTTCAAAGTAGGTTTGTGGAACTTAATTTCTGCATGTAGTTATATTTGTTTTGATGGTGCCCTTATTATATCTTATCTTGTAGGAAAAAAGTGGTTAAATCTCAGAGTACCACTTCCCGCAAAAAGTCAGTCTCAAATGCCACACTAACAGGAAAAACTGTATCATTGCCACGCACCCCAAGAAGCAATTTATCTTCTGTCTCTAATTTGTAAGTCATTGTTTCCATTGTCATGCATGCAATTATTGGGTCACAGTGCTCACATTTTAATGTGGCTTGAATATATCAGCCTGCCATTGACACATCTTTAAAATGTGTATGAATTTTGAATAGAAAAGTTGTCTGATTTCCTCTAACTACCAATTATATTTCAAAGCATATCAATACCATATCCTCAACCACTTGAGGTTGGGAAATTATTAATTCCATAATATTATAACTCAGTAATTTAATTTCATCCTAACATGGTGGCATACATGTTAGGAGAATGTTGAGTGCGAAGTCAGCTTGGCTACATAGCAAGCAAGACCTTGTCTTTAAAAAATCCCAGCAACCGCATAATGGCTCACAACCATCTGTAATGAGATCTGGTGCCCTCTTCTGGCCAGCAGACATACATGTAGGCAGAACATTGTATACATAATAAATCTTTTTTTAAATTAATTTTGTTTTAAAAAGATGGTGATTTTGAAGCCCTTTTCGTGTTAATTCTTAGGCTTTCTCTTTTTAACAGTTCTAAAATATATTTTCTAAATGGTTCATTATGAGACGCTTTCATAAATGTACATACCCCTTCAGCTCTAATCCATTAAAACCAGAACACTAAAAACTGGAAATATAAACAATTTAGAAATTCTTAACTAAGAATATTAATAGCAAAGTCACATAAATGTTAGTAGAGTAAAATTCTACTCTTCCCTGACAACTTCAGTGATTTAAATGAATCACAAGTTTGATGTCTGGCATTTGTTTTAACTTTTCTGCATGTCAATAAACCAGCCAAAGAAACACTACCTAAGATTTCACGGCTAGTTGCGTGCTCCTGTAAAAGGCATGGCTGTGACACCCATAACAAGAATCTATGTAAAGTGAACACTGCAGCCTCTTAAGTAACATTCCAGATGTTGAGTCACCCACTCTGAAGTTCATAACTTTCTTTCATTAGACATGTCTTTAAAACAAGCTGGCTAAGCTGCTTGTAAGGAATAAATTCATCAAATAACTTCAAGAATGTAGAAAACAGACACTGCACATTGCTTTTGCCAGAGGAAGCCGTTTTCTTAACGCCTCTCCTGAAGGCACCCTGCTGCCAGTTGTCCTGAAGGAGCTCTGGGCAGGTCATTCTCAAATAGAGCAGGGTTTGGCCTCTACCTGGCCAAGACACTGCCACTCCTGATTAACTGTCCTTTCTCAGGTGTGCTTTAAATGTTTACATTTAGTAGCATAGAGTGACCACAGAAGCATCACCTTGGGAAGACTGTGAACACAAATTGAAACTGAGTGGGGGTGGGGATGATGATGAACCCTGTTTTGAGTATAAATACTTGCAGTCACTCTGAGTGACTCCCTCCCCCCTTGTGCCCTCCAAGTGGATACTTTGGGAAGGTAATGTTTGAATAGAAAAACAAACCACCCAGAAGGTTTGGATTAAGAAAAATTGAAGTCTGTATTCATTTTCACATACTTTAAAAAATGTAGCAATTGTACCTAGGCCTGGTAGTATACTTATAATTTCAGCATTTAAAAAACGGACCACCAAAAAAAGCATTAAAAAAAGAATTTATTGTTTAAAAGTAAAAAAAAATGACTTTACTGTTTTTAATTTAAAACATTTTAACCAAATATTTTATTTTTTTAAATGAATTTACCTTTATAAATGAATATTCAAATGAGTATTTTGAGATGTATAAATATATACTTTTATTTTCCCCAAATAATTTATCAGTTATATAAATACATGAAGGAAAGTGAAATTAGCCTTTTATTTGAGATGTACAAATCTATACTTTGGTTTTCACCAAATAATTTATCAGTTACATGAGTCTATGAGGGAAAGTGGTTTTTGTTTTATTTTTAAGATTGTCTAAATGATAGGAAAAGAGGCATATTTGAAATTAAAATGTTCTTTTAACTACAGAACTGTAACGAAAGCAAAATGAGAAGTCCCATGTGCGGAAGTCATCACTGTTCCATTTTTGAAATCCGGCTCTTCAAGTCTGGCGAAAGTAAAATCATATATTTGCAGGAGCTTCATTTATGGTAATGTGTGTGTGTGTGTGTGTTTCTAGTGTAAATCAAATCTGTTTCCAACTGCAATCTCTTAACCTCTCAACCGTCTCCTACCATCCCAACCCCTCCAGCTTACCAAGGGTTTCAACATAGCCCGGAGTGCCTGTGTCCTGAACAAAATGTTCAGTGGCATGTCACCTGCAGGAAGAAGGCCGTCTTTCAAGCATGATACCAGACCTTCTACAATTCCAACTCTTCCTATACTTCACACTTTCATCGCACGTAATGGCTGTGCATTAAGCTCATGTCTGTGTCTCCCACACTCTTACCCTAGTGTTACCCAAAATGCTCAATTCTCTCCAGATCCATTTATCTTCAAGGCCAATGTGTGTCCTACCTATCCTGTGAAGCTCTGACTCCTCGGGCTCTTAATCCTTTATTACCTAGCCTTAAGTTAGCTACACATAAGAGTCTATATATTCGTGTCTAATAGGAGATGTAACTTTCATATCACTTTAATGCATTCAGAGGACTCAAAATACAAAGTCTAGCAATTAAAGTAAAAACTTGACCTGTGTAACTAATAGGATTTGGTTTTCTTTATGCAAACATAGTTCTTGCTGCCTTTGCAGACATGAAGTAAGCCAGACTAAGTAAAACCAGGCCAGTGTTTCTCACCTGAGACTGTCCAGTAGCCTCTCCCAGGAAGCTTTATTGATGCTTGAGTTACTACCCCAGTGGGCTCTCATATTATTGAGATGTGGCCTGAACATAGGAGGTTTTAATTTCTCTGGTGATTTTAATTTTCCAGCTGAGGCTGAGAACCTGCATTAGTGACCTTCAGGCCTGACAGTCACCACCTCTCCATATAAACTTATAAAGACAGTAAAACCTTAAATATCACAGTTTAATTTTGCCTATTAAAATTTTTCAGACTTTAATGTTTATGGGTTGTAGACTTTAATTAAATGTTGTTTATGGGTTGGGGATTTAGTTCAGCGGAAAGGTTGCTCATCGTGCACAAGACCCTGGATTCAGTCCTCAGCATTGGAACAAAAAAAGTCATTAACAGATTATTAACATAATCTTGTTTGCTTAGAAGTCCTGATGTCAGCCGGGCGTTGGTGGCACACGCCTTTAATCCCAGCACTCGGGAGGCAGAGGCAGGCGGATCTCTGTGAGTTCGAGACCAGCCTGGTCTACAGAGCTAGTTCCAGGATAGCCTCCAAAACAATACAGAGAAACCCTGTCTCGAAAAACCAAAAAAAAAAAAAAAAAAAAAAAAAAAAAGACCTGATGTCTATCAGAATAAGCAATGATGAACTTTAGTTTTAAAATGATAGCAGTAGCTATGAATAATACCAAGACGGAATGAAAATTACATTAACTAAAGCATTTTAGACAATTATGAAACTCTAGCATATTTTTAATTAGCATAAAATATAGAGAGAATTTTTACAGTAACCAACAACAAATTGTCTGAATTATGCCAGAAAGAACTGGAGGCAAAAGGAATTTGAATTTGCAACTGAAAGTAATTTTAAGGTTTTAGAGAAACGAACTAGTGTTCTAAAGTTTGTGATACCAGACAGCTAACATTTAACCAAGACTAGATTTTGCATATTTTAACAATTTATCTTCTTAACAGCAGAATTTAACAGTCTATTAACTTTTAGAAGTGATTCAGAATTGAATGAATCTGATACATATGTATTTCCCCCTATGTTTTGGCTCTCTGGGCTCATCCAGAGGGTACTCTAGATAAGCTGTCAACCTTTGAGACCATAGCACTGCTGCTCTCCTATGGACTGTTTTAGAGTATTTGACGGTCCTCTGCCCCTTCTCTGTGAGCTTGTCATTGCTGGAACTCCAGAGCCATTACTTTTTGTTTTGTTTTGTTTTGTTTTGTTTTTTTGGTTTTTATGAGACAGGGTTTCTCTGTATTGTTTTGGAGGCTGTCGGTCCAGCCTAGCCTCGAACTCACAGAGATCCGCCTGCCTCTGCCTCCCAAGTGCTGGGATTAAAGGCGTGCGCCACCACCGCCCGGCCAGAGCCATTACTTTTATTTTAGATCAATATAGAACAGTAGCTCTCTTCTGTTTGTGGGAAAGTAACAATGTCTTTGTTCCTCATTTCTGGGGGAAAATATAATACTGAGGGAATAGAGGTAGACACACACTTTCCTTTCTTGTTTGCTTAAATAACAGCAGGTAACACACTGGCACACGAGGATACTGGAAAGCTACCCACCTTGATTCCTGACATGACTGGACAAAACCCAGTAAAACAGGAGACCGGTAGCAACTGATGTGAAGAACAGCAGTCAAAATTTTAGCTCTGAATATTGTTGTACACTGTAATGCTAAATCCTGTGTTGAACCACTAGAAACAGGAGCTCTGATGACCTGGTGTTTGGAGCTTGTGGCTTCACTGGTAATTCAGGGAATAACTAATGCTTAGGTGAACATGTGCTTGAAAAAAATTAAGTCATCTGATTACCTATCTCAAAAAATATTAAATCTGTACTTGAGGTGAGTTTCAACCATGAAGAATTCCTTCTGTAGACTCCCACAGCAATATGCTTCTCAAATTCTGATGTACAGGTTAAACACATCATAATCTTGCTAAAAAGTGAACACTAATCAGCAAAGATAGTGTGACCAATGAAGCAAAGTCTGACCCTGTGGACCTTGGAAGCTTGAAGAGGACAAGCCAAAGAATACAGCCTGTTTATAGACAAAGAAAGGCAAGAAACCTATTTTTCCTTCATATTTTTGAAGGGTTTGTGTCTGATAGTACCTTGACTTCAGTTAGGAAATTTCTGTGTTAAGACATCACATCTGTGCTGATTTGTTACAGCAGTTACAGGAAATGTATGCACCAACATTAAAAACTGGAAGTAAAGAACTATGACCAAATAGTGTGGCCTTTTCAGAAGTAGGACAACGGCTCTCAATCCTGGCTGTACACTATATTCATCTGAGTCCCAATCTGAGAACAGCTAAAATAGTACTTCCTTAAAGGGATGGGACCCAATGATCACTCTTCTGGTGACCAAAGCTATGTTACTGGGTTAGAATGTGCCCCAGATATTACATATTAAAGGCACTATCTTGGGCTTCCATAAAAAGTATATACACAATAGTGTGCTAGCTTCCAAATAGAAAGTCTGGACCAACTTCTTAAAGCAGTAGGATTCAGACTTAATTCATTTGATCTACTAAACTGGTTGCAGATTTTTCTTCCTCCAGTTAACAAAAGTGCATTATATTCACTCCTGAAAAATCTGGTAAGGCTTAAGTTACTTCAACAGAACTTTCTACTTGGATTGACAGCATGGTTTCATAAGCCTGACTCAGGAGGGTATTGCCAAAAAAAAAAAAACCCAACAACAACAACAACAAACAAAACAAAACTGCATTAACAATCAATTATAAAAAAACTACCCCAGAGTGACAATTTTTATATAAATGGCATTCAGACTTAAAAAAAAAAAGTGAGAGATGTTCCGGCTTCATTTTACTCCTCAGAACTTCAGGATATGGTCTGTTTAAGCATTTGACGAGGATGTTATACATTTCTTTTATGGGAAAAAAATCTTAAATCATTGTTTTTGTGCTTTGATATTAAATTCTACCTGCTAGCACTTAACTCATTTAAGAACTAGAATCATAACCTGGAGTTATTTTAATTATATTTTCCAATATAAATTAATTGGGAGCTTTGGGCAGGGTAGCTAAGTTTAAAAAAAAAAACTTAATGTGTAGTTAATACCTCAAACTGTCATACTTAGAGGAGCTGCAGTCTCCTACTTTAGTGGGGCAAATTAAACAATACAGCTGAGGGACTTAGCCATTCCCACCACCACATCCTGAGACTTAGAACATGGATTCTTCAATCAAAAGCCTGAAATAGCTCTGCAGCTGCAGGATGTATCATAGTCACTGGGAAGTCTTTCCAGCAAATGCTTCATTCACCTCCCACTTTCAGCACAATAGGCAAGGCAGCCATCTGGGGTAAGACTACTGGATGTGGGCTCAAAACAGGCTTTCCTGGGCAGCTGATTCACCATCAGTTATTGAAACCCACTGGCTTGAAATGATTATATTGCAGATAGTTCATAGCTAGCTATGCAACTTCTATGGAAGAGGGGCCACCTGCTTTCTTCCTGAAGGTTCTCCAAGCATGAACCCTGCCCTTCAATACTGTCAAATCTCCAAACACTTTTTATAAGATTGTCTCACTGCCTATTCAAGGGTTGAAATGAACGATCAGCTGAAAGTAGAACTCCATCTGCTACAAAAGCAACTGAAATTAGCCTGCTCCCCTGTAAGGGCCACATGACACTTTGGTTAAGTAAGTTCCCTGCAGCAACACTGACAGGAGGAAGGTCAGAGTCCACAGTTTCCTTGGAACCAAGAACAGTCTTCCCATTTAGTAACATCCCTCAGCCTAGAGCTCCAACCTTCTGTCTCTGATAATCTTTCATCTTTAGAATTTCATTCCTGTCTTAATGACCTTCATTTTTAATGTCTGTCTGCAGCAACCTACTTCCAACTCCTTATGATTGGCACAGCAAATTAATTTTTCAGGGCCCACTTCTCATTGCCATAGAATTATGAATGGAAAATAATAGATAAAAACACAGACATGATAAATTGAATATAGCAAATTATTTATTAAAGCCAGGATGCATGAACATACTCTTAACAGAAACACGGTTCAGCACCAAATGGTTTATACAATTTGTAACGGTAGTATATGTAAGAAACTACAACCGAGGATATCAGATAAATTACAACAACTTAATTATAAAACCCCATTAAGTTATCTCTAACTTCTGCTACCACATGCACATGCATTAAAGAAGTTAGGAAACTGTGATCTTCCTTCTCTGCCTGTGTAGGAAACGACAGGCTGCTGCTGGCCACACACCACGAGGCTCTGAGGCTGGTGCTTTTCCCCCTACATCATAACCGATTTCAAATGGTGCTAGACAAAAACAGACTCTGAACACCAGGAGAAATCGGTCAGCCTGTGTAAGAGATGGGCCAGTGGTGGTCTTCAGGTCTGAACCTCAAGGCAGACAAGTGACAAGCTGTGTTGCAACCACGACTGAGTGCTTCAGGCATCTTCCAGGTACAGGCAGGCAGTACTGATGTGGGTGAAGCCGTCCTCCATGTGCAGAACACTGCCCCTGTCTCTGCTACAATCAACACCCAGAACATCACTGGACAATAAACAGGGCCAGGCCTAAGCCACTCTCCCACTCCCATGGAATGCTGGATAAAGTAGATCACTTCCCGCCCTGATCATGCCCTTGTATTTATTTTGAACACAACATACTTTCCCGCTATCGCTGCCTCTAAAACAAACAGACCCAAGAGCAAATTTCAACTGTCCATGTCTTCCCTTGACTTCTTGAAGGAGAGAGCCAGTCCTGTGTACAGTAGCTTCTCTGTAGTCTAACCTCTGCTGTGCTGCAATTCTTACTCCTAAAACACTGATTTCAAATGGTGCTAGATACAAAGATGGAAAAATCTAAGCCACCATGTGAAACCAGCTTCCAGAAGAAGATCATCTCGCTGAAGAAAGCAGAAGTTCAGTCAGAAGATCCAGCCTCACCTCTGAGAATCATCTTGCCTGTCAGAGGCAGAGGACAGCCATGCAATGCTGCTCAGCACAGCATCAGAGTCACAGGCAACATTTTGAGCAGACAAGACCAATGCAAAACTCGTTCCCTGTATGACTTCACATTAGTCATTATACATTATACACAACGAAACAAAAGAACCAAGTTCATTCTACATATGTACATTTGTAATGTCTTGAACTTAGTATTTCCCAAGATGCATAGTGTCTGTCATACATAGTGACATGTCACTTCTTCAGGACAGTGACCTATGAGATGTTAACCACTGAATACAAGTGTGTCATCTGTGTCAGGACAACTCTTCCACAAGTATTATTCAAAAAGAGCACATGATCTTCCCATCCCATGACTGGCAATTTGATTTAACCCAGAGTAACTAAAAGCTGGTATCTTATTTGTATTACATAGATAATCCTGTAACACAAAAAAGGGGTATATTTTTAAAATTTATCTGAAAATAAGATTCACAAACTGTTGTGAGTTTCCTCCAATGTCACAACCCAGAGAAAGGAGACAAAAGAATAGAGCTGTATGTTTCTGGTTCCTCAGCAACTTTTTGACCTTGAGATATAAGCTTATCTCTTTTTATGGCTCCTGGCTGCTACAGGGTAATAGAGCAACTATAATGTGAACATCCAGTGTCGCAATACTTAGCTGTTCTGAGAGTTCAAAGAAGCAGTTATTGTTCCAATGTTTGTATAAGAAACTAGTCATAGGACCAGGTGAACTAGTGTCTTTATTCCTGTCTTGGTCTTGTACAGCCTGACTGTGATTTCCTTCCTTTTGAACTGAACTCTTCCTAGACTGGGGAGGGGTATTTAGCTCAGGAAATCTGAGGGGGAGTGGAAGAGACTCACTGTAACACATGCTATACCTGGGTAAAGATGAGGGCACATGGTGTTGGTACTGCAAGGGGTCAGGTAATCCAGGAGAACCTGCTTTTGCTCTACTGCCCCACTAGTGCCTCTGTCCTCCCCAGCAATAGGGAAGACGATGGCAATGAAGTCTACCAATGACACTGACAGGCTTAGCTTCTAAAAAACTGAACCAGTTAGAGGAGAAACAGAAGGCTCAGCAGCCTCCCTGGGGCTCTCCAGGGTCTCAACTACACAGAAGTGCAGGCAAATCTATATACACTGAGTTCCTGAGTGACAGTGACACTGGTTGCCAAAATTAGGGTCTTGTGAACTAGACAGGTCGTAAATATATTAGATGGCAGTTATTAACAAGGGTCAAAACCCTGTAAATGAAGAGGACAGATGAGGTTTGATTGTGATAATACTCATCTTTTCTGATTTTCATTTCAGTCAAATTTTCTTAGCAACTTCCTATTGCTAGTATCCTTAGTCTCCTCCCACTACCCTTTCTCTATGTTAAGGATAGATATCCTGCAGGGATCCAGGGCACACCCTTCCACCCAGAAGTCTCGGTTTGTGCTGTTACCTCCCTTTGGCAACTTTCCACCTACTCCCTCAACTGCCATCCCTACTTGTCCTATCTCAGCTCTAGAAAGCTTTCTCCAAGGTTAGCCCAGTTTGCTATCATTTAGAAAACACCTATTTCTTTTGGACCTCAGCATGGCATGAAGCTAATGCCTTTTTTCCTACACAGCAAGTGAAATGCTGCCCAGGCTTAGGCTATGCTTAGCAAAGGAAAACTACTGGTGAAGGAAAAGGTAAGGTCTAGGGTTCCACTGCAAACCCTGTTTTCTGGTGGATAAGAACCACTGACAGTATGGTGATTTAAACACTAAGCTACAGAAGAGGGAAAGAAGCAGTCCTAGCCCATTCAGACCCTTTGTCATCCAACTCCACCCAGGCCTCAGCATCCCATAAAAGCGGTCCCATAGTCAGCTGAGCAATGTCCCTTTTCTGAAACAAGGTGGTGACCCTTTACTTGTTTGGAATAGCTGGATGATTTGATAAAGTCTGGAAGGCTCTAGCTTTCTGGATGTCTATGGCAGCAGCCCATGAAAACCTTGGGCCGCTAGGGATCTGATCTCAGAATAATGGGATTTCCCCCTCCTCAAGTAAATGACTTAAGTAAACTTCAAGCTACAGGGTTTGATGGGGTTGTCTAGCAAAGAAACCACCCTGCGTCACTTAGCAGTACGGAAAAGGTCACTGAGCAGGGAAGATGTCTGAGACACCACTCTTCAGCCTCCATCTGTTCCTGGACCTGTTTTTTTTTTTTTTTTCCTGGAGGCCATTCTACCCACCCATGACGGGATACTTCTCCGGCAAGGCAGGGGCCGGAGGGGTGGAGGCAGGGGTCACTTCCTGTTAAACCAGAACACCTGCTTGCCTACACGTTGAGAAGAGGGCCCTGCCATCATCGAGAATGGCTTTAGTGTATTCATCAGTAAACAGTAAGCTAGGGAAAACTGTCTGTCTGTCTGTCTGTCTGTCTGTCTGTCTGTCTGTCTCTCTCTCTCTCTCTCTACACACACACACACACACACACACACACACCCAGACTACTTAGGAAGGAAATAGCCAGAGGCAGCAACAGCATGCAACAGAGGTACAGTAATCTGAAAAAAAATAATATTCTGTCTACAGATATACAAAATTAACACACTGAAAAACCAACCCATGCAGGCCAGACAGCACAACCAAAGGTTAAACGTGCTTCATGGGCCACTGGCTAAAAACAAAGATTAAAAAGACTACTTCTTCTATAGTCTATGACCACTAAGATTTTTAGAATCCTAAATATCATGAGCCCAGAACAGAACCCCACAGAATGTGGGAAGAAAATGAGTGGGAGGAGGAAAAATACTTGCCCTAGGAATCTCACCCTGCTGGCCCAGCTCTGCTGTCTGATGTGCTCACATGCAGAACGTGGGAAGGTTCCAGCCAGGCAATAGCTTCTTGCTCCTGACCCAGCACTGAGTGCTGAGTCACAGTTGTATGCATGAGAGTTCCTGCCAAAGTGGGGGAGGGTGCCAGAAGCCTGCCATCCATTTTCTTGCCTGCCTCTGAAGACTGATTTGAGGGTTCCCACCAGTTAGAAGAACTCATCTTTGGGAGGGGAAGCTAGGGAAGGTCTTTTTCAAAGAAAAGGGAACATCTTACCTCCAAGAGAGACTGCATATGTGAACTGAACAGGCTGCCTGGCTTCCTGTCACTCTCAGCAGTAGCCCAGCCCCAGCATCCAGGACATTTTGTCTTTGGCTGTCAGGGTAGGTAGGGAATGCTGCCAACAAGCTGTGGTTAATGAATCAGAGGAAAGGGTAATAAAACGAGGGATATATGTTGAGAATACACGGATAAAGGGAAATTTGGAGCTTGTTGACCTAACATCAGTGACCACTGATTCCCAAAGTGGGCATAACATTCTTGAGACCCAGTGTGTCCTGCAAGTGCCTGCTTGGGTAATCAAGGGAAAAGCAAAGGCTTCAGAAGCCTGTGGGGGCCAGTACTGGCTCTCTTGACTTCACTGAATTAGAGATATGGAGACCTATGTTCCTGGGCAAGCACATTCCAAAAACTAGGTTTTCTGTCCTTTCCTCCATGCTACTGAGCAAGTCTTGGGTCTCAAAAGTTCCCAAACTCAGTATAATTCCATACAGGTCACTAAGGTCCTGGCACAGTATCTAGACTATCACGGTACTACGGCTGCCTTCTGGGTACAAAGTGAAGGCTAGAGTGCAATGTGCCCTCTCCGTAGCAGAGAGAGCTCTGCTTTCACAGGGAGGAGAAACACAGCCCAGAAGTACTTTCATGGAAACTGAAGCTTGCCATAAGAGGAAAGGTAAGCCTGGCTGTGGTCTCCCAATGCCTACCACAAAGTTCATGGCCCCAAACCTACACAGTCCACTCCCTTAACACTCCCAAATGGTCCATATGGCTCAGTGGAGAAGGATTCGATAAGGATACCGCCTTAATCAGGTCAGGGCAGAGAAACCCAAGTCTAACTTCCTTATCTCATCCCGCCAGGGTTGGTCAACTCTTCCTACTGACAGGAAGCAAGGGAAGGTACAGACACAGCATCCTATCTGTTGCCACACTCAGGGGACCATGTGCCTACTCACTTGATTCCCAGGAGTTTTCTGCAACAAGCCTTTCTCCTCCTGTGGAGGGCAAAACAGTTACAGAAGAAAGCATTTCAGTTAGCCATTCTCCTCAGCACAGCCCTAGGCAGGCCCCAGGAAGCCAGGGTGGACCCACTGATCTCCTAGTGGTAGTTCTGCCCAGTACCTGGGCACACACCTGGCGGCACACAAAATGGAGCACATGCTGCAACATATATGTGACTGCACTGTTGGGAGTTAGGGAGGTAGACTGGGCTTTGAAGAGATAAGTCTGAGTCTGTAGGCAACACAAACCCCAAACCCTGTTTCACCTTTGGCAGGCCAAGCTAGTGGCAGCACCTATACTGCTATTCTAACCCTTCTCTGTTATAACTTCTGCCTGCTAGTCTCAAGAACAGTGAGGAGGAGGAGGTGGTGAAGGAGAAGGGAGGAGAGGGGGGAGGGGAGAAGAGGCAGAGGAGGAAGTTTCACAGCCTAGTGCATTCCCACCAGATCAGAGAGGAACACACACAACTTCCCCCTTTACAAGCCCTTTTTCTGTCCCCTTCTAGGCTGGGGACAGCTTAGCACTGGGCAGGGCAGGCGCTCAGGTACCCAGCCAACTGGGCTCTCACAGGCTCAATCTCAAGCCTGGCATGTTCCCTAGGGTCATCACCCAGCATGCCCTTTTCCTCATTGGGGAGGCCACACCCTCTTGCTTTCAAAGTTTTATAACTGTATTGTTTGTTGTCCAGCAGATTAAATTCTTTGGTGGCTGGGGAGGCAACAAGGGTGGGGGTGAGGAGAAAGGAGGGGCAAAAAGTAGAGAAAATACAAGTAACTTCTTTTAGGCCCAAAAGATTAAACACATTCCTTTTGAACACAAAGTTCACCTGTTTTGGAGAACAGCCAGTGGTCAGAGGCAGTGTCCCCTCCCTCTCTGTGCCTATCCTCGCTGGCCTTTCTCACCTAGCAGAAATGGCATGTGGTCTTACATGTCCAAGGCCATCCGGATTTGAGCTGAAATGAAATAACAGCTAATCAGGTTTAGGATTTGCATACCTAAACAACCACAACCCCAAATTAGTACCTACAATAGGGCAAACTGACCTCTGCCAGGGTTAATAGGCAGCTAAACCCCAGAGACAGAAAGGACCCTGCAGTGGGCAGTCTGTTTATAGTCCAAATCAAAGTCACTCATTCACTGATACCAGAGGACCTGTACTTCAAGAATGAAGCAATGTAACTGAGCAGACTATAGTCAGCCCTCCATATCCCCAGGTTCTGCCTCCCTGTACTCCAGTCATTGTGCACGAACATGTATATATATAAATATGAATTACATCTTTATATGCATCCCTTTTGGCCACTATCCTCTAAAGAATTCTTAAAACAATTATTTGACATCATTTGCTTGGAGTTAGGTATTACAAGAAATCTGCGCATGGTTTAAAGTTCATGCTTTAAAGAGGATATGTGTAAATTAAATGAAAATCTCATTTCATAGAAGGACTTCAGCATCTAAGGATCCAATCCTCCATAGATTGAAATGACGGATTCAGAAATGGTTAAGGAATGTAAGAGAGTGGGAAACAGAAAATAAAGGCAAAAGAAAGTCAATAGTGTGAGCTTAAGACAGGCCTGTCTTATCAAGCCTTCTGATACTAAGTCTACAGCTAGTATTAGTTCAAAAACACACAGGATTTTCCATACTTAATACAACTTTCATTGAGCCATTAACTAATTATTTCACACTCTGGATTTCCTCTAAGTAATATGTCCACTTGAACACACACCTAAGCTTTTAGCACCAAAAACAATGCCCGTGAATCGCAGAGCTATGAGTCTACTCTGAAACTCTTAGACCTTCTTCTTAGAAAATCTTGTCTGATCTTACTTTCTCTATTACCTTTCCTCCAACCACAATGACTGTCAAGAGTCCCCATCACTGGGAGTAATGGCTCAGGGTAGGAGTAGTAACAGGAATAGAACAGATCTTCCCTGGAAGATATGAAAGACAGCATATACTTTCTCTACTTTTTATATGAGAATTAAGAACAGTTCCCACAGGTTCAGTGGCAGAAATTCTCTCTGCACAGATTCTACACCTACATTGTCTCCTCTACTCTCCTAGCCTAAGGATGCACAAAGGCAGCCAGAGTTGATTAAAGGTAGAACCAAGGAGCCACTTTATATACTGCTACCTTGGCCGCACACTGTTTCAGGGGTCATCTCAAAGTCCCATAGCCTCATGCCCAGGCAGACATTATAAGAGCAGCCAATGTGTTTTCCTTTGGAGGTTCTGTCGTCCTTTAGAACTCAGCAAAGTTTCACACAGGCCTTTCATGACATTTACATGAATTTACCTCATAGCTTTGGGTTGGATCCACCTTCTTTTCCATTCTCCAGGTAACTAGAAAGAACCAGGTCTATTACAGGGCAGATTCATAGAAGGATGCTAAAAGGCCTCTTCTACCAAAAGTGCTTCCATGTGCCCTCCCATTCAAAATAGAGTTGCAGTTGCATTCAGAGAACATAGAGGGACCGGCACTTATAAACAGACACAGATGTTTGCTGGCCCTGTGCAACCTCAATTGTTCTGAAGGTAACACTCCCAAAGTCTAACCCTTCATGCCTAAGTTCACGATAAGTGAAGGTAAGCACTTGTCTAGCCCTTCATCAGAGCCTTGGGTCTATTAAAATAAAGGTCACATAGAGGCTGAATAACCAAGAGGTCATACAGCCCAATATTCAGCCTCAGCACACCTTAAAAGAATAAGAACTGTTTTTGGGACATGCTTTTCCTATAAAAGGGAGGCCTATTTTTCCACACTGATCATGAGGCAAGGTTTCTGAGCTGATGACAGTATTCCTAGCATCTAACTATGCAGCACATTATGGGTGGTATATGTTAGCCAGCAAACAAGTAACACAGACACAACACACACACTGGGAAAGCTCCAGGCATCCTTCACAAACAGAATGGGAAAATCTCAAGGTTGCCATAATGAAACTTCCTCCCTCAGTGAGCAACATATAGTAGAAACATGCCCAGATTCAGAGGAAAAATTCCATGAAGGTATCAAAATGGCTTAACAAGAAATCTTTTCAGGAATATGGGGAATGCCTAGTATTTTAGCCAAGTGCAAGCCAGCTCTCTCAAGAGCTCCAAGCAGTAAGAGAAACAGAGGGCAGGAGAATAAAGATATTCTTAGTTTTCCTTCTCCTCTCCAATGTGCAAATAAGAAGGGAAGGCCTCAGAGATCCAGAACTCTGCCAAGTCCTACACCACAGCCAACTCTCATAAGCACATCTCCCACTTGTCTCCCAGAGGGAGCAGTGTCCTATCCTGTCACCTGGTAGGTTCTCATCAACTACTTTTACTCTGTTAACCCGTTCTCTTCACTGCCACTCATTCAAAAACCCATTCCTACTATCTACCGAAAGCCCATCACCATCATTCACACTAACACTAGGGTGCCTCTTTGGAACAAAATTTGGTTGCTCTTAGGTCTTCCTGATCCCTCCTTTCTCTCTCGGCAACTTGGGTTCACTTTCCTGGCCTTGAGTTTCTAGCTAAGCAAAATTTCCACAAACATCCAGGATGGGCCTAGAGGTAAGATGAGTTGGAACCTCCAACAGGGTCCTCATTCAAAACCTGTTTCACAGACAAGTAAACTGAGGACATGGGCGTGAACACAAAAATAGCATAGAACCCATTCTCCCTTACCTATTTCCCCATGCCATAACCTCTGACCACACATCCACTCACCCCTGTGCAGATTTTGACACTTTCAGCCAATGACTGCTCCTATATTTAGAATAGTCCCAAGCAGCAATGTTAGGCCAAAGAGGAGGGAATTGCATACTCTTGCTCACCTTAGCCACCACTTCCCAAACAAACATGTTCTAAATCCTGAAGTTTAACACATGGAACAACACCGCTGGCCTGCCTCAGCCTCATAGAGCACACAGCACACAGAGAATCTAACACTGGGTAACTTCTCCCCAACTGGGCTTGTCTATTCCCTGAAGAAACCATACACCCAGAAGAGACTTAGGATTCAAATTAACAAGCACATACTTAGTGACTTAGCAAAGACCTGACCTGAATGCTCCCTGTGCTGCACAGACAAGAGAGCCATGGTGATTAGACTGAGACAAAAAGGCAGCTGATGCCTGATGAAGGCTGAAGGAAGAAGTCAGAGGCTGAGGGCAACCATACAGTTCTAATCTTTTGGAAGACAGCTCAACGAACACAGTTTCCCAGGGTACTGAGGCACTTCAGGATTTGTCTATCATCTGGACCCCTTCTTTCCTCTCTCCCCACTATGTTTTTTTTTTTAAGACATGGTCTCACTATATAGCTCAAGCAAGGCTAGAACTCAAGTCTCCTGCTTCAGCTTCCTGAGTGCTGCCATGACAGAAATTAGTCACCATATTTTCAGTGAGTGGTATCTTCTTCATCCACATACAACGTTATCTGTGGCTTCTGTGTATTTTACACAACACAAAAAGAAACCTAGTCTCAGGGCTCTGGACCTCCGGCACACACTACATTCCTCAACATCTAGGAGGGAACTGTTTCCCCCCAGCACAGATACCAAATAACATTTGCCTCACCTCCCCCAAAAATGAATGTGCACGGCCTTACTGGGACAAAGAATGCTTGCTTTCAGTTGACATTATATCATTTCTCGAGGATATTAATTCACAAAAATGTCTGAAATCAGCCCGAGTGAGGAGAAAACCAAGGGCTTTGGGATCAAACATGCTGAAGCAAATCTCAACATCACTCATCAATTGCATGACTTTGACTTATGTCATTTAATAATTACACTTTCACTAACAATAAAAGGGAAACAGTATCTGTTACCAAGAGTGGGAAGACAGCGTTCTTTTCCATGGATGGCATATGGAGACCAAGATATCTGATGCCATCTCCTTGCTTCATTATAGACTCATCCTGACTCCACCCTGCCTCGAGTCTAGACATTTGGATGTGTCTGCCCTCACCCTTGTGACTTGTCCCAATTATCCAACCACAAACAACCATGACCCTGTGTGGTTTCTTTCATCCTATTCCTGTACTCTACCCACATAGGCTTGACTCTACAGCATGAGGCTCCGTACATACCACAGGGCCTCAAGAGTATTTTCTTGCTTATCAATCCATAAGCATTTGGAAAGAGCCAGAAAGGAACCAAACCCAGTGTATGCTTTCCTCACGGTCACTGACCAGGGAAATGAAGGAAAGCAAGGTCCTCCTGTAGATGGCAGGCTCATTAAACAGACAGTATCTCTTACTTATCCCAGAGGCGGGCCATACATATAGAAAAGCCACCTGTGAGAGTTCATATCCTCTAAATCTGCAGCTTTGGGGACCCACCTAAGTCAGTGGATAGATCCAAGATATGCACTGAACAATTCATAGCCCCAGTAAGAAGAGGATATAGTGGAACCCAGATGGTATGGACCAATCAGGTCTCTGGGTAGGGCACCATGCATTTTACTATGGTCAGCATGTCATCTCAGCTTCAATACCATAGCTCTCTTCCAGAACTCACAGACTCAGAGGCCAAGGAAAAAGTGTCAGGCATGCTTAGATCCTACAAGGAATGCTAACTGTCCTGCCTGCTTGGCTGGTAACACATAGCGCTGCATGTCACACAGCAGAAGCCAGGTTAGTGACTGGAAGCAAAGCATTAGTTGAGGGTCTGAAAAAGGGAAATGGGCAGGGTGGTACAGCCCTAATTCACAGGGACAGCTATGTGGCAAAGCCAAGATCCTCTTTGCTCTCCACTCACTTTCCCAATCAGGCAAAGGAAGGGCTGTGAATGGTAGCAGAGGTCACCAGAGTTGGGCACAAGACCTAAGGTTCTGAAGTGCAGCTAGCAGCACATCTGGCTTCCAGTGGGGTTCATCTTGAAGAAACAGGTTTATTCCTTTCCACCTCTCAGCTGTAAAGCGAACTTACCTCTTTGTTCAAACCTCAGCCCTTCCTCTCCCCTACCCCAACTGTCCCTCACACACCACTGAGGCAGTAACTGAACTTGTTAATAACAGATAACTCATCCAAATTGACTCTTCTTGGCAGGGATCTCAGAAGCTTGTCCCAAAGGGAGAGACAAGACAAACGTGAGATGGGATTCATTAATCTTCTTTGGACAGTGGTGGGAGGGGCATGGAAGATGAAACACATCTACACAATGCCAGTAGGGAAGCTGCATGGACTGGCTGGGGTTAAGATTCCACAGATACCTAGTAGAATCATCCAGGATTATTCCTTTTTTCCTTAGACCCTAGACATTGGACTGTTAGTTCCCACTAGCCCTAGGGGCCAAGAACACTGCCAGCAATGACAGACAGGGAATTCTGAATATCGCAGACAGTACCTGCTGTCTGCTTTCTGGTTTGTGTCTGCAATGGAGCTGTCTTCCCAGTTGTGAGGGAGACCATCGCTTTAACACAATACTGCTGTTACTGTAAGGCAGAGGAAAAGTTTTTCCCTGTCAAGTGCCTGGAGATATTTTGAAGACAATTGAAGGCCTAAAGAAGGAAATGATTCATTCAAAGGAAAATCCCAAGTGGAAAAAAAAATCCAGAATCCAGTCAGCCCAGTCTAAACTTTAGACCCCAGACCTCGCCTAAGCCCCTTGAAGGCTCAGTGTGTCCAGAGTAAGGCAAATACCCACACTGCACAGGAAAGAACATGCCTGAGCCCCGGGCAGCTCCCAGGACCATAAGGATTGTAAGGGGAATGATACCCAGTATTCTATGGTTCAGCAGATGAGAAGCTTCCTTCCCCTGACTATAGCTGCTGCCCAGATATCTCCCAAACATCTCATAGCCTAGCTAGTTGAGCAGGCTGACCTTATGCCAGCATTCTGCCAGTTACTCATTTCATTCACAGAAAAACTAGGAATGGAAGAATGGAAAGAAAAGAACAATTGTTGGGGGTTCTGAATGGTAAAGTTTGAGGGAACAGATCCAGGGAGCAGCCACACTCCAACTACATGGGAGGCAGGCTCAAGCCTTTCCTTTGTTGCTTCTAGTTTCTAATCAGCAGCCTGATATTAATCCAGCAACAAGACTAGGTCCATGCTGCATCAGACCACACCTGAGGTCATGGAACCACACAAATTGGTGGCTCAAGATTACCTAAAGAAAGAAAAGACAATCTAACTTACCATGCTCCACCACCCAACACCATGGGGCTTATTCACCACCCACCCCCTTCCCAGGACAACTTCCTCTCCCTGCCTTGCTAAATGAAGGTTAAGATATAAAAACAGAAAGAACAGATATGGCTCTTGGGCCAGTAGCTGAGCATGTCCTCATTCATCCTAAGGGAAAAAAAATCAAAGGGAAGAAGAGGGGTGTAGACAAGCACAGAGAGTAAAAGATCCAAAAGAGTGAAGAAAGGTCAAAAGACATTCTTGAGCAGGGCAAGTCAAGCAGGAAACGGAGACACTGGGAGCTGGTATTTCATGTAGGGCATAACCACCTTTGGCCATACTGAGTGCCCAAGTCTTTCCTTTTCTGAACATGGCACCCTGGCCATCCCACCTTGGCAACTTCATCCAGCATGACCTTTTATCTATCAGCACCTGAAATAGGAAAAAGAAGAGTGAATATGACAGACCAAAGCCTGATATGGATATACACCTTCCAGCCTTGGAGATAACTCATTCTCCACATTGTGGTTATGAGAGAAGTACTTCTCTCCCACAGGGAAGAGTAGACACGTCTGATAAGAACTGCTTAGCTCAAGGCTATATATAGTTGAGGTTCCTACCAGCCTAGAGATTTGGAGCTAGAACTTGGCAGATCTGTGCCAAGTGTTGGCAAGGACCATCCTCATGCAGCCAGTCAGCTAGGAGCCTCAGCCCAATCTATGCACAGTGAGTGCAGCAGGGTCCTTCATGAGGCTATTAGCACTCTTCACCAAGGACATGGCTACTGGATCCATTTTACAGAAGACTGGCTTCTAATGTGTGAGTCTAAGGGTGATATGTAATGGATGAACACTAAATTCCCACCTTTCCTTCTGAAGGACAAAGAGAGGGTACATAGGAGAGGAAGGAGGTATAGCAGCCCAGGACTATAGATACCTATTCACTTTGCATATTTGAAAGCAGGAAAAATATACAGGAATGAAGATGAATACTTACCTACTGAAAGAAAGCAGAGTGGTCAAGCAGCTCCTCTTTTCTGTTCCATAAAAACACAAGCCGACCGCTCTAACCAGCAGTATTATTGCTTAGACACACACACATCATCCTTAGCTGAGCCCGAGTTGCCAAGAGGTTGTCACCTACTTACAGATAGAGCTGTGCTCTTTGAGTTCTCTGCTGGGAAGAGAAAGGAAGGTAGATCAACTGGGCTCTGCTCACAAAACCAACCAATCAATGATCTGTGACTGGAGTTTCTATGCAGCCCCTGGGACAAAAGTCCTCAGCTGCGGCAGATGCAAGATAACCCTGGGCAGAGCAGTGTGGAGAAGGACCAGTACCTGTGGGCACAACAACTGATCCAGGGGTACCTAACCACTTTGTCCAGTGATGGACAGACAACAGGGTTCTCTGAAGCACGTCAGTCAGGTTTGCATCATACGCATAGCTCAGAACTAAGAGGTATGACCCCCAAGTTCCCAGTTCCTACACTTATGCTGCCTTTCTACTCAAGATGCTCTCTACTCAGACACAAAAGCTAGAGGCTTCGGATACCTTTGAGAGCACTGTGGGTATATACAGTTTGTTCCTTCGGCCTGCTCTGCTCCACTCTGCTGTGACCCCAGGCATATCTCCTTGCCCCCATTTGGCCTTCAGGCCCAAGAGACATACCTCCCAGAGATTCTAAATGAGTCATTCTAGGTGGTCCTTAGGTAGAAGAAGTACTCTGGTGGCAAATGCCTACACTAAAATCAGTGGCTAGAAAATGTAAGAATTAAAAGAGGCATCTGGAAAAAAGTCTGGAACAAGCTCAGGGCCAGAATGTCCCTCATTCCACAAACTTAAATTGTTTGTTCTTCACCCTAAACTGCGTCAAGGGTGCCAGAGAGAAAAGGGTAATAGTTTGACCACGATACCATTGCAATGGAGGAGGCATGGTAGGTGGGGCAAGGGATCACATGTCTTTAGTATAAGGCTGCAGGAAACCCCTAGAACTCTGGGCTCCCAAAATGAAGTGCTAAGGGGGCAGAATGAAGATGTGGGGGAGGAGAATTCATTTCAGAGGAAGTGAGGAAGATGAAGGGAAAAGAATAAGCTCTGACGTGGTCCCCAAGGAAAGGAGCGGCCTTCAGGTGAGGGCAGGTGAGGTGGACCACCATCCACACAGACCTCAGAAGAGAAAGAGTATTCAGGCATCCAGCCTCCAATGGAGCGCCTATCCAGGGGACTGTAATGGAGGATCTCCTTGCCCACTCTTGGGAAAGTTGTCACCTCCTACCCTCAACAAGACCACCAAACCCATCACATACAGACCCACTGAGAAATCCCAAAGGGCTATCCGGCTCTGGAAATATGTCTATCACTTAGGACCAGTAAGAGAATTTAAAAAAAAAAGAAAAAAAAAGGAGGGAGGGAGGGGGGAAGGAGGGAGGAGGGAGAGAGGGAGAAAGGGAGGGAGGGAGGGAGAGAGAGAGGGAGGGAAGGAGGGAGAAAGGGAGGGAGGGAAGATGAAGGTACTGTCTTCTAAGCTCACTGAATAACACAATCATCTGTCTCTCCTCTGAATCTAAAATCCAAGGGTCTCAGAACCCTTGCAAGGTGTCTGGTGTCTCCCCAATCCTGAAGTCTAGCCGTGGCCTTTTGACTGCCCAGATCCCTAAAAATGATGCAAGGCTGAGAATCAGCCCAGAGTCCCATGAGCTGTTTTTACTGCTTTCCTGTTGTCAGAACATTCTGGTTGTTCGGCTGAGAGCTCCATCTCCGGGCTCCCAATACACTGAGTCATCTTCCAAAGAGAAAAAAAAAAGGAAACACACACACACACACACACACACACACACACACACACACACAAAACAAAGCAACCGTCGCCAGGGCCCAGATTGTTGTTGACAGAGGACTTTGAGCTACATAGCCCAGAATTGATGATGAGGGGCATGAGGGTGCCTGAATTCCCCTCCCACAGGGCTCAACAGCATCAGGAAGCATGCAGTCACTGCTGAGATTCAGAAAACAGACTAACAAACCTAGCATCAAAAGGGCTCTCAGGAACAATCCCTGCTTAACCCCCTACTCTGATACCACCAGTGCCCCTTTGTTTCCTGCTTCAGAAGCAAAGGGGCAACTCATCCCTGGGGGAACACCACCACCTTGTAGGCTTGAGGTACAAACTACTGAGACGCCCCTCTCTGTACTTGCTGTGACAGCACGGAAGTACATAATTTCCTCCTAATTTGCTAGTCGCCTGCTATTCCACAAGGAACAGACAACGCAATGGGCATGCCTATAGAGCAGGCTGCTAGGGCTCTACTTTACAAACTAAGGTCACTTAGGCGAGAAACAGAATGACCTGTCTGGAATCACCCAACTGAGATTGGGGTACAGACCTGGGGTCCAATGTGTGCACCTGCCTCAACACCTGGGGCTTACCCTCCATGAAGGTGATCCTGCCTATCCACCTCTGGCTATTCTTCCAAGAGGAAGGCAGGCAATGCAACCGAGGTTTGTTCATTTCAGCTACAAAAAAAAAAAAAATATCACCTTGACTAAACCTGGCCAAGAAGGAAAAGGAGAATATTATCAAGTAGGTATGGACTAGCTGAATGACCTAACACAGTATTAAGAAACTTAACAATATTCCTAAAACAGTCACATTGGAGGGTGTCACCTTCTATCATCTTACAAACATGGAGGATTCATACAGGAAAAAGACTTTGAAAGCTAAGGTTCTTGCCAGACACAGGACCCTCCTTAAAGGGTTATGATAAAAAAACAAAACACGTAACCATTCTTGAAGTGTCTAACATGGCATCTGGCAACCGAAGCTGTGAATAGGGATGTCTTCCTCCCTCTTCCCCAGGCTTCTTGTTGAAGCACAAAGTCCGACAGAAAACACATGGTACTGCACACAACAAAATACCACGAAAGAAAGGAGACTCGTAACAGTGGTTCAGGGATCTGCTCAGGGAGACATCTGTGAAGGCAGTGAGTGGGACTGCAACAGGTAGAGTGCAGGCATGGAAAATACCAGGATTGAAAAAGGGGAGAAAATAAAAGCGCAGAAATATGAGTCGGCTTGTTATTGCCTGAGGAAGGGTTCTTGGGAAAGCTAAGGCCACTTTCAGACAGCCCCAAGTATCCTACTAAATGGGAGGAATTGCAACCTGATGATGCTAGGAAACCATTTTAAATCTCTGAGCAGGAAGACAAGATGGCCGCTATCCGCAGCAGGGCCTAGAAAGGGTTGGGCAGCAGGGAGCCTCACTAGAGGACAGCAGTTAGAACTGTAGCCCTGGCAGGGGGCATGAAGGAAAAGGCAGGGCCATCGGACCAAATGCTGCTGCATGCTGCGCACGTCAGTCACCCCCATCCCCATGTAGTGGCTGCCAGAGATGGAGCCTATCTGAGGGACACAAACTACATGTCTGCCACATCTGAGATGAGCTGCTGTGTCTGCCTCTACTCTCCTCCAACACTGGGCTTTTCATGACACATCTGTGAGCTTCAGACTAAAGGTGGGCCCCAGGCCATGGAACCTTGACCCAGAAGGTTTCCATTTAGACCCCCCCTACCCCCACCCAGTGCTGTAACCCAGGGTAGAATCAGGCAGGTTCTGCCTCCAGACCTACCATCACTGCAGCAACCATAGCTACACCCATCTATATAATGCCTCTACCCCTCTAACATAGATTCCCCCCCTTAGCCCCACCCACTTCTCAGAAATGGCACAGCAGGGCCAGCAAGACGAACAGCACCAGCCATTATGTGGAAGACCAGCAGAGATGCCTTCAAAATGGCAGCCTCAAAGGAATCCAGAACCCAGCCAGGGAGAGAAAAGCTAGAGACGAGGAAGGGGAACTGCCAACCCCCTCCCAATAGGCTTTCACACCCCTCCCTCATACTAATACTGTCAGGTCTTCTTCAGAAAGTCCCTGCCCCCGAACCAAAAGGGTAAAGGGGAAGGAGGATACTACCCCCACCTCCAAGCCCCAGGGACCATAGGTGACACAGGGTACTCAGAAGGACATTCTGGGGCCCATGTCTCCGGATGAGACAGCAGACCATTTCTGTACTCAAATTTGGTCACTAAGTGGACAAGGGCTAGCCCACACAGGGAGGGATCCTCCCAATCCTCCCCAGCAGACCCTCAGCTGTGAGCCCTGAGGAGTGGTGAGGTAGAGCTGCAAAGAAGGCTTGAGAAGGCACAGGCCACCCTGAGTTATATAACAAGCAGGGAGGTGTTTGTCCTAGGCCAGAGGCCGAGGGCGCATTGCGTTCATGCCCTGGATGCGCAGTCATGGGTGGGGCCAATGTGCATGGTACAGGACCCAGCAAACTGCCCCCACAAGTGAGACCCCCCCCTCACAAGGGCAAGATGGGGTGCTACAACTCTGATTTTCCAGTTTCCTTCCCCCAATAAAAGACAGCTGCTGCTGCCCCAGTTTTATTCTCCATCTCTTAGTTCCCGAGATTGACTAATCGTTCTAATGGGAGTCCTTCAAACCTCTACCCACCCACTCGCTTTTCCAGAAACCTCACCAACAGCCAGTTTCCAAGCAATGTCCTGGGGTTAGTCCCCATCCTCACCTTTCCAAGCACAAGGTAGCAGCAGCAGCAGCTTCCAAACGGCAGGTTCTTCCAAGAGCGAGCTCGGCTGAGAGCTGATCTGAGGACCTTAGGCTGACCACAGCATCAGCGCAGATCCCTTCAGGTGGGAGCAGCCCACTCAATAGGAAGCCCAGGGTGGTGGTGACAGCAGCAGCAGCTCTGCCCTACCTTGCCCGATGGTTTCCAGGGGAGCCAAGAATTATTTTTGCCGCAACACCGAGGTGTGGCAGATTGGAAAATTCCCTTTTCTGACACCAAAGCAGAGGACAAATATTTTCTTCCAATTTAGTCAATCCTCTTCAAACCAGTCTCCCCAATCTCCTTCCTCAAAATAAAATAAAATAAAACTTTGGGGGGCACTCTAAGCTCTTCTTCCTTACAGTGACTGGAATTTTAAAATGATAAAGGAAGAAGCTATGACTGGGCAGTCTGAAACAGGCAGACACAGGCACCTACGCATACCCCTAAAAGAGATTTTAGAAGCTGCTGGGCTTCTCCCCCTCCCCTTTAAGCAAGTGAAATGCAAATTCAGATTTGATACCCTGTCCTCAGCCAATCAAAAAGGGCTTTTCACCTGCCATTGGCCCTTCCACCAATGAGAGGAAGTGTCTGAAGTAAGAGCCCTCCCCTGGCCAATGGAAGGCCAGCTCAGTCACTTAGTTAATGATGCAGCAGTACAGGGAAGGCCATCACATGTGAACTGGAAGGGAGCCAACATGGAGACACAGAGAACGCAAGGTAAACAACTTTCCAACGCCAAAAGGATGACATTTAATCTCTAAATGCTAGCTTCCTACCTAGGCTCATCCTTAACCCTTCTTCTGGCCTCACAGATCCCAGGAGCCTCACTACCTGTCCCCACAGAGCTCCTAACAAGATGCAACAGTGACTGCGTCATCATTCTCCACTTTTCTTAACTACGCAGTGACAATCTACCAGCTTCACCCCACTTCTCCCAGCCCACACCCTACCCTATGCTTATGCTCTCTACCACCCCAGACACCCAGGACTAGACATTCTTAAAGGGAATGCCTGGAAAAACAGTCCCTCCCGACTGCTTCTTGTCACTTCTCACTCTCTACCTTCCCCAAGAGACCTGCACAGATGGACGCTGACACCCAAACAACCTGGGAAACCAGTCTCTCAGCCCGTCAGAAGAAAACAGGGTACAGGGTGGGAGGTTAAGTGAGAAGCTAGGCATGGTTCACTCCTCCCCTCTACCCTGGTCAGGCTTTAGTAGCTGACACTGAGGGAGAAGGAATTGAAAGTGGGAAACAACAATAAAACCCTTCAAAGGGGAGAAAAAAAACAGTCAAAAGCAAGGAAGAAGGTAAGAAAACACAGAGCACCCACAAACCCTAGACGTTGCCCTTATCACACGAAATACATACGTGGGGGAAGAAGTAGGTTACGCCATCAAGTGCTTAAGCCCCGCTGGACCACCAGTCGTCTCCTGCGCAGACCCAAATTCCTATCCAGATACAAGGTGCCGCAGTCCTGAATGTTCCAGAATCCACTCTGATGAAGTCTTCCTCTGCCGCCCCACCAACTCTTGTACCCACTCCCCCCCCCCAATCTCACCTCCTCCACATGGGAACCGCCCATGCCACCTTGCATGACATCTTAGCCTAGGCTACCCAGAGGCCTCTGGCCCTAAACAGATTTCTAAACACTTGGCAGAACCTGGTGCCCAGTGTTGCTATGACTTGTTTCTTGATTTCTCTCTCTGCTGCAGCACGGCTGCTGCTAGCAGACCTATCGACAGCTTGTGTGTTCGTGCTGGCTCGCTCTCCCTCTCCTCTCCTCCTCTC